ATTTTTTTCTTCTTCTTCAATACTACTTTGACATTAAAATAGTGGATTTCAATATTACTTTGACATTATAACAATGGACTATCATAACAACATGGTTTGTTTCCTTAACAAGTTTGTGACATCGTGTTGATGTTTTCTAATACGGTAAAACAGCTGAAACGTTAAACGAACGTATTATCACTCGTGCTGATGTGTATTGTATATTCAAGATGGCGGGTAAAAAAATCGGCAACAGGTCAAGCGTCAGAACAAGCTTCATTTTAAACAAATATTTCAACACTCAACACGAAACCAAATACAGTGAAGCTTAACCTGGCTTACGATAACTTACTGTGGTATGGGGCTTCCTATATTGATTGTCCCACAAAAAGTCTAATTTGAATTTACTAGCACACCTCGACACAAATCCAGCTAACACATCCATCCATCCGAATGGATTTTGTTTTGACCAATGAAAAATACCGTTACAAACGCGCAGAGACATCAGTACATTTATTGCAGTGCGAGACCTGCTATACCAACCGGGAGTGAAAAGTAACCAAATCAAACACAATTTCAACTATTTCATTTACATTTTGTCAGAGACGTATATAACATAATATATAACGTGTTATATACGTCTCTGTTTTTTTTTTAGATTAAGTAAACACATTAACAGGACTGTCTTTAAGGCGACATCGCGATAAATCGATTGTTTACTCATCATCTTGAACAATGACATTTTATTTTCGCTGAAATGTGCTCATAAAATCAATAATTATAAACAAAAGGAGATCCTTTTCTGTTGAAAAAACAATCAGGATACGTAATTTTTTGCGTCTTATATTATAACACATGAACACGATTCACCGTCGCCAGTAAACAAAATGGCTTCGCGCCTGAAACGGTTGTCGATTCATGTTTCCTATTACGTAATTCTGAAATGATTAAAGAGCTATTAGATAACATTTGCCACGCCCACAACAAACTCCGGTGCTGACTCAGGATATTAATTATTGTGCCACTACTGTCGTTGTCGTTTCTTCCCATCAGGAACTGTCTTGTTTTCAAAACTATCGCGTGACGTTATCAGCGCTAAATTTGATAAGGGTTGCCCAGAGAAGTTGGAAATTGACTGTAAATATCGGTATAACATAGAAACGTAACTGGAAGTGAATAAAACATGCGATGAAAAAGGACCTGTCAATAATTAACTTGATTGAAAAATCATTTAAATTCACCTGTGCGAAAAGTTCCATAATTTCTTTAGGGGTAGCAGACTAGGTCAGACTCATCATCCAAGATTGAGGATGAAATGCAGTTCACTTAGATTTTATCTATTTTGTAGAAATCTTGTTAAAAGTACACTTTGCTTCTGTAATCAAAAAGACGAGACCAATGAACACTTTTTACTGCATTTTTCCTGAGATTCGCTTACGTTGATTTAGTATTATTAACAATCATACTTCAACCGAAACACTTCTCTTCGGTGACAACAGTGTTCAAACCTTCATCATTAGCTCCAAGAAATTTGAATGATTGCTTTTTTGACCTAATATACAGTTGTTACAGTCCTCGTATTTATAGACAAATGTCCTCTCTTATTCCTTCAGTATCATTCTTTCATTTTCCTTATTTTCTTCTTTATCCTTTGTCTTTTCACAGACCCTAGTACGACCATCAACATCTACATCTTCATAGATCTGAAGAAAGGAATAGTGACAGTATGTACCATATCACAAATTCTCTTCATTATGGGAATGAACCTCATCATAAAGGCTGCAGAGAAGGAAACCAGAGGACCAAGGATGGAGTCATGTGTATATCAACCAGCCCACCGAGGGTTCATGGATGACCTTACCGTTACAACCACAACGCAAGTGCAAGCCAGATGGGTGCTGACAGCGCTAGAGGAGGTGGTCATGGGCAAGGATGCCGTTTAAACCTCGGAAGTCTCCTTGCATGATTGTGAGGAGAGGAAGAATCAGCCAACAGCTTACACTAAAGGTCCAGGGAGAGGTGATCCCTTCAATCATTGGCAATCCCATCAAATGCCTAGGGAAATGGTTCGACGACACACTGGAAGATGGTCAGAACCAGAAGAACACCCCGGCCCAGGTACACCAATGGATGGAGAGGATAAACAAATCAGGACTTCCGGGAAAGTATAAGGCTTGGATGTACCGGGATGGCCTGTTACCGAGACTGACATGGTTGCTGTTGCTGTATGAGATCCCAATGACGACAGTGGAGACATTAGAGGAGGTGGTGAACAGGTACGTGAGAAAATGGCTAGGAGTCCCGTCAAGCTTCACAAATATCGTTCTGTATGGACGCTCTACAGAGCTACAACTGCCACTTACGGTGAGGAGTTCAAAGCGTCCAAGTGCAGGCTGGTGATGACACTCCGGGACTCCAAAGATCCAAAGATCAGTGAGGCAGGGATACAGACAAGAACGGGAAGGAAGTTGTCTGCGACTGCTGCTGTAGAGGAAGCGGAGAGTATGCTGGAGTTGAGGGATATTATCAGGAATACGTTTGTAGGAAGGCAAGGTGTTGGCTGTTCACACTTCCAACAATGGAAAAGGGCAAACAAACAGGAGCGACGACAGATGGTTCAGAAAGAGGTACGGAGAGTAGAAGAGGAGAGACGGAAGCAGAAATCTGTTGAACTGAGTAAGCAGGGTGCATGAACCAGATGGATCCTACCGGAGAGAAAGCTTACATGGGCTGAATTGTGAAGGATGGAACCCTTCATGATCTCGTTCATGCTTAGATCAATATATGACACTCTTCCATCGCCCGTCAATCTGCACTAGTGGGGAACGACAGAGAACCCGAACTATGCAATCAGAGAGGGTCACTGTCTCACATTCTAGCTGGATGGAAGAAGGCACTTCAACAAGGAAGGTATCGATGGAGGCACGACAATGTACTGAGAGTATTGGCTGATATCCTGGAGATGAAAAGACGCAAGAAGAGGACAAATCGGCCAGCAACACAATCCGCTATTCGGTTTGTCAGGCAGGGTGAAAGAGGGAAAGTGAGGACAAGAAGCAACTCATCTATCTTGGACAGGACTCAATCATGGAAGATGATGGTGGATATGAACAGAAAGCTTGTCTTCCCAGATATCATGCAGGCAACGCTGAGGCCTGACATCGTGATGTCATCACAGCAGTCCAAACTCCTCATCTCAATAGAGCTAACAGTACCATGGGAAGATGGTTGCGAGGAGGCCCATGAAAGGAAGAAAAACAAAGTATGGTGAGCTGATGGCGAAAAGCACAGAGAGGGGATTGACTGTATGGCTATTTCCTGTGGAGGTGGGCTGCAGAAGGCACCCGGTCCAATCCTTATGGAGGAAGCTGGAGACACTAGGGATCACAGGAAGAACTCGAAGTGTAGCCATTAGACGTTTGGCAGAAACTGCAGATCTTCGCAACGAAAAGACACCACTGACACACAGAATAAAATCATCTGTAAGTTATCATTTATTAATTCATTTACTTATTTTATTTATTTACTGTGGGGGGTTTTACGCCCACTTATACGGCCTTTTGGTCGTTCTGCGGACGAGATAATACAGGAAAATAAGAAGAGAATAAATAGTATTCAATGATTGGAGAGTGTGGATTATAGAGATGTGACAGATAGTGGCTTACTATACTTTCAGACCTGTTATAAACTATGATTTTGAAGATGACCCCCTCCCCCCTTGACCTAATTATAGCCCTTATCTTACTTTGACCAGCTTGGCACGAAGGAGCGGACTGGTTGTCGGTAAATAGGAAGTGGAAAGGAATCTTATACCATATGATATTTTTATAACATTTAGGATGTCTACCTAATGCTAACCCAACCTAACCTATGGACCGCCGTTATCACGCCTGTTCTTTTAATGTTTTTCCCGATTAAATCCAATCGGACGGACTTCAATGTTAGTATGTATATATGTATTTATGTAAGTAGGTGCTAATGCTGGTTTTTTTAATAATCTTCTTTCCATATCTGTCTGTCTCTCTGTAAACGGTTCACTTAAACGATTTCATTTCTTTCTGTAAATCCAAGCCGTTCCTATCTACATTCTGACATTTATGTATTTATGATGATTTCAGTTCCACTATTGTGAATTTTCCATTTCTGGATATCAATATCCCTGCATCTCCATCCTATGGTATGTACATGCCACGATTGATTCAATATCCAAGGACCTGTTCCCATTATCACGATTTTCGTGCGAGGAATCATCAAATGAATGACAAACTCGTAATACAAGGGTTCAAAAGATGCAGGTTGGTGAAAATTATGCGGACGATTTATGGTTGCCATAGTGACTGTTTTGCTCGTTAGTTTGCCTGGTGGTTCCGTTGTTTTATACTTTGTTCTCATTTATGAAACGTGACATTATTTACTTGCATTGACCAAGGTTAGATCTTATTCTCCTTTCACTTTTTTTCGGAAGTCTCCGTGCAAATCTTTCTTTTGTTCATTTTTTGCACTAGTTGTATGGTATTTGAGTTTAAATTATGATTATGTTGTCATGTTGGTATCTTATTGATGTTTTTTTTTATCTCACCCTGGTATATATATACATATATTATACTTTATATTTCATCGTCCGATCCATGTTCATAGTATCCCATGATTCATCACAATTACTATCACTTTCACAGTAGGATAAATTAAACACCATTGTATGTTAATTTACGATAAGACAAATTCATGAGCCAATGGCAATGTGTAGGACATTATTTGTGACGAATTTTGCGGAAAGGCAAGGGAGATAACTTTTGTGTTAACAGTATTACAATTACAAAAGAATGAAAGTACACCATAGTTAGTTGCATTTATATTTATGTAGTTTATTATGAAAGACGATGAATAACCCATCTACGATATTTTCTTTTTTTCATCTTTTTATATAACATGTACCGGCACTTGTAGCATTTTCGTCATTCCTATCTTTGATATCGCCTTTAGGACGCCTACCATTCAGCATCACATACTTCCGGTTCACCATGGCGCAGAAAAGAGCCATTGCAGGGATCTTGAAGAATTTTCAAATCCGGGCAGTAAAGAAAATGTTTTTCAAATTTGACCCATATTCAGCAGATGTGAGGTCGATAAGGTAATTTATGACGACTGATCTGTTGTTGTGATATGTTTGCATGTTTCCTGTTCTTTTCGGTCAAACCTCTGGCGATGGACACCTGCAAAATTGGTCCATTATAAAAAATCTATAAAGGGAGCTGGACTACATTAGATGTTCAGGCGATAATACTTGTTCCCGAAAATAACAGAAACTTGTTGATATATTGAGAGAGCAATACCTGTTAATCGATACTTCGATTCACTGTAATTAAAATCGACACGATGACCTTGTAAGCCGTCATTAAGCTGTATGTGCGTTCTAAGATGATTTTACATCAAGGTTACAACGGCCTCACTGCAAAAGCAGTCCTAGTTACAACGACAATGGTTAAAATACTCCTACCTGTATATAGTGTTGGGTAAGGTTGAAACTTCTTTGAACTATCAGGAACTGGGACAGCAGAAAATCTGGCAATAGTTCTCATAACACAACCAGTAGAAGATATGATGTTTCGATAGCTATACAGCTCTCTTCATCATTACCACTGTGAAGAGTACTAGCACTCATTTCATCACACTGCTTTTTACCCTAGAATGGAGATGACTGGATTTGGGCAATCGGTGTGCTTTCAGTGTGACGTTTCTGTGTACAAAATTTGAAATCGCATAAAATGTGACTTGTGTGGTGGAAGCAAGTGAGTGAGATATGTGGTGTTTTAATAATGAAATAAGGACGAAATTCAACCAACTGAACTGAAATGATGTCACTCTTTTTTTGATCAACTCACTAGATTCATTGTCCATTTTTTAGGTGTGTATACCATGATCACGACCAGGTATGATCCTACATACATGTTGTCAGATCAAGTTATATATACAAAATCTGCCTATATATAGCCAGATTTGACGATGCTCTAGTATTTGATAGTACTATATTTAGATGTCATTAATTAAGCATTAAAGGTGTTGCAAAATGTTTTGTTTTTAACCATTACAGTACTTAGTTTTCAGTTCAAGATAATAGAAAATGGTATATAAAAAAAGAATTTTAACAAATTATTTTCTTTGTATCATCTAGTAGTCGTACGAGAAGCATTTTAGTGAAACATACATTCTACATACCGTAGAAAACAACCTAAATATTTGCAATTTGAATTGAAAATGAATATAACTCTTCATGTACACTGATTTCTGTATTAAATTTTTTCATATGGTATTTATCTTAGATCTGCTATATTTTTTTGGCAGGGAAGTGATGTTTGCACTACATGCAGATAAAATCCTCTCAACCAATTTGAACTGCACACCTAAAGTGGAAATTATGTCCGATCAATCAGAGCCAGAGATGAAAGTAGATTTCAGTAAGTATTGATAATGTTAATCTATGATTTTATGGACTGGCAGTTCTCATATCTGGTACTAGTGTGTAAAAAGTTTGTGATTCAGTATATTGAAAATGGTTTTGGGAAAAGTCTTGATGCACAATGCCATGTATAAATTTTCATGTGGAAAGCTCTGTGTCACATTCAGTTATACATAGATGCTTAACACAGATTTAACATAATCAGTCAAAAGGTTTGCTCTGTTAAGGTAGCCTACCAGTGTAAAATTTATCAATAGAGCAATGTGCCTTTTTATCTGATCAGCATCTTGGCTCAATTACAAAACAAAGAATGAGCAATTAAAATTTAAAAATAGTACTTTCAGTCGCAAGTGGGCTGATCATTGATTCCCAAAAGACCATAAAGAAAGCCTGTTAAACCAGTCTAATCTGACAACTGAAATGTCTAATCAGATCAGATCTAATTTGACACTAACTCATCCCCAGTCTAATCTGACAAGAGATTATTCTTAACCCCTGTCTAATCTAACACTGGATTAATCTTTCTACCTGTCTTACTTGACACTGGATGAATCTTACTACCTGTCTAATCTGACACTGGATTAATATTTCTACTTGTCTAATCTGACACTGGATTAATATTTCTACTTGTCTAATCTGACACTGGATTAATCTTACTCCCTGTGTAATTTGACACTGGATTAATCTTACTCCCTGTCTAATTTTATATCTGATTATACACTAGAAAAGGTATCAAGAAGGGTTATCAATGAAGACCAATAAAGTACATGTGTATTGTTAATTACTATTATTTTATTAATAAAATGTTTTGATATCAGCACCGTTAAATGGTAAATCTCCTCTAACACATAGTATTGGTCTTTGATCTGTTTTGCTTTCAATACATTAGAATTCAAAAACACATATTGTACATGGCGATAGGGGAAAGTGTAATTCTCTCTCACTCCTTTGTTACAGGTGATGGCCAAAAGGTTTTATTCAAAACAAAAAATTTAACAACATTGGACATTTTGCTGAGGTTCCACCAGTTGTGTTCAGAAAAGGATCCCAAGAAAACAGAAACAAATGTTATTGATACAAAATCATCTCGAAAAAAAGTGTCTAAAAAATGATTCCGAGCATCTAATATGTGTCTGAGAATTGATTTGTGTGTAGGCTGTGAGAGAATTCATATGATGGTGGAGTCTATTTACAGAATGCTGAAGAATTGTTCTTCGGTTGTATATCAATATGATGGGTGTGTCTGGATAAATTACGCTAGTACAGAAAATCTTTGTGTACACTGATGACAAACCTCGGAGTCTCTGGAAATTGAGGGATGTTTGATGTGTTTGAGATAGTGGTGCATTGATCACCTTAGTCATTCATTGAAATGTAAGTTATTCTTGTTCTTAAAGCTTGATAGATCAATAACCATTGTATGTAATGAGTGAAAATAAGCTGTAAGTTTTGTTTTGAAGCATGGTTTGAGACTAGATAATAAAGAGAAAAAATACACAATACAAGTATTTGACTTGTTTATTTTTAGCTCACCTGCCTGAAGGACAAATGAGCTTATGCTGGCATCAGGTTTTCCATTTAAACAAAAAGGTATTAATGTTGGGCCTATAGCACACTTGAATGATGGGTTAAATATGTTCAAATGAATTACCTTGACCCTCCATGAGGAATCAAATGTAACAAATGTAAAAGCGTAACTCACCTACTTTCAAAAGCACAGATATCACATAAAAAATGACTTATAAGCTTATAAGGTAAAATTACAAAAAATGAGTTTGCAAACAGCATTGAGTGACAGGTGAACAATGCAGGCCCATTGTGCCTGTTATTTTCTCATGTTATCTGAAACACTTATCTTTTCAATTTGGCCAAGCATTTATGTAAATATCCCAAATCAAAAGTTTTTATCCGTATCAAATGCTGTGACAATCTAAAAATCAAATTTTAACAAGAAGAAATGAGTACAAAGAACTAGGGGTAAACAAACTTATATCTTACATACATGTTAATGATAGTATATGTGGTTCTTATATTTTCAATCTAAAGGACAAAGCTTATGTTGTATACATAACCTGCCAGTAAATACTTCATAGTCACACCATTGGTTTTGACACAAACAATTTAGTAATGATCACGCAGGCATTTCTCTGCCTGTTTACGGAAACTGGGGATGCATCATTGTCTAGTCACTAGTCACTTAGTCAGACATCCTATTTGAATTTGGTCCATGGCGTTGTCTGTAAGGGTGTACTTGTTGTGATTAATATTTCTTGGCCTGTGTTGATGGATGACAGTCTTCATGGGATGGTCCAGTGGGTTGGCATAGAGTCATTGGATCTCCTATTCTGCCTGGAAGAGGCAAATGATTCCAGAATAGTGTCAATGTTGTACTGTTGACAGCATATGTCATTGTCATAGTACTGCTGAGAGCAAATGGCATTGTCACAGTACTGCTGTTATTGTTTAGACGATTGAAGTGAAGGACACAAACTCTGTGAATGACAGGTCATAAGTTGTTGTTATCAAACTTGTCCAAACTATAAAGGTGATGAACCTCCCCATGAAGTCTGAAGTATATCATTGAAAACTTGGAGATATCAAGTAGACACCGTTTTGATATTTCATTACTCAGTGAATTAAGGTCGGGCAAATGTGATCATTGAACTGGTCGAGTGATCATGGTAATGAACCATTCTATCAAGTTTGAAGTTGATATTTTGAAATGTTATCGAGATATGGATCAATAATTCAATAAAGGGCCATAACTCCATCAACTTCAGTCAGAAAATTGCGTTCATCTGGACTAAGACCACAATTAAATACTTCTGGGTTCAGTACCCACGAATGAAGTCCCTAAAAAATGTATGTATATTATTGAAAAAAATAATATGCCTCTTTGAATTGGATTTTTGCCTATAAATTTGATGTAGATGTGTTATAGAGATGATAATCTGTCAGTGTGTAAATCACTCATATTGAACATGTATTTTGTGCTGCAGGATCCGGTGTAAAAAGTCCTGTTTTCACCTTTACCCCTGACCCGGATATATATAATTGACGTTGGTGACACACATGGAGGTATATCTCCAGAAAATGCATCATGGTTTGAAACTTTTACATTTTGCTTCTCAGATGTTGATCTTGGCCAGGTGAAATGGAAATTTGCAGATGAAACTTTGGGACTTAGTTATGAATTTTAATGTTACAATAAAACATATAGTGAAATTAATTGTGGTTTCTGTCCTTAATGACATGCCTAAAATCCATGTTTTTATTTCTCATACCCACATTTTTTGACCGATTCTCATACAAATTGGTATGGTTGTATTATATTTTATGACTGATTAGGTAGTGAATTAATTTTTAATTTATCACTTCAATCAAAATAAAAAAATTTAATTAAATTTTATTTTTTTTATTTTTTTAAACTTTATTTTCTGGAGTGATCAGGACATCTATAAATAACATCAAATTAGCATATTTGTGTTATTGTGTATTCATATACCTGATTTTTAAAAGTTAAGATAGACAATTTTTTCAAACTATACAAGATCTTAGAAAATTCTGTGGTTAGCCCAGATAATGGCTTGTGTAGGATTTGGATTGGACCTGTAACAAGGACAGGGAAATATGGACTTCTGTCATTTAAGGATTTAAATTGGAAAAAGAAACATGCACACAGACTTGCTTTTATTTGTTTTTCTGAAAATTTAGAATTGTCAAGTGATCTGGACTGTTCCCATCTCTGTCATAATATTAAGTTTATGTGTAAATATAGAACACATAAGTTTAGAACCTCATTTTATTAATAATAATAGGCAGTACTGTTTAAATTAAAATGTGTGTTATGATCATGTAGGGTTCAGTGACTGCATGTTGGATTTGAAAACTTAAGTTTTTATTGATTTGAGGGTATTAGCTATTGTACACTGATGTATACAACATTGTCCGACTACCACCACATGGAGGTTCCCTCATTAGGTAGTCATATATTTTGTTGTTGTTGCTGTTGTTGTTACATTATTTTGTTTTTTTTGTTCTGATTGTTAACATGTATCTAATAAATTTGTTGTCACCTCTGAGCTGAGTTGATCAAGTTTATGTTTGACCTCCCTACTCAGAGTACCACCAAAGTGTTCAACCTTCTGTTGAATGGCTTTCTCTGCAGTGTTGTCTAGGGTCAGAATGGTATTGTCTAACCTCCCGTCAGCATTTCTTCCAAAATTCTGATGTTTTGGTAAGGACACATTCAGGCTTCTGTGACAACCCTCGTTCTTCTGTGTAGATGTGCTGAGTCTCATAGATCGAACAACATAGTGCTGAGTTTCATTTTCAGGAGCTCCAACACCAACATCTCGTCCTCCAATGTCATTCGAAGTTGATGGATCTGGTTCGAACTAAGGAACATTGATCGCACCAACCAGTTGTCACTGTCACCACCAGAGCACACCATGGAATACTGCTTGCATTTAGAACAGTCACCTGTGTAGCAGGATAGAGTAGCATCTAACACTGCAGGTAAACGAGTCGTGATAGTCTCAATGTTTCTGGAGTGAATTTTCATCAATTCCTTGAAAATCAGACTGCTTCCGCAAGTTCCGGCTTTAAAGCCTTGAGAAAATACTTTCTGAGCATGAGACCTCATCAGTCTGGTACTACCAGGAAACATTGACTCGCTCAACATAGTACTGTTACATTTCCGGAACTGTGTTCTGCTTAGGTGAGTTGGGTCAGCCAGTCTCTCCACTTTCCACATGGGATGTAAGGCTCTCATGGCTTCCTCCAGGCCTTGCCCTTGGGCTCTAGAGTCTAGTTCCATCTCCATCTGTGGTGGCATATTTTATGAGCACGCCTTGTCTAGCCAGTTGATCCCCAATGCTCTTTCTCATGGCATACTCGGACAAGCCGTCGTATCGGTGTTGATAATATAATATCAAATGTGCTTTAAAGTCAGGATCAGTCGGATGCATTTGCTCGATCTGTGCGCCTTTAGAATTTGAAAATCAGGATGAATAAGACGCTCCTCCAACTCTGTGACTTCAATGCTTGTAAATCAGACTCATTTAGACGCTTATTACTGGAACTTTATCACAGAAAAGATTATAAATCAGGATTATTCAAACTTTTTATCTCGATCTTTGTCGCTGAAAAGTTTGTAATTCTAGGTCATTTAAACTATTTATCTCGATCTGCGACTCTAAAAAGTCTGTTGATAGGGTTATACAAACTCTTTCTCTCGAACTGAGTCACTTCGAACTTATAAATCAAGTCCATTAGAACTTTATTCTCTCATTACTTTAAAGCTTGTAAATAAGGGTTTTTCAAGTAGTTTCTTAACGTCGCTTTGAAGAAACGGAGTTATGTTACAAAGACTTTTTCATTTCCGTTCGTTACATAAATGCTTTCCCTTAATACAATTCGAATGAACTTTTGTTTCAATATCATCGTATTTAATGTGACATTTGTCAGATTTTATTTTCACCTGTTGAAACCATAACGAGGCTATATTTATTTATGATAACCGTGTAACATAGGATTAGATACCAGTAGCTGACGTAACATTTCGTCTAAAGCGGAAACTTTGGAACTTCGGGAAAAACGCTCAGACATTTGTATTTTTTCATGTATGATTTTTACTGCCAAGGCCGATATGTAACTTCGGGGTCACCGATATTTTTTAACTGTTTTTTCCAGTTATGGCTAGGACCAGTAAATTTAAACAGAGAATTCGACCAAACGATTTGAAACCAAACCAAGTGTACTAAAAAACCAACAAGAAAATACCAACGTCAAAATAATCATAATCAAAACTAAATTTAATAAAAACAGTAGAGCAAAATATTAACAAAAGAAAGTACAAAGAGAATAAGACCAGGTGTTCCGTAATAGGTAGACTCTTCTGCTTCTTGCTCAATCCAAGTATGTAATGTCACGCTCTCAAATGAAAACGATACATACAACAACGGAATCAACAGGAAAACTAATTAGCATCACGTGCGCCAAGCTTCATATAGCACAAAGAAATGGAATGTTTCTAAATGAGATCACTATAATGACCCGAAAATCTTCTCCATAATTTTCATCAAACAGCATCTAAAGGTGATGAGTTTGTCTGCCAGTTGATGACTCCTTGCATGTGAATAATGATAATGGAAACAGCCCCTAGGATATCGAATCAACTGTACATGCAAACACCTTATATTGGGGATTTAGGAATGTTGCTTTCCAGAAATGGAAAATTCGCAATAGGGTAGATATGACTTTTGTATATATATAGGTACTTCTGGTTTACTCTTAATCTCATTAGTCGTTAACTGAGCCAATCCATAACAAAAAGGGATCTGTCTTTGGAACCAATCCGTAATTTTTTTCTCATAGTTGCTAAATAATTCTGTGGACCAGATCGTGACATAGCAAAATAGTTTTCCTTCGTTTTTGTGAATATTAATAAGGCAATGTATATAGATGATATATTGCTTAAAAGCGGATGTTTTTGTAGTGTCTCCCTGAAACTGCAAATAAACCTCAGAATGATTAAATATATCAATACATGACAGTGTTTATGCAAAACCGCCATCTTGGATTGAGAAAGAATTTAAAGTAAAAAGTATTGACCGTAATTGTTGGGACATGCCAATGTGTCCCCACAACGTGATGTTAAATTGGAAGCATGCCCCTTAACTACGGTTTTTTTTCATACCCCCTTTATCTCTCTCGTTTCACCGCAACTGTGGTGACATGGGTTTCACAAAGACATTCTGGGGACACCCATTTCCAATAGCAATATCGGTGATAGTGGCATGTGTAATCTCTTCCGAATATTGAATAACTTTGGGTCACTTTTTAATTTGATAGGCAATCTCTGTGGGCATGTATTTATCTCAGTGAGTGTGAGGACATAAAAGCAATGTCCTCACAGAAATGCGATATGGTGATCTAATGTCCTCATTCAGATACGAGGAAGAGCGATGACGAAAATTTGGTTTCGCGGAGACAGCAAAAAGTTTGAGGATTTTTATAAAGGTATTTTTCTTAGCATTTCGTGCAAGTTCAGTGTAATTTAAGTCACCGTAATTGTGGGGACATGCCACTGTGTGCAAATGCTCCCACCGTTGTAAGAATGTCCCCAAAACGTGATTAAAAACATGGAAAATGTCCCTTCAACTGCGGTTTTACTTGTAACCGTCGACACTTTCCGTCAAGTGCCGGAGATTCCCGATTGAGGCAAGTTGAAGATCTCGTTGTCATGCGAGGATGAACGAGACAGTGCGAGAATAAACAACAAGCATGGCAGACACTACGGCTACCCTCACGGTCGGTGGTGACCGAACAACTGGACAGTCAGTCCGTTCACAAAATGGTGAGTATATATTGAATTGATTCCTATTAACCCAAATTAACTGATGAACTGTGCGAGATACCGTGGAATGTTTTCGTAAGGCAATATCTCTCAAAATACTGATGTCAAACAGAGGCATGACTCGCACATGGTCTCGAATGTTCGGGCACGTTCCGGTAACCAAAGGGGATATGTAAATATAAAGAATTCCATTTTATATTGACATGCATCTGCTTTTCTTTCGAAAGAATCGGTCTGGTGATTAGAGTTACACGGTTGTAAAATATCTGAAAGTTGTTTTTATTCGAGTTCTTTTAACAACGTGAAATTATCAGTGGTTGAGCCCCCGTCTGAGCCCCTCAAAACTCTTGCATTAAAACAAGTTGAGACCGTGCTTGCAAATTCAACCGACAATGAATTGTTTTATCTGAACATGTATACTGATTATGATCAGTGCATATGTTTTCACACTTGGAAAATCGTGGGTTTATGACTAATAATGTAATTTAAATAAAACAATTGAACAAAAAGTTGTCCGAATCCACTTGAATTGCTAACTTGACTTTATTAAAAGTGATAAACACATGGGTAAAGTGACCATGATTCCAATGTTCCAGCAAGGATTTGGAAGGGGTAGGGCACTAATCTCAGAAAACAGCATTTTTATGCCTAAATTTAGTATTCAAAGGCATTTCAAAACTGCATTTTCATGAAATCATTTGTACCAGTATGATACATTATAATTGATATCCAGTCTGTACTTGCATGTATAAGGTCTTTTATGTTCTCTTCAATAAGTTTGGATACAGGTTAGAATTTCAATCTAACATTTGTTTAAATAGGCCTTCAACTGCCAAACTTTATCTGAAGGGATAACTTTCAAGTATACTATATTATTATAATAGATACAGCAATTTTCAGTAATAAAATTGTAAAGATGAAATTCATTCTACTTCTGAACATTTGAAGGGAAATGAATGCTTTTAGTACTGTTTACTGAAATGAGAGATGCAGTTAAAGTAAAAATCATCTTTAATAAATGTCTAGTTTTAGGTTTTAGATTAAAGTAGCAAAATACTTACTATCACTGAACAGTGAATGTATTCACTTTCTATGAATATTGAACAGTCATATATGACAAAACAAGTAATGAATTTGAACTTTTCATTGTTAAAATTGTGTTGTTTCAGTGATGGCAGCAAGTTCCATTGCAAATATCGTCAAAAGCAGTCTTGGTCCAGTGGGACTGGATAAAATGTTGGTGGATGATATTGGTGTAAGTATGCAAGAATACAAAAGAGTGACAGCAAAATTGTCAGATATCTTATCCTAAATAGCAGACCCACTAACAAACCTAACAACTTTTAATTGATGTTTGGGATAAATATTAATTATTATGGATTCTACAGCAATGGTAAGTCAATATGAATCGTTACCAGGATAAGGTGATATTTTCGTTTTTAATATGAAATTAGAAATAGAAATGATATGATATTATAAAATTTCTGTATTTTATCTTTACATTTATTTACAAACAAAAGAGAGACTTAAGAGATACATTTATAATATGTTGACTTGTTTTAATTATGAAATATTGCAAAAAGTGGCAATTCCCTTATGGTAAACATGTCATTGATGACATTCAGATGTTATAGAGCCTCAGACAGACAGCTGATTCATGCTGATGTGTAAAGTAAACAAATAATGGGATATCATTTTACCTATTGATAAAAAAAGCAAAAAAGTTCATAGCAATGTTCAACATTAAAATTACAGGGCTCTCACACCCCATTTTGGGACTGGGGCCCGGGGCCCTTAGAATTGGGAAAAATAATGGTGTTTTCCTTAGAATTGGGAAAACTTTGGGTCTAAATTAGGAAAAAAGATAGTATTTTGCATTGGGAATGGGGCCGAATATCAGCCCCAAATCTGGCAGATAGAGAGCCCTGAATTACATATATGAAATCTATAAAAACAAACTTGCTCAGTGAAAATTCCTTATTACTTGTCATTTTAAATGCCCTTTCATACTTCAGGAGTTTATAATTGGGATTAAATATGTGATAACAGCAGGTTTGCAACACATGCATTTTAATTATAACATTCAATTTAAAGATGGAAAAAAACAACTGATAACTACAGAAATATCACAGAAAAAATGAAGTCATGTTAAGAGCATTCAGTTGACCCTTGACATTTGGTAGTATCAGAAGTCAAATCACAAAGGTGAAAGGTCAAACATATATAAATGTGAAAAAAGATCTAATTAAACTTAAATTGTGGAAACTCATTTTTTAGTAAAATATATACCTTGGTGAGTCTACTGAATGCCCTGGTAATACCATATATGTGTTTGTCGATTGGGAATCTCAACATGTATATTTTGTTACTGTAGGATGTGACTATAACAAATGATGGTGCCACCATTCTGAAGTTACTGGAGGTAGAACATCCAGCTGCTAAAATCTTAGTAGAACTAGCAGAGCTTCAAGACCAGGAAGTGGGAGATGGTACAACATCTGTGGTGAGTATTTTTCTGTAGTTTTGGGCTATGTCCCCTGGCTGAAACATAGTGAAGTCCTAGGTACTATTACTCACTGTGGAACTCTTAGCATTGTGGTAGTGGAATGACTGGTTTTCCCATTGTCAGTATAATGTGACCTAGGTTAGTGTCCTAATGCCATTTTGTTTTATTTCTGCATTTGTAATAAAAATATTCACCAGGAGGTGCTACAGTATAGGGTCTGAACAGTTGAACAAAATTATTCATATCAAATTGAATACAAGACTTGGCCATTTTTTACAATTTGTCAATGCTGGTGACTTTGAAAATAATCCAGTCAGTCCCTATTTTGGTTCTATTTGATTATAAATGTGGAGGTTTTATTCACAAATAAACATTTGTGTGTTTAATTTACAAAATTGATAAAGAATTTATAGATTTTTGTGTTAATTATGAAACGTAATACATTACAGGTAATTATAGCTGCAGAACTTCTAAAAAATGCTGATGAGTTGGTGAAATGTAAAATACACCCAACATCTATCATCAGTGGATACAGATTAGCTTGCAAGTAAGTGAAAAATTAACACAGTTGATGTATAACACTGCCAGTAGTGGATCATAATATTACAATTATATACATAGATATGGTAAAAAAATTATATCTTCAAATTCTGTTTTAAAAGAAACAGAAACAAATTTTTCTTCTATGATTTGATGATTCATATATTAGTTTTGTTCTCGCCATCTTTAAAAATTGTCATATTGATAATACTTCTAAATACTGATTCCCATTCAACTTCCCTCTTGTTTTATAGTATAAACTTGAGGTATATACAGTGGGAGAAAGAAAATATCTTACCTTGTAATTTGGGTCTTTTTATTTCTCAAAAGATCCTTATAATAGGTAAGAACAGTGGAATGATTTTGTCTAGAAATTATGAACGTTTTAGACAGACTTGTTCAAAGCAATCTTTGTAAAACCTTGCTCATCTGAGATGTCCCTTATAATTACATATTGAATCCATGGTGTTAGTTCTGTTGAATTATCATCAGTGTAACAGTCGGTTCCTGATTATCTAGCGATTTCTCTAGTATAATATTTTCACATATATATCAATAGTATGAATCATTTACCATTTATTTTGCCAGTCAGTAATAGCCTGTGATGTCACAACATGGACAAAGACTTTTGTCTTGAACTTTGTGTTAAAAAGCATCTTAAATTTTTCTTCATCAGATTATATGAAACTTGTCTCAAAGTTTTAATATTTGTTCAATACGTCCTATTGAAATGAAATCTTGCTTGTTATACAAACTGTCATATGAAATGAAAACTCATTCAACATTGAATATTAATGTGCAAAATTAATGTATTAATGGCCGAACACAGAAGAGCATGAAAGATAACAGTGTACACAAAAGTTTCACTTGAAATGTTGGCACAACTTCTAACAGCAGGTTTGCTTCAATTCAACATGTTTTGTTTTCCTTTAACCTTTGAAAATGGTCTTTTCCACTATTGAGGCTTTGTATTGGAATACTGGAGGATTTACTAATGTTTTAAATGTTTTGACTACTTAATTATTTTTTTATTTGATATTTTCCAGAGAAGCCTGTAAGTATGTACAGGAACACCTTACCATTAATGTAGAAGAGCTTGGCCGTGAGTGTATCATAAATGCTGCGAAGACGAGCATGTCCAGCAAAATCATTGGATCGTATCCTTTCAACCCTGGCCACCAAACTACTAGTGTTTATTTTGTCATATGTTTCACGACTTTTAATGCTATAATGCAGCCTCATTCTTGTTATTCAAACCATGTTCCTCCCAACTTGATCAAGCAATTCATATCTTAATCTGTAGAGCAAAAAGAAAACAAAATTTTGCTATGAAAATCTAACCTATCTGCAGACTCCATTTCCTTAGGGTTACCAGACAAATGATTTAACTGATAGAATTATTAGACAGGAAAGTGAACCAGATAGAAGTCAGTTATTTAAAGTAGATGTTTTACTTAAAAGCCTTAATGTGTGAAATATCCTGCATCTCAATTGCATTTGATTGTCGGACAAGTGACTGTCCCGGTAGATTTCGAAATATTTTTCTTGTCCCGAGGTCTAACATTGTTACTCCTAATTGTCATTATAGCTAGGGTAGAGTAAGTATTTACTAACAATAAGTTTGAAGTGAGGGGTGGAAGTTCTGTGTAGAATGCTTTCTTACTTCCTCTACCTTACATGTTAGTTTATACAATTGGTTTCATTGTAACTTGGGTGAATCTTGAACTTTTCAATATGTAAGGTCACTCACTATATCATGGATAGAAATTTATACGAACAGTTTTCTCATTTTATATATTGTAATCAATATACATGTATATTACACACAAAATTGCTCAGCCATTTGAAAATTTTGACAATATGACCTTGACAATCTTGCCAGCCAAGCAGAATTCTTCTCCAACATGGTAGTAGATGCTGCTTATGCTATAAAGACATCTGACGGAAAGGGAGGCTACAAGTATCCGATCAAGGCTGTAAATGTTCTGAAAGCCCACGGCCGTAGCTCCATTGAAAGTACTCTAATTCAGGGATATGCACTTAACTGTACAGTGGCTTCACAAGGTATGAGCTTTGTTGGAACATCAAGTTATACAGAAATAAAAATATGGTAAAGGGGTTCATTTAGATTAGAACTTTGAAAGGACCTTATATCAATATTTCATCAGAATATCAAGTTGCACAGAAGTAAAAAAAACTATGGTGAAAGAGTTGATTTAAATTAGAACTTTGAAAGAGCCTTATATAAATTTTGTTTTGCATGGACCAGTTTTCTCACAAATAACATGATTTAAGATTTATGGAAAATCCTGTCCTTCCATGATTTGATAAACTATCTAGCACCTTCATGGCAAATATTTTCCAGAAAAGGGTTCCATTGTCCTTGTTACCATTTCATTTCTAATGATCAAATTTTACGCAAAGGTTTCAATGTCATGCACACAAAATTCAATTTTCTGGTTGCTAGGGTAGAAATTTAGGGATAACAAGTTTTGACTGTCATTGAAAAGATGATAATAGACTTAAATTTTCAATTTCAGATTATAGCGGGTGATTTAGAAATGCCCTTTAATACCATTTTCATGCATAAAAATGTCCTTTTTTAGGGTCAGCCACCTTTCCTTTTCAAATCCTAGCTGGAATACATTCTGTGCAAACAAAAATAGATATTGTATGCATGTTGAAATTTTTCTGCTTTCCTTTCAGCCATGCCCAAGAAGATAACAAATGCAAAGATAGCTTGTTTAGATTTTGGTTTGATGAAGGCAAAGATGAAGATGGGTGTTCAGGTCCTCATAGAAAATCCAGAAGATCTTGATGGAGTACGACAAAAGTAAGTGATGACTAGGGTAATAGGACCGCTAATTAAACTTAAGAGTTATAAGATCAAAGGTCAAGGTCATTGTAACTTGAAACAAATTGATTCCAAACATTTTATCAATACAAATCAAGCAAATCTTACTATGCTGATCCATGGTATTTATTATATCCATTATATTTCTTTGTTAATCATTTATTTCAGTGTTCAGCAATTTTCGGGACACCAAATGCTTGAGTTTTTGTTTCATGCTTTTCCTGTTGAACTCAACAAAACTTTTAAAAATTGTTCTAGCCTTGCTATAAATCATACCAAAAAGTTTTCAGTTAAATCATGGCCATTTTGTGGATTTAGTACAAGGTAGATTACTTCTTGTTGCAGAGAATCAGATATCACTAAGGACAGAATTGAAAAAATCATAGCTTCAGGGGCTAATGTTATCCTGACAACAGGAGGTATAGACGATCTCTGCCTCAAATACTTTGTGGAGGCTGGTGCCATGGCCGTTCGCAGATGTAAAAAGGTGGATCTGAGAAGGATTGCCAAGGCAACAGGAGGTGAGAGACTGAAATATTCTAAACAAATATTGAATATCTAAATTTTGTCAGTTCTCAAGATGTTTTAATTTATTATTTCATGACAGCTGTTTTGTTTATGCTTTGTTTGTTTATAACTGATTTTGAAATGTGTCAGTAGTACTATTACTTCTAAAGAAGAACATATATAATCAATTGCTGTTCATTAGAATTGTAAAAACTTTAAGGTCAAAGATCACATGTTCACTTCTGATCATCAATATTGAAATTAAGCAGATTAACAAGGTTCAACTGTGCATTTACATCACAGATATAAATAGATTTGGCCATGTTTTATTTCCAATTTTAATTTCATATTTTAGGGCAGTTGGTATTGACTATGGCTAACTTAGAAGGAGAGGAATCTTTTGATGCAAGCATGCTAGGACAGGCGGAGGAGGTGATACAGGAACGAGTGTCAGATGACGAACTCATTCTCATTAAGGGGTTGGTGTTTTATAATAAGTACTCCTCTCACAATTTGTTAATACATTTGATTAAACTGACATCTAGCGGTTGTCCCATTTGGCACTAGTTTACAGGATTGAATGTTGCCCAAAATTGACTTTAGCATATCTGCAAATCGCTATCCATGTTAACATGCCTATGTCAGTGATCTCATATACTTGTGTACTCCTAATTTTGATGATTCTCGTAGAATTTCTTAAAAAACTTTAAAAGTTTTACATTGCCAAACCCATTCTTTTTAGCAATAGAGATGAAAAGTAGTCAGGAAAATAGATTGCTAATTGATCCTTGTGATGTACATTTAAAGATTTGGATTCTTAACGAAATGTTTAAAGGTTATTTGATTTTGCCCTCTCTTTAGTGACCACTAGTAAAACAAGAAATGTTTAAATTACCCTGTCTGACCATCTGCCTGGGGCTGGAATATTGATGTTGTGCTCTTTTGCTTTTCATAAAATTTTGACAACATTTGATAAGAGTATGCCCTTTGTGTAGATATTCTGTATGAAGTATTGACCTTGAAAATAGGTTTGGAGTTAAACTGAATCTGGCATGGAATAGATTCTGAATATTTCTGACATTCTGTAATCTTAGCCATTAAAATATATTGCAATATAAATATATACTCTAAGATGATAAATAGTCGAGCAGAAAAAAATGCATAGAAATATCTTTTGTTTTCCATCAGAACAAAGGCAAGATCTGCTGCATCTATCATCCTGCGTGGAGCTAATGACTTTATGTGCGATGAAATGGAACGGTCCGTCCATGATGCCCTGTGTGTAGTGAAACGTGTCCTCGAGTCCAAGTCTGTTGTCCCTGGGGGCGGAGCTGTGGAAGCTGCATTGTCAATCTACCTGGAAAATTATGCTACATCACTGGTTAGTAGAATTGAGCTGTGTATTTCAGCATATAAATAACTTTAACTTTGCCAGCCCTTACAGAAAAATTTTCTGGCTGATGCAAGTCCTATGATGATTATGAATTATGAAAGTTTGATGATTGTACTACTCAAACACTCTAATTTTTTTCTGAGGACAGATAATTCATCATTTTCATTTTGGAAATTTGTGATTGGTTTGAATTGCAAAATCAATACTATTTAACATGTTGTGATGAGTTACATGACATAGATAAAAAATAGGAACGTAGATAATCTTCAACCATAGATTAGGTTTCCCCAAATATTTGATATTGATACTTTAATAACATTTTTACATTTATCAGATGATTAAGTTTCTATTTTGTTCAGAGGGATTATTACAATTGGATGAGGATAAATTGAATAACTGGCAATCAGTTTTTCATAAACACATATTTCTACGTGTGAGAGAGGCTAACATTGTCAATGTATAAAGAGATTGAGCAATGCAAACATTAAAGTCAATTACAGCAGTAACTGAAAATATTACTTTTATGCCCTGCCTTCAAATAGGGGTTGGGTATATAGCAATTCCCTTGTCCGACCCATCCTGTCCAATGTATTTTAATTACTTAGCAACTTCATTCATTCATGGATTTTGGTCAAATATTATACAAAGCTCAGTTAGGGGTATGCTTCGGACATCATTGTGTTTCAGGGGCATTTAGTGTAGATGGAGTGCCTTATCACAAACATGTGTCTCTGTGAAAGAGAGGTTGTAGTGTAGAGGGTAGATGGAATGCCTTAACACAAATCCGGTGGTTTATAAGAAGGGAGGTTGAAAAGCAAGTGGTTATTGCAGTCTGTCCAGTGATGATCCTTCGATATGAATATAAATTTGATGATTGCAATAACAAACACTCTAATTTTTATCTGAGGACAGATTTTATAGTCAAAGATCAGGTAGCATGTTATATTATAATTATATATATAGTCATGAACAACTTAGAGGATTTTAACAAAATTTTAGAACGGATAAGCAAACAAGCTGATTAATTCTACTGAAAAGCTCTCAACTTCTTGATGGTAGTTGGCACGGATTAGTGTTGCACATAGAAATCTTGTATTTTCTTAGTATATTTTTATAGTCTTAAAAATGTGTTAAAGTCTCAATCATATTTATTCTGCTATAAGCCCTAGAACTTTTTAGCAACCAAGTGAACAATCTACTTATTTGAGACCGAGGTTATTATGTATCCCTCCATTAAGGATTGAACCAGGAACTTCATGCTTACTGTTGTTATGTTGTAAGACAAGTTCCCCTTGGCAGAGCAGTATATTGTAGCTAGTACTTTACCAAAGTTGCATATATTTGTTTGGGTTTATTACCAGATGTGGTGAGAATTACATGACAGGAGATGTTATATACAAAAACCAGTGGTTATTACAGTCTGTCCAGTGATGATCCTTCGATATGAATATAAATTTGATGATTGCAATAACAAACACTCTAATTTTTTATCTGAGGACAGATTTTATAGTCAAAGATCAGGTAGCATGTGATATTATTATTATATATATAGTCATGAACAACTTAGAGGATTTTAACAAAATTTGGTCTGAAGCAACCATTGGGGGAAAGAGGAACAATTTTATATGTGGTGAGTCTCAGCTCTGAGGGATTGGGCCAAAAAGGGAAAATGTTTAAATCCTACTTCTGTAGGAACAATTGGATTTTGCCCTTATTTGGTATGAATCATTCTTGGGTAAAGGAAACTTTTGTATACATGGTTTTGCTGACTATCTGGAGGTAGAGGGGTCGGACCCAAGGAAGAAATTGATGTAAGCTTTAATCATTTCTTTTCTTTTAGATTGGATAAGCAAATAATCAATTAATTACACTCAAAAGTTCTAAACTTCTCGATGGTAGTTGGCACAGATTAGTGTTACACGTAGAAATCTTGTATTTTCTAAGTATATTTTTCTTGTCTTAAAATATTTTTGAATGTCTGTGTTCAAGTCTCAATCATAATTATTCTGCTATAAGCCCTAGAACTTTTTAGCAACCCAGTGAACAATCTACTTATTTGAGACAGTGGTTGTTAATGTATCTCAGACAGTGGTTGTTAATGTATCTCTCCATTAAGGATTGAACCAGGAATGTCATGCTTACTGTTCTTATGTTGTATGACAAATTCTCCTTGGTTGCATATATTTGTTTGGGTTTAATACCAGATGTGGTGAGAATTACATGACAGGAGATGTTATATACAAAAACTAATGGTTATTACAGTCTGTCCAGTGATGATACTTCGATATGAATATAAATTTGATGATTGCAATAACAAACACTCTAATTTTTTATCTGAGGACAGATTTTATAGTCAAGAAACGTATAACCTGGTTTTTCATACACATGTAATTTTCTTTTTATTCACAATGAATTCAGAAAGTAAACTTTCAAATCATGAAATGCTTTGTCATACACATTATCAGAATTTAATCCCTTGTCAAATGAGTATAAAGTATTCACAAATGAAAATATCTGAACCAAGATGATAGTGTCACTAAGCATGATTTTCTGTATCCTTTGAAAAGATCAATATGTACTGTTTGCTTCTGACTTCCAAAAATACTAACTGTCAGTTAAGTGTGAAACAACAAATTTTTATTTGTTCATTGTCTGTATATGTCACAAACAAAAAATATGTGATCCTTTTGCAGACATCATTTATTCAAAGTGTTCAGTGTTTGTACATCCTGTGATGAAAATAAGTTATGAAAGTTTGATGATTTTACATTTCAAACACTCTAATTTTTTTCTGAGGAAAAATTGTTTAAATTCTGGATTTATGATCTTTGTGTTGTGTAAAAACAATTGAATAACATTGTGCAATACAAATTTCAAACTTAACACAGCAGAGTCAAGTAATAAGTGAAGCTGGAACACACAGCTTTTTTCCTTCTAGGATGTTGGAGGAGTCTTTAAGTGTTGAAATTTAGGTGATAACTTTGTTTTCATTTTCCTGATTTCTGTTTGTGTGGCACTCTAAACCGTCCAATCACTTTTGGTAAATGAGAATACAACATGGAAGGCGTTACTGAGGAAAGTTTGAAGTGTGACAGCACAATTATTTCCACACTTTGATTTCCTCACATTTACACTTAATGATAGACGGACCAACCATTTGTACTGTAGATTGTTTTTTGTTATGTGTGACATCTTCACAACCAATGGGTGAGTTTCAGATTAAGTTTGTGACTTTAACATTGAGTATGAACAAAAACCATTTAACACAATGTAGAAGTAATTGTGTTGATTATTATCAATGCCATCTCTTCATGTATCTGAATTTTGTCCACAGGGATCCCGAGAACAGTTGGCCATCGCAGAGTTTGCAAGATCCCTGCTGGTGATCCCCAAACAGCTGGCTGTGAATGCTGCCCAGGACTCGACTGATTTAGTGGCCAAATTGCGTGCTTACCACAACATGTCTCAGACCAAACAGGAACACCGTGACCTCAGATGGTGAGTCTTCACTTTCAGACACTATCTTATTTTTTATTCAATCACACAAAGAATTAGTAACCTTGCAACCTCAGATGGTGAATCTTCTCATTCAGTTAATTTATGCTGATATTGTTGTCCCAGTTATCTCCCTTGCTGTTTTATAGTGTAAAACACCAGAGTTATTACCCTGTTTACAGCCTGTGCAGGAGTTTGTATCAAAGTTATCTCCCTTGTGGAGAGCTGCTTACCTACATCTGATGTACGTGTTTGTTTATGAGCTCACCCTTGTGGAAATATGCTATTTCATACCCCATGCATATGCTTATCTGTGATTTCCATTTCACGCAACTTTGTGGTGGTTTTGTTGTGTTTAATGTTATGCCTAAATCTGAATTGTCTTTTAAAAGAAAAATTGATGTGGAAAAAAGTTTTGCACATTAAAGTAAGCATTCTTGTTTTATTTTGTAGGATTGGCCTTGACCTCTATGAAGGAAAAGTCAAGGACAACAAGAAGCAAGGTGTATTCGAACCCACTATTTCTAAGATCAAATCCCTCAAGTTCGCTACTGAGGCAGCTATTACAATCCTGAGGATAGACGACTTGATCAAACTGACACCAGAGAAAAAAGAGGGCAATTCTTACCAGGATGCTCTCAATAGAGGAGAGTTATAAACCAAAGTGACTCTAGGACTAATATTTATTTTGAATTCCATTCTTACAGTGCTCATTATGTAAGCTTCATGCAATGTGGAAAGGACCATATTGATGAAATGAAAAGCATTATAGCTTCTACTGTGAACAAAATTCTTTCATAAAATGTTTGTTTTTTGTATGTGCATACCCCCACCATTTCAACTGTGAAAAAATGCAATAAAAATGAATAAGAACTGTGGATTGTTTTGTTGTTTTCTTCAAAGATATTTTTACACCACTCATATCTTGACTGAAGCATTATGGTATAGTCTATTTGATGTCTATCCTCTTTGGCCGACAAATCTCTTTGTCTTTGACCTCTGTACTCGGAACTTCGCAGACTATAAGACCAGTGTCATGAAGTTGTGATTTTAAGGTCATATTAATCAAAGGGTCAGGATGACCTATTGCTGTCCTGTTGTGTCCATCGTTGTGCACCATGCACAAAATTTTTCACATTTTTAACATCTCTTTAGAAACCAGAATGCCAATGTTTATCATATTTGGTAACACACATCTTTAAAGCAAATTAGTTCAAAATTGCAAAATCCCCCAGGGAGCCAATGAAATTCCTACTGAAACCATCAACATTGAAATGATTCCTTCTTAGGCAGTTGACAGAGAGAAGATCACACATTTAGATATAAATTAATGCTTCAGTTGAATAATTTAGTGTAAACTTATAAAGACAATTCAGTATAAAATCTAAAATACAGAATGTTTTTATGGCTTCACTTTAACCTTTATTATCAATTTTGCTTATCTCAAATGACTGTCAAGGCTGCTTGGCCTCTTGTGTTACTTTCCTAGTCGTCAATAGATTTATATAAGACTTACTCTTCTTTTGTAACATGAAGTTGCACTTATCAAGTGGGATATTTACATTTTGAAGCAAGACATGTTTCGCAGTTTTGGTACAAGACTCTTTATGTTAACTCTTCATGAATCTGTGGTATAAAATACTGAAACATGTACTTAGTGGAATCAGTTCTTTCTGAAATTTCATAAAAGGTTTGTTGATACTTCACACCTTGTAAAAGGGTTTAGGATACTTTACACCATGTGAAAGGTTTGTGATTTCTTCCTGTGACTTTCAAAATGCTTTTGGATACTACAAAGCTCTGTAAAATCTTTGCAGATACCTATATAATTTTCGAAAAGCTTACAGATATTTGTATAACTTGCCAAATATTTCACTTCAAGCTTCTCCCATTCATTCTCATTCATATGAATTTGATTTCAACTAGATGAAAATCAAGCAGGTGTGAATGTCATTTTATTATGCACATAATCCATTAAGGGCAGATGCAATGCATGTCTGAATTAATTAGCTTTAAAACTAATAGGTCATCTGACCTGAAGGGTCAGGATAACCTATAGCCTTGTGCTTCCTCCATTCATATGTTGTCTGCTGTGTGTAAAATTTCCTTTCAAACAATTTTTTCTCAATAACCACAAGGTCCAGGGTGCTGATATTGTGCATTGATAAAGAGCTAGCAACTTGTTCAAATGACATTGGCCCACTTTAAAGGTCACAGGAGTTTAAATGTGTTTAAATATTCAAACAACTAATCAATAACTGAAAGGCCAATGGTTCTGATATTGATCCTGAAGCATGCTGGGATAATGGACTACCAAGTTTGTCCATATCAATGACCTTGACCTACTTTCAAGATTTTAGGGGTCTAACATGCTAAAATCTTGAAACAGTTCCCGCATAAGTAAAAAATGAAAGCTGTTGCTATAGGTTCTGTAACATAATTGGATAAGGGGCTATCAGATTTATTTAAAAAGTTGACCATGACCCACTGCAATGTTTACTGAGCAGAAATATATTGAGAATTTAAAATCAATTCTTCAAACATACAGTAGGTCCTGGATCATGGTATTTCTGTAGTAGCATGCTTGAAGAAAAGGATTCTAAGTTAACAGATACTGACTTCATGAACTGAAAAACTCTTCAGTGTAAGGTGTTGAACTGATAATTCAGACCCATCATTTATAGGTCTTTATTGTCAGATGCCCATTAAGGCCCCTGGGCTTCTTGTTCAGTGTATAAAAGTATAACAACTAATTGCATATTTGATTTCATTAAGTTTAAGTTTAATCAACATACAGAAATCATGGTATGTATAAACTGGCTTACTATTTATAGTAACAGTGACCTTTAATATTCAACTTCAAATATAAAGTTCTCCAAAGAAGTTCATTAGAGCAAAAAATGTATAAAGTATGAGATTGATGGGCCTTAAAAATCACAAGTCACGTGTATTACACAGAAATGCTTGTGAGGTGAAAAAATTACACCTCCATTTAGTTATTATATTCCCCAGTAAGTTGAGACAGAGTGGCCGAAATAATAATCACTTTGTGAGGCCTATACATTTTAGCGGTAATCTGATTATAGATTTTTCGCATTAGAAAATATTATTCCAAAACATAACTACTGTAATTACATTTTTTTCATGGATGTTCATATTTGCCATAAAAAATAATGTGCTTGAATTTTATTGTGCCTTATTAAATATGTTTACAGTATTTAACTTATAACTTAGGAGACAGACTTGTTTAGCCACGCATTCTCCAGATTTGCCGTGACTTTTTTGCGAGTTCTGCCTTACACTTTTTGATAATTGCCTTTTCTCTGTCTCTGTATCTGTTCACCATTTTCCTCACCAGGTCTTCATACTTCCGGTCCAGATCTTTCAACTTCCTGTTATAGTGTTGCTTTAAGTTAAACTCCTTTTCTTTGTATTTTTTTTCTAATATCTTCTCCTTTCTCTTGTATTTATCTGTGAGTTGTCTTTCCTTACGTTGCAAACTTTCTGTAAATATTCGCAATCTTGTGTCGAGTTCTCCTTGCACCCGACGCCTCCATTCCCAGTATCTTTCCTGTAAATAACGTTCTTGTCTGCGATGTTCAGCAACTTTTCGCTTCATCTGTCTCTTCTGCCTGAAGATTTCAACTTGGAGGTTGTCAATTTTCTTTGTTAAGTTTTCGCAGTCACATTTTCCTGGAGGTACCGCTGTAAATTGATAACAATTAAACATTAAAATGCTAATTATCTTTATTTATGTTTACAAGAGTCAAACATACCATAAAGTTATGACCCATAATAGCAGGCATTTTAAATTTACGTTCATTGCAAACTGTGCATGTATTTTTATTATCTCATTTTCAATTGATACCCATGACAGATATGCATATGAGCCTTGTCACAACTTGTGAAAATCATTGCTCATATACAACATAGTTTACAGACAAAATTTTTGTATATTATGAAATATAAGACAAAAATTGAATGATTCATCTTGTGAATTAAACAGATAATCTAGCATCCAATGATTTCACATATTAGTTGTGGTGATATGTGGTTCAGTTGAAACGAGCATTGTTCATCGTGATACTGACAAATTTATCTGCGCAAAATTACACAGGATTCTAGAGTAAAACTGCTACAAAGGGTTTCTGCCTCTACCATCCCACTTTGGGTTTTTTGTCTCAAGCTAATATTAAAAAGGATATTTAATGGTTTTTCATGTTATACTTATATCATGACTAAGACAAAATATCTGTATTCATTTGTGTGAAGCATCAGTGTATATATATATATATGAGAATATATGATCAATGACATAATAACGACAGTACGGGCAAGCAAATTGTCAAAATATTTAGGCAGTCTGTCCCTTTATAAAGACACTAATATTACATAAATTACATCCAAGAGATAGAACACTAAACAAATGCAAAATTATAGAGTTATGTCGAGAAAATTTAGGTGTCTCAATAATCCCTTCAGACAATGGACGCCGAATGAGAATACAGATATTGTTTGTCACATGAGTGAAATATACACAATATTTAATGGAAAACCATTTTCTTTTTATTCCAGTTCAAGTGGAAAAACTGATGATAGAAAAGAAAAAAAGAAAAAATTGGTACTCAAAATAACCTGATGTTCAAAAAAGTATGGGAAATATCAGTATATTCCAAGTCAGAGAGTTTGACGTTATGCTTGACAAGACAATGTTATTTGAAATTGACAGCTTAATGTGGTTGCCGTTCTATGTCCTTACCTGGTAAGAATTGCTCAGAAAACGTGTTTTGAAAATACCAAAGCAGTAAAAATGCAAAATGAAAAGATTTGATGATTTTATAAAAATTGATTAATTCATCTATTTCAGTGGAAAAATGTGACAAATATATTTGGCTGGAAGAGAACAATATTTTATTTACCAACTAAAGTTTATAAATTATTTTAAAATTGATACGACAGAGAGCTATTTATTTTTGTCTGACCGATGTGGAAAGTATATGTTTTAAGATCATGTGCCTGTACTTTTCACTTCCAAAAAATCAAAAGATTACAAGTTATTTAGTAGACTAAGAGATAATATATTGTGAGTACAGTGTATTGATTCTAAATTTGGTGTAAATTTCTAGATCATTGTCAAAAGAAAAGAAATTATGATGTGTAAAAAGAACAGACAATTTTGACATCAATGAAAGTTTGTTGTTTGATATTGCTTACTGCCACTGTTTTTTTTCTCAGATTTCTGAGAAACTGACTGACTGCTCAAATTGTTATGTCTCTTTCCAAGACACTATCCTAATTGTTCTTGATGCCATGCAATGGGCCTCCCTTGTGTTGTTCAGTGAGGTAGCCACCAGCTACTTTCAAGGAGGCCCCATTTTAAAATGACCCTAGCTGTTGACAGGGCAACACACCCAGCCAAAAAACAAATTGCAAACATTTAGATAATCAAACAGAGAAACCTTGTAATACAGTGCATCAAATTCAAACCCATTATAGATTTGTAGTGCATGAACTACTATGTATAATCTTAGATAAATTATTTGAATGAACACAATCTGTAGATACCACGAGCTGCCTCCAAATTAGCATAAATTTCGTTCAAGGTATGATTACCATACTAAAAAGTATTTAAAGGTGAGTTTGAAGCAAAAAGGATTTTTCTCAGAAATAAAGAAATAGAAAAACCTTACATACTCTCCTGTCTATATTAAACTAAAACTAGAAGTTTTTAAAAATAATTTGTACAGTTTAAAAATATTTCATGTTAAAGACATGCATTTTCTGTCTCCAGTGTAAAGTTTTCATTGAGTTATCAATAACTCAAACTGATTTGCTTTCTCTGTGACAGGATATAGAAACAAAAAAAGGGCAATGCAATGGTGTAGAATTTAATCCTTAATCAGTCACCTATCACAAACAATAGCTATATATAGATATATCAGTGTTCTTTATAAGATCCTGTTGGTGTGTTATTGTTTCTCCAGCCAGCTATTTCTATTTTCCCTATCCAAACATGCCTCTCCGTCTGTAACCGTATCGACGCCTTCTGTATACCCTCCATCTTCGTCGTCGCCGTGGGTAACTACCCGAGTACATCATCATTCTGAAGTAATTTCCCCCACTTCTAAGGAAACAGTACATCCTGTCCAGCCATGTCCAACTGGAAAGGTCTTGGAAGGAGGACAAGGAATAGTTGTCAAGGAGACGAAAGAAGGTGTTACAGTCTGGAAGTTGTCTGGCTGGCGAGGTAGTGGTTGATGTAGTAGTTGTTGGCGTGGTTGTAGGAGTGGTTGTCGTGCTGAAAATGATGACAACAACTCTAAGCTTTGTCCTTGGTCCAATGAAACTGTTTTAAGGATGATCTTTTCTAATGATCTTAACATCGGTATGTTTAGTTTCAGATTTAAGTATTCTGTTACATCTGTATGTTTATGGGGATTAAACATTTTACTGACTTTTCTGGCTTATAACCAGACATCACTTTTTGACGGAAATAAATGAAATAAATAAAACCTTAATCGACAGTGAGCAGTGATCATTTCTGTCTTACCTATAACAATTACACAGGTCTGTGTGTCTTTTAAAGGCATGATGAACCACACAGGTCCCTGTCTTTCAAATACAACCAGAATTACACAGGTCACTGTGACTTTTAAAGATATTGAAATTACACAGACCCTTGTCTTTCAAAGGTATTTTGAACTACTCAGGCCCCTATCTTTTTTAAATACATTGTGAATTACAAGGTGCATCTTTCTCACCATTAAGAGTTTTTAAGAGATTTTGCATTATTATTTCAAAATACTTCAGGTAGGGATACTGACAATTCATTTGAGGTAATGGGGCCCTCAGATCTATTGCTTTTGATAATAAACATGTCTCTGATTTGTATATTTGTTCATTTATGCCACATACCTTGGTTTCAATGTTGTTGTTGTTGTTGTAGTTGTAGCTTCTGAAAATTCAAAACAGCCGTGTCATCACAATGTAATGTGTCATCACAATGTTACATGTCATCACAATGTAATGTGTCAACACAATGTAATGTGTCATCACAATGTTACATGTCATCACAATGTAATGTGTCACCACAATGTAATGTGTCATCACAATGTAATTAATGTGTCATCACAATGTTACATGTCATCACAATGTAATGTGTCAACACAATGTAATGTGTCATCACAATGTAATGTGTCATCACAAAGTTACATGTCATCACAATGTAATGTGTCATCACAATGTAATGTGTCATCACAATGTAATATGTCATCACAATGTAATATGTCAACACAATGTAATGTGTCAACATGATTTAATGTGTCATCACAATGTAATGTGTCATCACGATGTAATGGGTCAACATGATGTAATGTGTCATCACAATGTAATGTATCATCACAAAGTTATGTGTCAACACAATGTTATGTGTCATCACAATGTAATGTGTCATCACAATGTAATGTGCCATAACAATGTAACATTTCATCACAATATTAATATGCCAACACAATATTAATATGTCAACACAATGTAATATCTTCGTTTACTTTAATCATATAAAAAGTCATGATGATTTACCATCAACTGGTTAAAATTTTATAAATATGATTGGTATCTAAATCCTTTTTGGATAACCAGGTATACAGAGGTTAAAGTCACCAGAATCACTGGACTAATACATATTTCTGTCAAACATCATAACTCTACATATCAACTTGAGAATGTATGTGATAGCTTAGGTACAAAATGATTCTATATAAAGGTGTCCAGGACTTCATAAATACATATAGTAGTATTTACTTATAGTGGTAGTGGTATTTACCTGTAGTAGTGGTCGTGGTATTTACCTGTAGTAGTAGTGGTATTTACCTGTAGTAGTAGTAGTAGTAGAAGTGGTATTTACCTATAGTAGTGGTAGTGGTATTTACCTGTAGTAGTGGTAGTGGTAGTGGTATTTACCTGTAGTAGTGGTGGTGGTATTTACCTGTAGTGGTAGTGGTAGTGGTATCTACCTGTAGTAGTGGTAGTGGTATTTACCTGTAGTAGTTGTAGTGGTAGTGGTATTTACCTGTAGTAGTGGTAGTGGTATTTACCTGTAGTAGTGGTAGTAGTAGTGGTGGTATTTACCTGTAGTAGTAGTAGTGGTAGTGGTATTTACCTCTAGTAGTAGTGGTAGTGGTAGTGGTATTTACCTGTAGTAGTAGTTGTTGTATTGGTATTTACCTGTAGTAGTGGTAGTGGTATTTACCTGTAGCTGTAGTAGTGTTATTTACCTGTAGTAGTAGTGGTAGTATTTACCTGTAGTAGTAGTAGTAGTGGTAGTGGTATTTACCTGTAGTAGTGGTAGTGGTATTTACCTGTAGTAGTAGTTGTTGTATTGGTATTTACCTGTTGTGGTAGTTGAGGTTGTTGTCTCCTCAGTTGTTGTGGTGTACAGCTCTGTCGTTGTCTCCTCCACTTGGCCCTGACACAATGCGCAGCAGGTCTCCTGCTCTGTATCACAGTTCTCCTCTCGACAAGTCCCAATTTTATCACCAAACTCACAGTCTGTACAACACAAAACATCATATCTTTGTTAAACATGTCCTAAAAAGTCTGATCTGTGCTGGTCTCAGTTAATAACAAATTTACGTTGTCTTTATCTAATTTTTTCTGATTGTACGACAAACGATATTAAAGTAACTTTGAACTGTCTCTCAGAGTTTGGACCTTAACGCTCACCAGTGATTTTGGTCCTAAAGCTGTTACATTTGGCACAGCATGCTCGCTCCAACGACTGTTGATAGCAGCTATAGGGTTCAAGGTCAATCTCACCACAGGTCCTCCCAAACGGAAGTACAGGCTGGTCACCAAATACACAGTTACCTCGGGGAAAAAAAAGGGTAATACAGTTACCTAGGCAACAACACAACTTAGGTGTGATACAGTTACCTAGACAAGGATACAACATGTAATGTGTGGTACAGTTACCTAGACAACGATACAACATGTAACGTGTGTTACAGTTACCTAGACAACGATACAACTAAGGTTTGATACAGTTACCTAGACAACGATACAACATGTATTGTGTGATACAGTTACCTAGACAACGATACAACATGTAACGTGTGATTCAGTTACCTAGACAACGATACAACATGTTACGTGTGATGCAGTTACCTAAACAATGATACAATATGACAATTAAAACTCATGTTCAATGGTCTTATACATTTTTATATTACAAATATACAACCTAAGACAGTTCTCAACTGAATGTCCAAATCAAAATACTTAAATTTACTTCAGTTTTAGCTATTACTTGATTTTAACACTTTCATGATTTTTTTCAATAAAGATATAAATTGGCACAAATATGTCACAGTACTGAATATTTGTTAGGGAAATGTATATTGCGATGAGACAATCCAGGAAGCATATAGTTGCCGCTTTGTCCCATTGTTTATCTTTCTGTCATTCCTTTGGAGTTGATAACATAATTTAAGCTAGGATAAGGAAACGTGCTTCATGGTTACATTGGTCATACTACAAGGATGTGCATTGTACCAAGTTAGGCCTACAAACCCCTTCATTGCAGAATTATTGCCATTTGTTAAAATTTTGTGTCCAATAATGTTATATTCAGGGAGAATTTCTCAGTTGACTGACACTTGGGTTTGTACTTGATTTCTGTAACTTACCTACTGCTGTCCCGGCCGTCAGATCTTCCTCGCATACCCCTCGGTGGCATTTCTAAAAACAAACAAACAAATAAAAACATATCAACAATAGACAAAAGTTAATTCATTAGTAGAACTTGAAACTATGGCATGATAACCAACTACAAAAAAAGGAAAAGAAATGAACAGTCTTCAGTCTGAAGACATTATTGTGTGTGTTTTATTTAGTCACTATGTATTTCTGTATAAAACAAAGGGAGAAAAATTCTGGCTTTCTCCTTTTTGAAGACATGACTGTGAATGTGCCAGTCATACAGAGATAAAAAACCAATATTCTGGAACCAAAGCTTAACTTTGCAATAGCTTAATGTAAAGATCTACACACAATAACCCAGGGTTTACATTTATTTAAGAATGATTCTAAAGAATTTGCTTTTTTAGGAGCAGCCCTTTCAGCCTTGGCAAAAAAGAAAATAAATAAAAATTGATATCCTTTAACTCAAGGATGTCTCAGACCATATTTGCACACAATCAAGGCTTTCCAATAGAAAAAGATAAGGATTCTAAAGAATTGGCTCTATTGGAACGATCTATACTAACAAGTACATGGTTTTAATCAGCACCAAAGGTTTGGGTAATACCCAACCAATACGGAGTGGCTCACGAACCTTAACTGACTTATAAAGGCATATCAATTATAGTAACAGCAATTGTAGTAGTGTGAACGTTCATCGAATGATTAAACATACAGCACATTGGCAGCCGTGGAACTTGGGAAGTTTTAAACGTGAAAAAATATGTCGCACGGCTGACGTCGCACGACGACGGACAAAACATGATGGCTGAAAATACATTTAAAGGTGCGACTGGCAAGACAAATACACTAACATAGAAACTGATATCAGATAATTGTACATATATTATATAAACAAAATGTGTTTTTAAAAATAGACAACAAACTTGTCAGTCTTTCGATGGGAAACCTTTTTTATGGTCTTTGAGAACAAAAAGATACCCGAGCAACGATATCTAAGGACGAGACATTTTATTCAGTACAATACGTAATGACTACATTAAACTAAAACACAATAAAACTATTTAACTTTTTCGTTGAAACATCTGCTTTTTATTTCCCACATACCGAATTGTTTCCACATATGGTACCGTCCGCCGGAAGCAGGAGAGCGCATGAGCCAGTTTCCGGTACAAAGCATGGCATTCCGCGGCAAATAGTTGAGTAGTCCATGATAAATTCCTGTTAATATTAATCACATTGTAATGACGCAGGTCCATCCAAATTCATGCATGATCAATTTTAGAAGATATGTAACCAGATTTGTGAAAACCGTGGCACTGAAAAATGGTGTTGTAGATCCACTTATAAAAAATTACACACTTTTCACGTCAATAATTGGGCCAAGTCAAGTCAACGTAATAAACATTATCTGTCAACTCATTAATAAATCTTTTTTCTTATCTCCCCCATTCCCCCTCCCTCCTCCAAATGTGAGCAATATTTTTGTGTTTGCTATTTTTCTCGAAATGACCGCCAGAGGAAGGCTTTTCATTTGTTAAAATTTAGATATTATCTGACTTCTATGAAAGTAGGTTATGTATACGTATATTATGGCATTACGACTTAACTTTCCTGATTTATCAAAATGGTCGTCATTTCTTCGCCTCAGATCGGGGTCGGATTGATTTACAGAAAAAATTATATGATTTTGATTAGATTTGATATGTTGGTGTATCATGACCCCACAACCTCTGAATCAATTGGTTAAACAAAGCGACCTCCATTGGCACGACTCTTGCCCCATACTAAAATCTAATTATGAGACCCCTCGCTCACGGAAAACAGTACTCGGTGTCAAAGTGGCGGCTTTCCGGAGTTACGGGCTATCGATACATGTAAATATATCTATGGCACAGTATTTAAGGGTTAGAATTTGAACTAGTACATTCAGCCAAATCACCACAGACGACATAACAGGTACAGGACAGTTCGATTCTTATACTACAAACGTGTGTTGTGTACGTCGATATCTACTACCAACACACTAATAGCCTTAAATTCCACTAATATGGACTAATTTTGTGAAATCCAACTCCAATTCGTTTTCGAATCAAAATGGGTTTTTAAATGGATCTTAATGTGTACTACAGCAACACGCTTTGAAATATAATTTTCAAAGTGCATTGAGTTGTGGGGGGAAAGTGCGTTGACTTTCCCAATTTTTTACTCGAGAAAAAAGAGGGTTTATTTTTCCCCAAAGTTAACGTATGTGAAAAAAAATTTTAAATGCGTCTTTTTTCAAATTAGGTTGTAACATATGCCAACTCAAGCTATGTATTGAGATATGTATCACCTACCTACATATCATATAGACTGAAATAACACATTAATTTAATAAGAAAAAAGTTCAAGGCTTGCTATTTTTCATATTTGATAGACACTGTAAGCTCCTTAAAAGTTCCTGACCTGTACCTCGACAAAATCAAATATTATGTGGGTGACATGTATGATACTAGTGGATCGCTTTCCTAAGATCTCTTTGATTAAGAGAAACAATATGTTAGCAGGGTGTAGTTTCTTTTTAGTTGTACTTAATGTTTAACTTCGTGCGGAAATTCGGAGCTTTTTTATCCAAGAGCTAACCATGATTTTGCTATGTCGTAGTCAAGGGGTACAAAGACAATATGTAAATCGTGAGTGGAACCCTTGGTTTTCAAGATGTTGTTTAGAACCAGGCCATTAGTTGATATTGGTCGGTAGGTAACTCTGAAAGACTCTACTTAAACAATGTTCTTCCAAATTAGGATCTAACCCCTGCTAGGGAGACTCTTCTTCAATCGCCCTTAAAAGATACGCCCGCCTCAGAATCGATGTGATTCCCACCTGAAAAATCATATCTTTCATTTACCCGACAGACGTACGAGTTTTGACCATATTTATCCGACAGACGTAGGAGTTTTGACCATATTTACCCGACAGACGTAGGAGTTTTGACCATATTTACCAGACAGACGTAGGAGTTTTGATCATATTTACCCGACAGACGTATGAGTTTTGACCGTTGGTCAGTCTGCACTGTTGGTCAGCTCCGTAAGTATCGCCGGGTAACTCCTGGAGATATTCATCCAAGTTCTCCGGGTATTGATTTCCGTACGAGTCCTGCAGACAGTTACTGTGATCAGGAAAAATAGTCCAATATCAAAACTTGAAATTTTAGGTGTTAGATGTGTTTGATGTTTGAAAGCATTCCTGGTAGACAAGTATAGAACTAAGAAGTATTTAACATTCTAAAGGCATCAGTACAAATAAAAAACAAGAGGCCAATGGGCCTTAACGGTCATCTGACATAAGATACAAGATTTCAAATTTTTAACTTATTTCACCTGGATTTAAGAATCAAGGGCACTCAGCCACCACCTTGAAAGTGGGTTAAGGTTATTCATTTCAACAAACTTCGTAAACCTTCATCCCAGCATGCTACAGGCCAAATATCATCACCCTGGGTGTTCTGGTTATTCAGCGGATGTCTGAAGTAACAAACTTTTGTCAGTGCCATGTCATGATCATTTCATGCAAGTTTTGGCTCAATCGCACTGGTGGAACTTGAGAAGAAGTCGAAAATGTGTTTTCAAAATGGCCGCCATCTTAGATTTCGGACCAACCCGAAATTAACAAACTTTGGTCAGGATCATGTCACGATCATTTCAGGTAAGTTTCAGCTCAATGAGACAGGCAGAACTTGAGAAGAAGTTGAAAATGTTACGACAGACGACGGACGACGCCGGACAAAAGGCGATCTCAATATGACATCAGACCATTCGGGTCAGATGACCTAAAAACAAAATCAAATCCATTTCATTTTATTTTTTGCAAAAAGATTAAATATTTGATAGAAGTCATGAAACATATAACATGGATTTTCTCCACTACTTTTCAACGTGTCTAGTTTTTCGTGATTTTATTTCTCCTCCGAAAATAGTTTTAAAAAACTCTAGCTCCTCGAACCATATTCGAGACATATTCATACCATCGCACTTCAAATAAGCTTAAATGTCTCTATGTTTACTTAATTCCAATGTTGTTTTGTCTTTAAGTAAGAGATACATACGTCTCCAGCTCCCCTATAAATTCCTTGAAGTAGCTGATGGAACAGGGGGAAAATTCCCAGAGATTTCTGGCTCGTGCTTCGTCCGGTGGAAAGCGGAACCTAGGTGTCATCATGTTCAAGTTTGTCGATAAACAAAAGTTTCCATCCAGGTCTAGTCTCGCTCCCAGACTGCAGTATGATATATTATACAATAACAGTAAAATACAGCATCATATGATATAAACGTGAAACAATTTGATACAGTACAACGCTACACCTATTTAGTCACAATAAACGATACACCGCAATTACACAAATCACAATAAAACCAGACTACAAAACGTCCATAAAATATGCTTATATACGTAACGTTACATTTCTTACTGTAATTATGATACATTTCCATAATATCTTCAACGTGTATCTGGTAAGTCTGATATGTATACCGGTAACAATCAACGTGTATCTGGTATGTCTGATATGTACACCGGTAACAACGTGTATCTGGTAAGTCGGATATGTACACCGGCAACAATCAACGTGTATCTGGTAAGTCTGATATGTACACCGGCAACAATCAACGTGTATCTGGTAAGTCTGATATGTACACCGGCAACAATCAACGTGTATCTGGTAAGACTGATATGTACACCGGCAACAATCAACGTGTATCTGGTAAGTATGATATGTACACCGGTAACACGTGTATCTGGTAAGTCTGGTATGTACACCGGTAACACGTGTATCTGGTAAGTCTGTTATGTACACCGGTAACAATCAACGTGTATCTGGTAAGTCTGATATGTACACCGGTAACAATCAACGTGTACCTGGTAAGTCTGATATGTACACCGGTAACACGTGTATCTGGTAAGTCTGTTATTTACACCGGTAACAATCAACGTGTCAACGTGTACATAACACGTGTATCTGGTAAGTCTGATATGTACACCGGTAACAATCAATGTGTATCTGGTAAGTCTGATATGTACACCGGTAACAATCAACGTGTACCTGGTAAGTCTGATATGTACACCGGTAACAATCAACGTATATCTGGTAAGTCTGATATGTATAACGGTAACAACGTGTATATGGTAAGTCTGATATGTACACCGGTAACAATCAACGTATATCTGGTAAGTATGATATGTATAACGGTAACAACGTGTATATGGTAAGTCTGATATGTACACCGGTAACAATCAACGTGTATCTCGTAAGTCTGATATGTACACTGGTAACAATCAACGTGTATCTGGTAAGTCTGATATGTATACCGGTAACAACGTGTACCTGGTTATTCTGATATGTACACCAGCAACCTGGGTTAGTTATCTTAAGCACAAACTACTGTATACCTTTATTGTAATGTTTTTTTATTGGTGGCTTGTAGTAGATTTACGATAGGCATGTAAGTAGCTATATACTTATACTGTATGTATCTAATTTGGAGGTGGTGGAAAGCACACATACCTACGACCTATTTCCTGGCCGAAGAATCCCACTGTCCGAGTATCGTAGGTATCCTCAACAACAGAAATGGGAGAGAACGTGCAGATGGAATCAGGGAACGACAAACCTGTAACCATGGCCACAGTAAAAAAGGTGCTTACATTACGAGTACAAGCTTGAAACTCGGACGAGTGTAATAGGAAGGAGTAATGAAAAGCACCCTGCCACCACTAGGTTTCGAACTAGCAACCCTCCAGTCTCTAGCCGTACATTCTAAATGGAATTTCAGCTAGCCAAGGCTAGTAAGGCGACCTGCACGCTTAACTTCTACACGAGTATCTATGGACATGTAGCTTCGTGTATATCATGCGTTCATTCATCGCGATCTTGTAATATTGTAAAAAGTGTAAAACATACATCAGTTATGGTATGGAACCTGTTATTTAATTATTTGAGATATTCATCTTACCTTTGTAATAGGCAGTTCCGCCGTACGTTAGATTGTACCTGTAACAAATTAAAAAAAAAACACTGCTGACTTTGGCAATTAGGGTACAACACTTCAAGTATGACGGTATTTAATAGAAATGTAACAGCATACATGGACCATGATTTTAAAAATTCATTTATAAGTATACAGCAAAATTCTACCAGTCACATGAAGTCACATGATCTACCCCACGAAGGTCGCGATAACGGCTGACGTAATAATTAGATGCTATCTGATTGGTCTTTAAGTCGATCACTATGGAGACTGGCGATCAGCTTACCACGTGACCTACTCAGGTGACTGAAAATGTCACCCAGGTAACAGCTATGTGATAAAGTATGGAAGATTGCCATGACAACGAACTGCCTATTACCTTCGTTACTTACCCCGTAAAGAGAACTATGTGGTCAAAGGGTGGGAGGATGGTATCGTTGACCCAGCCATGAAAATCTTCCAATACTTCGGAAGCATCCACCATGTCCCTGAGTGACCCCTCCACCGGTTCTTCACGGCGACCCTCCGTCCAGTACGCCGCCGTGGCATTCTGTCGACGAACAACACATTTAGCTATAAAGTTTGCTCTTTATGGCTTATAACGGTGTTGTGTTTTAATTATTACGAGAAAAATAAGAAAAAAACAACAACAAAAGTCAGTAATAAATTTGTATTTCTGGGTGGTTAATGTGGTTCCGTGTTTACAGTAAAATTTTCAGGTAGTTTCTTTCAGTGACCAAAAGATTATAGCCGAGTGAAGAGAGGATGGGGATATACTTTAATAATATAACAGAAATACTCTTCGCATGTATGATTTCTCTTGTTATCAAGTTATAAAACATTTGATTGTACAACTGGTATAAAATACCTTGGCGATGATTAACCCGCCAAACTCCAACTTAATCTTCACATCCGAATCTTCGATTCCCTCGTAACGTTCATTCGTCTATAAATAGAATGCATATATAATGGTTATTGAATCCAATCTCGTTCATAGTGCCATGAATACAGTTTCCTCTGGTGAGATCACTTCCGCTGTTTAAGATAATAGGAAACACCACATTGCAATCATATCAATGTCTGAAAATGTAATGTTTCCGATCATTCAGATAAAACATCGATTGGTTTTATCAAAATCTTATTGAGTTAGAAATAGTTCCCCCTCGCTCCCACTTTTTCATAAAATAAGGCTCATGTTTGGGTGAGTTTAAGACCAAAGTCCAAAATGCTAGAAGGAACACCTACCCTATTGAAAACAAATGCGTAGTACCGCGTTATATTCTGTTCTGTGGCCCTGTCACGTTCCTGTCTCGTGGCATCTGGCAGGTTGGTAAGTTTATAAAACCTAGTAAAGACACCATATAAGCTTAGAATAAATGTTATAGCTGTATATGTCACACATGTGAGTGGCGTAGCAAATGTTTTTAAGGGGTGTATGCTTTTAAGAGGGTCCAGGGGCAAAGTGAGGGGCGAGGGGGTAGGGGGTATGGGCGGTGAAGCTGTTTCGAGGCTACGCCACTCCATGTGTTACTGTTTATTCAATCTGAACTAAATTGTACTTTTTATATTACAATCTAACCCATCCCAAATCGAAACTCAATTCAGTTTTCACCACTAAAAATGTCTTTAACTTAAATAAGTCACAAAAAAGCAGTTAAATGATCTGTTCTGTACATGTCCGACAACTAGGTATAGAAACTGATGCGACGAAGCATACACCGGATATAGCTACTACTAAAACGTGCAACGACAGAGTTGTCCTACGTACCAGGAGTAGACAGCAAAGTCAACCACCATCAGGATCTGTATGCGGCTGTAATCATCTGCCTGTCGTTTTGTTCTGGAAGCTGCAGATTCTAGATTGTCCTCATCTGATCCTTGTGTCACAATATACAATTAACATAGTCACGTGATGTTTACAGTATGCATGGGCAGCGGAATGAATTAGACAACATAGACCATGGCTGATCCACACTTTCCTACAGACAACCAGAGATGGATGTTGATGATTCTTATTTAAGCATTTACTTCATTAACCAACTTATGTCACAAAGCAAGCAGGAAGATGAACTAGACAGGCAATTTCTCATCCGTTCTTATAGTATATAAATGGAGCTATTTTATTATAGTAATATTCATCATTGCTGAGTTATTTCCCTTTGCATCCTTTACATTTAGACATGTGTTCAATATCTATCAATGACAGACAAAAATAACACAAATATGAACAATCTGCCTTTTAAGGCACCTCATTCAACTAATCAAAATCACGTATGTTTTGTCAATGGAATATATACATCCAGTCTTTTTGATATTTCTTTTTTTTTAAGATAGTTTTTCTTATGTTTTTATACAATACATGTCAGTTATGGGTTTGTTTATTGTTGTTTTGTGTCATAACAGCCAGAGTCATTTTAAAAGGACGTGCTCGGTTTGGTTGATGGAGGAAAACGGATGTTCCTGGAGGAAAACCACCGACCTGCGGCCAATACCTAGCGACTTGTGGGCCTCGAACCCGCGACACCTCGCATATATATCCAATATCACTCATTTCAAACAGTCAGTGGCGTAGCAAATGTTTTAAGAGGAGCGAAGCCCCGGTGAGGGACTTCTAGGGGGTAAAGCCCCCTGAAGTTGTCGGGTTTCAATTAATCAGAAATACCTTTTCTGTTTACACTAACACATTTTATTCAACAAAAATGACAAGCTGCAGTCGTTAATTATGTTATCTATAATCAGTTTCGAGCGTGTGCATACAAGCATACGTAATTGCTACGCCACTGACAGTAATACATCCATTCAACGACCCTTGTCTTTAAGAACACCTACGGCGTGTTATAACATAACTTACATGGTATAAAAATGCATGTATTTATTACATGTACTTATTTACCGACGGATGTTAGCGACAGGTATATCCGTCCTCATAATTAATTGTTAACAGCTTACAGAGAGGTTGTTCTGATACAGTTCAACAATTGTCGGTAATTTACATCCGGGACTCTGGTCCTTTTCAGTAGAAATAAGTTTACAAACGCTATTTCACATCCTGGATCCTGGTCCTTGGCAGTAGAGATAGGTTTACAAAAGCTATTTTACATCCGGGACCCTGGTCCTTGTTGTATAGATGAGTTTACAAACGCTAATTTACACCTTGGACCCTAGACCTTCTCTGCAGAATTTGTAAATGCTATTTCATACCGTTGTTTTTTTATTTTCGTTAAAAAGAGCTTTATTGTCACACTGTTATATGTAGTGATTTCGGTAAAGACAGGTGTACGGACACACTATTATACCCGGACAGAGACTCCTCAAACAATGATTTCATTAAAGACAGGTGAACGGACAAACTATTATACCCGGAAAGATAATCCTCATAAAATGATTTCGGTAAAAACAGGTGAACGGATACTCTATCAAACCCGGGCAGTGAAAAATCACACAATGATTTCATTAAAGACAGGTGAACGGACACACAGATGAACGGACGAACTATTATACCCGGACAGAGAATCCTCATACAATGATTTCAGTAAAGACAGATGAACGGACACACAGGTGAACGGACACACTATTATACCCGGACAGTGACTCATCATACAAACATTTCAGTAAAGACAGATGAACGGACACACAGATGAACGGACACACTATTATACTCGGACAGTGAATCATCATGCAAGGATTTCACTAAAGACAGGTGAACGGACAAACTATTATACCCGGACAGATAATCCTCATACAAGGATTTCATTAAAGACAGGTGAACGGACAAACTATTATACCCGGACAGATAATCCTCATACAATGATTTCGGTAAAGACAGATGAACGGACACAGTATTATACCCGGAGAGTGACTCATCATACAAACATTTCAGTAAAGACAGATGAACGGACAAACTATTATACCCGGACAGATAATCCTCATACAATGATTTCAGTAAAGACAGATGAACGGACGCACAGGTGAACGGACACACTATTATACCCGGACTGTGACTCCTCATACAATGATTTCGGTAAAGACAGGTGAACGGACAAACTATTATACCCGGACAGTAAATCCTCATACAATGATTTCGGTAAAGACAGGTGAACGGACACACTATTATACCCGGACAGATAATCCTCATACAAGGATTTCATTAAAGACAGGTGAACGGACAAACTATTATACCCGGACAGATAATCCTCATACAATGATTTCAGTAAAGACAGATGAACGGACGCACAGGTGAACGGACACACTATTATACCCGGACATAGACTCCTCATACAATGATTTCGGTAAAGACAGGTGAACGGACACACTTCACTTATATACTGGTACTGCTCGCAACACGACGAACAAAATTTAAAGCACGAGATTTATAGTTCTGAAATGGTTGACCAAGTAAAGCTTTATCAATAGTGCGGTTGTGTTTCATTTATAAAACACCTACCATGTAATGTCATATTCGTTATGTAATAAAAAATATGCTGAATTGTTCGAATTCATAGATGCATTGCACGTATTCAATGTATTTTGAAGACAGAGGCGGTAAATCTTTTTTTTTCAATCCAGGAAATTTCAAAACTACGAATACTTATTACTTACCAATAGTTGCAAAAGCGTCGTTGTTTATCAATAAAGGTTGAATTTCCACCAGACAAACCACCATTAGGATGCAGACAATTTTTTCCATTTTACGTCGTCAGTATTCTTTAAAAATTGAGCCAATTCGGTACATAGTGCACAGCAGACTAAAAAAACTGGTTTGAACGGGTGTCAGATGGTGATTTACAGGTCAAATGGGACACTACATTAAGGGCACACGTTTACTTTCACAGTGGTTCAGTTTTCCTGTATCCTTCTCGGGACTGTAAAATTTTCATTTGTGTAAACTCCCTGGTATGTGTTAAATCTAATGTTTTGCTTTGTCTGTATGTCATCCTGTGGGGCAAAATAAAGATGGAACAGAACGAAGATTATCGACTTTTCGGAGCCAAATCTTTATTTCATATCGCCGACATAACAAAGAATATCGTTATTTCGTACCGCGGACAGAGAGAATAATATCAGCATTTTGCACCGCGTGACGGCAGAACGCAGAATATCATTATTTCGTACCGGGGACACAAAGACGAATATCGCTATTTAGTACCGAGGACACAAAGACGAATATCGTTACTTCGTACCCAGGACACAAAGAAGAATATCGTTATTTAGTACCCAGGACAATAAAGAATAATATCGTTACTTCGTACCCAGGACACAAAGACGAATATCGTTATTTCGTATCCAGGACAACAAGATGATTATCGTTATTTCGTACCGAGGACACAAAGACGAATATCGTTATTTCGTACCCAGGACACAAAGACGAATATCGTTATTTCGTACCGCGGACACAAAGACGAATATCGTTATTTCGTACCGCGGACACAACGAAGAATTTTGTCATTTCACACCGCTTGACGACAAAACGACGTATATCGTTACTTTGAACCGCGGGCCGAAATCATGATGATTAGCTAGGTGAAACACTTGAGGTCGATAATTAGCGACTTTATTTTCCCTCATTCCGTGTTACTTTTTTCTGTCGCTGCAAAAAGACAGTATTAAGCAGGGCGAAATCAGGAATTGGTCACCATGGGAATCCGTTCGGACAGGGTCAGATTTTATTTCCAGGATAAATTGAAGTTCAAATTTCATTCGGTTATCTGGAACTATTTCATATTGGCAATTTGATATTATCCCAACGCATCAATATCTGGTGCCCTCCTCCATCTCGGCTGGACGAAGTAATTAAGACATGGCTTGAAGGGAAACTGACAAATTTAGTGGCATCTCTCTAAAAGAAAGATTACATTTTCTTTCAAATTATAGCAAATAATCATCTTCAAAGCAAGACCTCGATAGAAATTCATATGAAAATTAAAGTATTTAAAAAAAAAATACGAACTACTTTTTGTGCGTTTTAATTTCCTTGAATGCGTGGAGTGCTTTTCCGGTCAAAGTTCACAATGCTATCCAATCAAAACGCGTTGAGAGTTTAATCCGTGTATTGTTTATGATTTGGTGTCATTTGATAGTGTTTACTGAATGCACTTTGTAACTGTAATTGTAATTTGTAAAATTAGTTGGGATTGTTAGGATAGTAATGTGTATTCTTTAAACCGGCGTTCTTTGGTTATATATTTGTATATTGGATCGCAGAATTTAAGTCTATCTTTTTATACATACTAGTATCGTTCCTGGTGGTTTTGTCAAAAAACTTTTATCGTAATTACAGGAATGTAAAGTTGATGCGTTAGAATGTACTGTGTAATTTTGTGTTTAGAATAATGATAAGATATGAAGTGAATTTCGCGTCTTTAAAACTTGTCCTTGCGTTATATATGGCTAGATGAGTCTTGATATCGGATGACACAAACAGCACCGTGCCAAACTGATGCATGTCCATATTTGGTCATTTGACATTATAAGTGGTTCAGTGACGACGACGACAAGGTAAAAACTAACGGGACCCATGTCGTCTGTCAGAAGTGATTACTAACCGCTGCCGCTGTCGGGAGAACTGCATGTGACCTTTTTCATAAATTATTTCGAATTTCAGAGTTTAGTCTGTTAAAGAAACTGTGAAACTAACTTTTGAAAAGTTTTATCATCGTCATATAAACATTATTGAACCCTATTATAAAGTGTGTATACCCGTCACAATATTTAGTTTTCCCTAGAAGTTGATATCCTTGTAGCAGCACCTACGCTTAATTCATCCAACTGAAGAACTCTGTTATCATGCTTCACATAATTATCGACTATTTCAATATTATTGGTTTAATATTTCGTTCTAGATACTTTTTTGTTCTCCACACACGTTAGAATTCGCAGGTAGAAATAAAACTAATGCAAATACCCATACGATCGAACATTTCTTTTTTTTTTTATAAAAACAACTGATGGGAGACAAAATCCATCACATTATTGTACTAGCATTTTTTCTCACTTGTATTTATATCACATGTCAACTTTTGGACAGGTATATCCTGTTAGTACGGATGGTTTCCCTGGGGAAGATATAGAAACTGGGTGAAATTGTGTATTGACGTGTGAAAGGGGATAATTGTACTGATCTCAATATATAACAGCACGGACTTAAATCCGTGATGACAGGTAACACATCTAACGACGAGGCTGTATCGGCGCGCGCTCTGTTTTAATATATACAGTGTATATTTTCATTTTCATTCTAGGAGTATAGTGGCTGACAGGTGTCATTTTATTAATTCGCGATGAAATGACGACAATCATCGTCTACCTCCAATAAATATCGTATTTTAAATTTACGAAAAAGGTTTTCGCAAAATAACGCAGAAAAAAGGTTTTCATGAATATTTAAACCGTTTAGTGACATCATCTAAATTATATGCAGTATATTTCTAAAATATGGAATGTAAATTCAATATGTTCAATGTAAAGGTAACATCATTTATTAAGGTCTCTGTGTAATGTAGGATCATATCCTACTGGAATCAAAGAAATGGGCTGTGTAGTAATAATACTTTAGGAATGTTTTAATTTCATTCTGATTTTGGTCCTAGATTGTAATTGATGCAATTCCTAAGTTTTATGTTCCGGTGAATTTTGTTTACACATTAACTTATTTGTAATGCGATATTAAGCCTGACGTGTTTGATGCTCGTTAGTATACCTGGTGGTTCCTTTTTTGTTTACATCCTTTGCATTTAGGAACGTGACTCTATATCCTTACCGGGTTGACCAAGACTTTTGTGACATGTGTCGTTGATGAAGCACAAGACGATTATCCTTCCGGTACACATGGTCTTATTCTTCCTGTTTTTCCCTGTAGTCTCCATGCAAATCTATGTTTTGTTTTGTATTTTTTTGTTTTTGCTGTTTATGTCTTTTATTTTGTGTACTCTTGAGATCCATGATAACCTTTTTGTCATAAAAACTTCTTCAGCGTCTTATGCCTACAAAGTTTCATAAATTTGTTAAGAAAACTTGTTTCTATGACTGATAAATTTGAAACATAAACACCTAAAAAAATCCGGAAGTTCCATACCATTAAAGTTCCGTGCCGGTATTAGATATCAAGACTGCATTTCCGCCAAGAAAAAAAATCGATTATTTGACAGGTACTTAGCAGACGCTCACATTGTCTTGTCCGTAACAGTTGTTCAATCTTTCAATGCTTCAGGTGTCCGTTACAAATACAAGTTGTTTTCTATCCGTTTATAAATGGTTGTTAGTACTGTAGGCATATCAAACGATTACACTTGTTCAAACACATTTGTGCATGTACATATTATGAATGCTATCGTTCGGATGAATTTCATAGACCAAAGCTTTACACTTTTTCGCTGAGATTTCTTTTTATTTTACAACTGTATGGCTCCAAAGTATATGATAAGCAAATAAAAAAAATGTTTAAGTTCATTCCGTGCTGGGCTAAACGTTTCAGCGATCAGCTAATCAATGTGATATATGAAATTTGGCTTTGTTGGAAAATTTGACAACTTTGAATTTCAATACACAATAACATTAATTGCTCATGAGCCCTGTGTGCAATTCTACACAAATCAATGCAGTCCATATTAACAACATAACATAACACCATCAAATTCTTCATTTTATATGATTTTTGTTGGTCATCAACCAAGGTTGTGTACATGTACATAAGCTTACACAGTATTTTTAAAACACAAGGCAGACTAACAATGTTCAGGAGTAAAACTTCAGTATTTCCAAACTTCTTTGAGTTCCATCAAAATTCTATGAGTACAGGTCTTGGAACTTCTATGTAGATTTATCAATCTTTAATGTAGTTAATGTTCACACCTTATTTATCCGTTTAGATTTTGGTGGTCACTTATCAGTGTTAAAAGTGAAAGGCCACCCTTTATCTCTTGCGAAATAAAAAAAAACTTTCATACACGATATGTCATGAATTCTTCAAAAGATTTTATTTTGGTGGTCATTGCACAAAGTTAAAGTTCAAAGGTCACACTTAACCACTGATCGAATTAAAACCCTCGTGTGATATCTTGTGAACCTCTCAAACAGTTTTGTATAATTATTAATTTACACCATATATCATAAGATCAGGATCTATATAACCTGTCGCTACCTTTAAAAATACATGTACAGTGTATCTCATGAACCTTTCAACAGTTTTTGTTAAAAATAAAGAGAGCAGAGAGTGGGATATGTCTATGTTAGCCCTTGCTCACACAGTTGATATTTTTTTTCAAATTTGTTTGTTTCATATAGGAGAACAAATGTCATGACCTGGTCTACCACCTTCTAATCTCTGGTGTAAAAGTGCATCACTAGACATTGTAGACCTGCTGCATAAGGTAAGTACATGTACCACCTCATAGCAACATGTAAGTATGTATGTACCACCACATAGCAACAAGTAAGTATATATGTACCACCACATAGCAACAAGTAAGTATATATGTACCACCTCAAAAATGCTTATAATGAAGATATCATCTTGTTGAATATTGGTTTATATGCATTAAATCAGCAGTAAACGATGTTCTGTATATTGGGATGAGAAATAGTTTTTTTGTAGTATGTGTATTATATAACTATAGTATTTTTTAGGTATATATAAGGACCAAATAAGCATATGCCATGACATTGCGTTTGGCCTCTGTCATATATTCCATTTCAACAATTTCTTCTCAATAACCAACTGGCAAAAAATTATGATATTTGGCTGGTAGATTGCTCGAATGAAGTTTGACAAAGTTTGTGAAAAGAAATTACCTTAACCCATACTCAAGGTCATATGGGTCAAAATTGCATCATCTCATGTCCATCTTGTCTGTCTTGTCCCGAATCAATAACATCATTTTAGTAATTTCATTTCGTCAGGGATTTTGATCAAACTACACACAGATGTCATATATGACAATACCTTGGAGGTGTTTGTCTTTCCCATTTTCAAGGTCAAGGTCACCATTCCTATATGTATAGTTGTCAAGTAGTGGTTGTCTAACTTATATAGAGATATATCTTCTAATCAATCTAATGTTGATGTAATATAGGTCAATATAAACAGATTGAAAACTTTGTTTTCTTTTGCATGTACCTCCGTTTTTATCAGTGTGATGGAAGAACAAGCAGGTTGACATATTATCATACCAACATTCATATTAATTTGATAAGTTTGATATGGAATGTTTCTTTCCCTATCTGTGATACTAAGAGATTGTATCCGGTGAAAGTTAAGGCTACAAGTGCGATGTTTAGTCCTGAGTGTTATATCCTGTTTAAATCATTGTGCTTTTCAGCGATAATTGATGGTTCAAGTCTGAGTAATTAAAAACTGTGTTTGATTGGTTTATAGTGATGCACATGTTTATAGATAAACTTTCATCAATTTCAAAAAAATATTTATGAAGATCTGGTCAATATGGTACAGGATATTTGATGCGTCTCTAATTGATTCAAGTGCTGCAGAGTTTCCTGTTCGGACACTACCATCAACAGAGAAATTGACATAATTCGAGATCTAAATTTCACGTACTCTTGTGCTCTGGAAAGTAAAATACTGGAAAATCAGTTGTCAGATCTCCATTCATGCATGAACTGGATCGAATCTTATTTTTATTGCTGAATATTTATGGTTGGTTGACGAAATGTAATGAATAACCACTAGACTGTGGCAATGCTGATGATTTGACTGACAGCTGGGTATATAATGAAACTTAGGTGTACAGTAGAAAGCTTCAACTATGCAAAAAAATAAGTCACAGGATCAAAGTAAACATGATATAATGCTGAACTCATTTAAGTGTAAAACTAAGTGGTTGATTTTCTTTAAAAGATACAGAAAATTTGATTCATGTTACCTGTACAAGTAATGGATTTGGATTGATGATGAGAACATGAAGAGGTATTCAAGGATATTTACAGTAATATCTTGAAAACATCAGTGTGAATTTGATAGTTTCAGTGGTTGCTGCGTAAATGTGCTTGGGAAAAATTGACATGCTTTACATTTTAGAAATTGAAAAAAGTTACTGATGCAGTAATTTGATTTTAAATGGAGACTTGTAACATTTTACTGTAAAGGACATTTCATCCATCCATTTGGAAATCTGTTTACTCAGGAGACTTGTAACATTTCACTGTATTAAGTAAAGGACATTTCATCTATCCATTTGGAAATCCGTTTACTCAGGAGACTTGTAACATTTCACTGTATTAAGTAAAGGACATTTCATCTATCCATTTGGAAATCACTGTATTAAGTAAAGGACATTTCATCTATCCATTTGGAAAGTTTACTCCAGAGACTTGTAACATTTCACTGTATTAAGTAAAGGACATTTCATCTATCCATTTGGAAATCTGTTTACTCAGGAGACTTGTAACATTTCACTGTATTAAGTAAAGGACATTTCATCTATCCATTTGGAAATCTGTTTACTCAGGAGACTTGTAACATTTCACTGTATTAAGTAAAGGACATTTCATCTATCCATTTGGGAATCTGTTTACTCAGTGTGTTATTCCAAGAGTGTTGGCGTGGAGATGTTTCTGTAAGGTGTAACTTACTGCTTAAGTGTGTGAGAACTGAATCACTGTTGATAATATTATTTTTCTGGTATGAAACACATATGGAAACGATGGCCCTTTAATGTAAATCATTATGGGTCACAATCAATATTTGGAATACCAGTTTGATTTTTTAGCTGAAATATTGCTAGGGTTAAATCTATTAACTTGTAAGATAAAAAGATAAAGAAAATTGTCTTTAAAAAAATGATATTGGAGAAAATTTGGATAGAATTGTATTTTAATCGAGTGCTGAGACGAAGATTATCAGAATTTGCTTACTAAACCTCTGTTGTACAATTACAAATAGGTTTAAATTTTAAGACTTCAAATTGTGTATAATTTCATTAAACACATTGATGTGTCATTCGAGGAATGATACACACCTACGCTATACCATGAACACATCAGACGCGGGACTTGTGGTGAGTGAGGTAATCATATCATGTGGATTTCATGTGGATGGATGAAAGTCACAGGTCAAATTTAGGATAAGATTTAATCTAAATTTTCACATTGGATGTTAGCTTGGACTTTGTATAATTTTATGGAGTCAGTGATACAATGATAACTGCCAGGAGGAACTGCCTGGAATCAAAACATTATTGAATTTCTGAATATCATCATAATTTGTAAGTTTCCACTAAGTAAGAGTTCTGGAACTTTGTCTTCCTGAAGTCATGAAAACTTCTTGTCTTTCATTGTTGTACATTGGAGTGAAATCTGAAAGCAAATACTACTTTGGAATGAGTCTTGATTTGGACTTGTGATTAAATTTGTGACATCTCCAATCATGATTCCGTGGATGGGAAGAAAGTTGAAGCAGACAACCTCTGCTGAGGTGAAAAACAATAACAAGGAAAGTCCCATTGTACCTGGACTGGGCACGGATGATTCTTACATGTCCAATATCACACAGAACATGCAGACAATGGTCCTAAACACCAAAATTCTTGGGGCTTGTATTTTAATGGGGGACAAAAAGGTGAGTTCCTGATGCACAGCATTGACTTGTCCGTCAAACTGAAACAGCTGTTTTTACTTTTGTTGCAAATTCTCTACTTTGCATACCTTATTTCATCCATAGACCTTTTTCTGAACCATCAACCGCCTGTATGACATATGATGAGTGATAAATTTTCTTAATCTGGTCTGATATACTGTCACTGCCTTCAGGAAAGAAATTGACTCTAAGTTAACCTAATATACACTTGTATATGTCAATGGTGATTACATGGAAATTTCTGAATCTTGTATAATATTGGTTAATAGAATCGCTAGATCTTGTCTAATATATGCCCTGGTATGTCAGTGGGAAGGAAGCCCCTTAATCTTGTAATTGTGTGCTCTGTTATTTCAACAGGGAAGGGAGTCTGTATATCTTGTCCAATGTTTGCCTGGGTATGTCGGTATGGAAAGGAGTCTCCAAATCTGGTCTGGTATATCGTTTACTGGTAATACACAACAAGCAGAGAATGATACTGGAATTTTGTCAGTTGGAGGTGAAATCCTTTCTGTCTGATGTCACATTATGTCTAGAAAAATTTAGTCAATAAATTGGATCTCGTTGGGAATTTTAGTCAATAAATTGGATCCCGTTGGGAAATTTAGTCAATAAATTGGATCCAGTTGGGAAATTTAGTCAATAAGTCAGGTTCATTGGGAAAATGTATTCAATAAATAAAATTCATTGAGAAAATGTACTTGGTCAACCTGGTGGTTGAAATGTAGTCAATAAGTCCAATATATTAAGGAGTTACAGTTGGAATCTCAAAATCTGGTCTGATAAACGTGTCGTGACCAAAGAATCTAAATCAGATCATTGTTTAACAGTCTGAAAATCCCAGGTATAGATACTTACCCATGGGGTAAGTAGAATTTCTTAGAAATAACCCATAAAAGGAAAACATTCTGACTGAAAGAACTTCATTTAATATGGAGTTGTTTTCCATTTTAAGGTCAAGGGCTAAATAGGTGATAAAAATAAGCTGTGCATACATGCATCCATAACTTGAGGCTTATGAACCATGTATCTTGTGAACTATTGAATAGATCTACTTCATAAGACCATCAAAATACACCATTAAAAAGTGTACAGCAAATGAGAGATACTTTCAATTGGAAGAGGTCCTTAAGTCCCATATCAACAGTGCTTTAGATCTGGAATGAACAGAAAAATAACTTAAGTTGGATTATCTTAATGAAGATTGAGCTGCCATTGAACATCTTGTTGATAAAATGGTGAAATGAGATTACATCAGCTGACAGCACGATCAGTGTGTTATTGCCTATTGTATATTCTAACAGCTATGCTAAAGGATGTATACAATTAGATTATATAAAATGTAACTCAGTGCTTAATTGTTACTCCTGACAAAGGGTGAACTTTGACCCGCCAAATGTTTAAAGATTTTAAAAGAATAGCTATGTGTTCTGTGAGTACGTATTGAAACTTGCTTTATCATCTCATTAAAATGCATGCATTGTTTAAGAATAACTTAAGGTAGGATTAAACACACGGATATATATGCATTGTACACCAGTGATAGGAGCCTAAATGCAGTGGTATAACTCTTATAGCCATGCTGTATAATATGTACACAAAAATATCCATCGCTGTCCGAATGACAGCCTCAGGAAGTGATCATGTACTCTGTACATAAATACTATATTGTAAGAGTGGCAAGCTTGGATGTGATACAGATGTGCTGCTCGAGTGTGACTTCGGAGAATTTTAATGTATATAAATGAAGTATCAACATGGAAAAGCATCAACATGATAATATTAATTGACAGAATCAACATTTTGTTGATATAACGTCATGTTAAATGTGTCATTGTAATTGGATAAAAATCTTGTTCTGTTAGTAGTTAAATACTTGTAACATTACAAGCAAGCTATATCAGACTTTTCTTCTTTAGAAGTGAGAAAAATCTGTGGAACTCTGTCTGATATATTGGATTTATGTGATGACAAACTGTCATATGCAATTAAAAACTGATTGACGGGTTTGGAGTGGTTTAATGGATTTAGGTGTAGTGTTTAAGGTTTTCTCAGATTTTAACCTGTACATCGACTTGACTGTGCCAATTTTTATCTAGCAATGGAGAAGAAGAAGAAAAAGGTAATTTGAGTCTTTCAATTAATATTTTCTTATCAGATTTTATTGTCAATGAAATTTTGATCCAGAAGATATATATAGGTGAGTCATCACATATAATTAGATACATAACAGGAAATGTTCATGTGTAATTTATTTTTTTGTTTGAAGCCTAACAGCTATTTCATGGGTATAAGCTTTTTTGGTCATTGAAGGGGATGAAATTGTTGTGGTTGCATACATACAAATAAAGGGAGATAACTTTCATTAATATTTTATTAATAAAGGTCCCTTATTCCCTACTGAAATAGGAAATAATCACAATTGCTGGAATTGTTATGGGAATCACAAATGATGGACACCTGACTTGTTATGGGAATCACAAATGATAGACATCTGACTTGTTATGGGAATCACAAATGATGGACACCTGACTTGTTATGGGAATCACAAATGATGGGCACCTGACTTGTTATGGGAATCACAAATGATGGGCACCTGACTTGTTATGGGAATCACAAATGATGGGCACCTGACTTGTTATGGGAATCACAAATGATGGGCACCTGACTTGTTATGGGAATCACAAATGATGGGCAACTGACTTGTTATGGGAATCACAAATGATAGACACCAGACTTGTTATTGGAATCACAAATGATGGGCACCTGACTTGTTATGGGAATCACAAATGATAGACACCAGACTTGTTATTGGAATCACAAATGATGGACACCTGACTTGTTATGGGAATCACAAATGATGGGCACCTGACTTGTTATGGGAATCACAAATGATGGGCACCTGACTTGTTATGGGAATCACAAATGATGGGCAACTGACTTGTTATGGGAATCACAAAAGATAGACACCAGACTTGTTATGGGAATCACAAATGATGGACACCAGACTTGTTATGGGAATCACAAATGATGGACACCAGACTTGTTATGGGAATCACAAAAGATAGACACCAGACTTGTTATGGGAATCACAAATGATGGACACCAGACTTGTTATGGGAATCAAATAAATTAAAATTCAACTTAAATTAATGAAGTTATAGTTTAGACATTATCAGATTACCATGATGATTATCAACAAAAAGTGTACAATGCATCATGACTTCAGCCAGAGCAAGCTTTTTGGACCACAAATCAAGTTAGCCATTACTTTGTGAAATGACAATTGAAATTTGCCTGTAAATATGAACATTTCAACAAAATAAATCATATAAGACGTTGAGCGACAAATACTTAGGTCTGAAGTATGAATTTAAATGCTCTCTCTGTAAACATCTTTGAAAAACCTCCCCCTGTATCTTTGACAATGATACAGATTTAAATCATACTGAAATTATACTCGAACCAACCTTGACCACTATCTATATAAAACTTATCCTGAATTACAGCTGCTGAAATGTACAAATATTCCTGCATGTGACGTTTTCACCTCCTTGGCCCATTTTCCTAGTTTCACTGTAACAGTTTACGTAATGTATACAAAATCAAAAGTACATCAGCATAGAGATTGAAATGTATTTAGTATGCAAATAGCTGTTTAATGTAAATCCATTTTTGCAGTCTATGATTTGTGTATATATATATATCCACAGATTATTTTAAAGTCATTATACCTTTATAGATCTATTTAATGTTTCCTGAAAGAAAGACAGACCTTTGATACTGACAACAGTCCACCACATCAGTATGTTAGTCTGTTGGGGTTATCAGGGAAAAAGCTTGCCACATGCTTTCCAGAGAGATAAGGTTAAATATCTTTTTCCTTATGACAGCCCCATCAACAAAGTATTCAAAAATAAGGGATTTAAGTAGGCTCAAAACACACCTTTGATTTCAGAGGATGCAAAGTTGAAGCTGACATGGCTCACCTTCACATCAGATTGAAAATTCATCATCTAAAAAATTATCAAAAGGCCACAACCCTGTGTATATTAGGGCGTTGATATTATCCAATATGGAAAAATAAAACCCATCACATGTATTCTTAAGTCAAGTATGTATAATTATAATTGTATTTCTCATATATTTCTTATGTATTAAAAGGAAGCAATACATTATTTCTGACTGCAAAGTCAGGTGTGGGCTTATTGCAGAACAATGAAATTTCCTTTGTAATTCTACTGAACAGTCTAGAGATGTGTGTGGGCTGATAACCAGACATGGCTTTATTACTTTGTGGTACAAGTTTTAAGGTTTCTTTAATGAAACCCTGTTGTTATTACAAATACTACAAGGCTGTACAATGATAATACAGGTTTGAAATTGCCTGATCATGCTGAAGTTAACTGTCAGTGACCTTTAAATTCCATGGGAAGTTTTAAGTCATGAATAAGACATGTGGTTTACCTGTGTGTATTGGAGCCCTGTTACCTAATCACAAGTAAAATAGAGGTAAACCTTACAGGTGTGTTAATATTGATAACAATGATCTATAGTCAAACCACCCTTTCCTGTTACATACTGACCTAACTTGACTCAGCAATGCTAGAAAACATGTGGGATCTGTTGTTTAAAAGTGGAAAAAGTGATAAATAAAAAACCCACAAAATAAATATTATTTTTAATGTATAGAAAATGAAAAATGACCATCAGCTAGCTGGTATCATGTTGTGCAAGGTGACAGAAAAGATATGCTTTTAGAAATAAATGAGGTATCGAAAAAATGTAGCTCCGATTGAAAGTCCCATATAGCTGATAATGAGATAACTTGTATCCTTTATGCATGGTTGTCAGTTCATTTCTTGGGAAGGCGGAGAATGATCGCAGCCTTAATCCAGGACAACAAATTTTTAAAAAAACATATATATGTTTTACCACAATTCAGCAAGCAAGAATTGCATGTAACATATTAAAATATTAAACAAAATATTGATAAGTTTACCATTGAATTTAGATAAAAGGATAATACCGTTTATATAAAAGTGTGTTGTATACATTGATATATAGGTTTTGTGATATCTTCATGGAATATTTCTATATCTAATATGTTCGTCAGAAATATGCAACTTAGATATTTATAATCAGTAACTACTGCATTATGACAAATGTTTCAGACTTCAGTATGTAACATAATGTCTTGACAGACAATTAGGAATTCTCTCTGTTATCACAATTTCTTATCATTACTTGTTTGATAATGTCAGTGGTTGTTTACCAGGGGCCTGCACTGTATTTGACAACATAGTAATCATAAAAAGATTGGAACATAATTGGATATGTGTAAGTCTGTTTTAATATACACAGATTGAAATTCTTTAATAAGAAAACAAAATTGGTTGGCTGTCATGCACCATACTTGGAGCACCAGTTTATGTACATAGTGGAAATGTATTTATAAGAATACAGACTGTTTAACCTGTTCACAGCCTTTGATGTGTAAGGCATACGAAAATCCACAAACAGTTACAACTTGTTAATACACAGTGGACTCCTGTTTAGAGGTGAATCCCACCTGGGGCTAAAAATAGCGTCAGGAGATGTTCTGTTTGGTAGCTGTAGGTGTACTGGAGTAACGGTACAGGTGTATGTTAATTGTTACTGTACCTGTAAACACCAGATCCTGATTGATGAACACAACATTGCAGGCCTGGCCTAACAAGTGAAACAGATAAACATATATAGGTGTGGTAAACATTTTGAAATTAAGGAACGGCTTTTCTTTTATGTATTCCTGTATGTAAGTAAATAACGTCTGTATGAAGTATTCTTTATTTACTTTGCTGTTCAGGTAAATCTTTCTGTAAAAATTATTATATAAATGGTCACAGTAAAAAAAATCTGAGTAACCTACATCTAGGTAATTTATTATGTGTAATGATGAATTAAAATATGTGTGTTATAATATGTACTTAAGGTTTATGAAGGATTATAAATATCCTTCTAAACAATAATAGTGTAGACAAAAAGAAAGTTTTAAGTCTGACTGTATACACTACATTCTTTTATCACCAGTCTAGAGTAGGATGTTGCTGAACTATAGGGTAGGATGATTCTGATGTCTAGGGTAGGATATTTCTGATTTCTGGGGTAGGATGTTTCTGATGTCTAGGGTAGGATATTTCTGATGTCTAGGGTAGGATGTTTCTGATGTCTAGGGTAGGATATTTCTTATGTCTAGGGTAGGATATTTCTGATGTCTAGGGTAGGATATTTCTGATGTCTAGGGTAGGATGTTTCTGATGTCTAGGGTAGGATATTTCTGATGTCTAGGGTAGGATGTTTCTGATGTCTAGGGTAGGATATTTCTGATGTCTAGGGTAGGATGATTCTGATGTCTAGGGTAGGATATTTCTGATGTCTAGGGTAGGATGTTTCTGATGTCTAGGGTAGGATATTTCTGATGTCTGGGGTAGGATGTTTCTGATGTCTAGGGTCGGCAAACTACCTAGATGTGATCAAAGCAATGTGTAGATTTCGTCATGTAGTAAGTTCTAATTAAGGTAGGCAATGATTTCAAATTGGCAACAGTTCTGATTGTGTAACATAGCAATAATTTACAAAAGAAGACAAAACATTTAAATTGGTGACACTCTCACCCCTTACTTATTTGATGAGTGCACATAATCGGACTTGGTGATATTTTCACTTTTTATCTACCTGATGAGGGCATAGTTCAATAGGATATCATTGGTTTGAGAAACTGGAGTGGTGAATGATGACACTATGTTGGGTTTGATTTTTCCCATCCGATGGAATATTGTGTTCCTACAAGGATTTACCTACTACACCCGAACAGACAATCCTTATTGGCATTACAATAAAAGCTGTGCTTTATAATGTTATATTTTGAATGTTTAAACGATATGTAAACTAAAGTGTTTGCATTCCTTTCCTACTAGAGTAAAGACAGATTTTCTTCTTTCCAGTGAAAAGGAGAATGAAACTGAAAATGTGGTATGACCAAAGAAAACTAATAATAAAGTTAATGTTTGTCTGTTATGACAGGAGGACATGGCGTCTGGCGGAAAAGACGTGTGCGATGGAATCGATCTCAAATGGATGTATGACTCGGATGATTCTGACGACAATGAATGGTAAAAATAGAATTAATACATAACCACTTATATTAAACGAATACAAATCATTCGATGCCTTCTGATCACTAACTGGATGTTCCTACTCCAGAATTATTTTGTTACATTGCTGTATGTTTATCACTTTCTTGGGATTAGCAGCAAATTTGATCCTTACATCAGACCCTTAGCCAGAGAAGTGACAGGTCAAAGGTCAAAGGTCATGGTCACCATATCTATAAGTTTGTGGATCATGTTATGTTGCATTAAGTTTTTTCTGGGTATTTATGTCATCAGAGTCAAGATAACCTATAGCCATCTTGTTTCATTTACTTCAAACGTCTTCTCAAATTCCATCAGTTCGATTTGGCTGAAATTTGCCTGTAATTATTCAGAGATAGTCTGTGCCTAGTTATTTTTTGGTCAGTCTAAATGCAATATGATAAATATATTTTAAACTCCTCAAGTTTTCCTGAGATTCACCAGTTGGATTCAGCTCAATCTTGCATGAAAATATATCCTGTGGTGGTTTAATATTCATAGTCTCATTAAATGCTGTGTAAATTCAACGATACCAGGTACTGCGAAATAAGCGTATATGCAGATAATGGTTTCGTCCACCATTTATAAAAAAAAATTGTTCTTTACCATTGTTGATTAAATAATGTTTAGGATATTGTTGACACATAAATTCATTTTTAATAGGTTTATAAAGATAAAATGTGTGTTATTATACTCGCTTTAAATATTAAAACTGCCTTGTTGTTATTGAAATTAAATATTAGTAAGATATGTAGACAGGTTCACACAGGTGTTTATGTAATTTACCTGGTGTTATGTCTTCCTTAACATGTGTCCTACAAAATGCACCAGCAATACACACTAGTTTGGGACATGTCATTCTATTTATCAGGCAATAAACCTTTACATCACTGTTGTTGTTCAATAGAACAGCAAATGTTTTTCCATCGTCTTGTGAGAGTGACTGAAGCCTCAAACATTGAGTCACAGATAGTATAGGTTTATTGCAGGACAGTTTTTAGTGATCATATCTATGATGTTATGTGTATGTTTGCATGTGTAAATTATATGTTCAGACAAAATACTCACTTTCAGGAAGCGGAGAAATTCTAAGTTATTCCGTCGAGTTCGACAGTCGGGCTCTATAGCTGTAGATTCACCAGTACATGGGTAAAATTCTGAGTTCTCCTTGACTTTACATTAAACAGTGTGGTCTCTAATTAACATAGATTTGAATTCTGTAGTCATACACTAACTAATTAATTTACTTTAATACCTTATTATACCATTATCTGTCAGTGGCATGGAAAAGAGGATGGAAATCCTAATTGGTGTAAAACCACTGCTCTTTCTTTAACCATGGTAATTTTATAGTATCAAAGTAAAGTTTGTAGAAATTGGATCTAAACATGTTCATTTAAAGAAAGATCAATGAAGGCATGTTTACCTCAATATCAAGGGGGGACAACTGATTATCTAGTAAGTTTCATCTCATAAATGTGAGAAAATTCACCTAGAAAAATAATCAGCTGCTGAAATGAATTTCAACTTGTACATATGAACACTGCTATTGTAGGGTATTTGATGTAACAGGATGGAATTGCTTTAATAACTTAAGTTATGATACTTTAACTTGTGACATGTATCAATTAAATTTCAAATTTTATTAGTATATTTGAAAGTATCAATATCATATTACATTATTGTAGTGTGTAAACTTCATGTCAAATTAGTACCCGTCATGTCAAATTAGTACCCGTATATATATATATATATATATATTTTTTTTTTTTTGACTATTTGGAATTAAGAAAAATGAAATCTTTTAGTTGTTTTGTATAATAGGTACACAACTTATTTGGGATTTTCTCCACGAATATTATAATATTCACTGAGAAATCCTGAATTTTACTGGTGAAAAAACAAATACATTTGATGGTGACAGGTTTTCCTGCTATTGAACCCTTAGTCCCCTGTCTGCTAATAAGCCCACCATATCTTGTTCTGTGGAAAATCAAACAATGGTAATGTCGTAGTTTTGTAATAAGCCCATGAATCCATTGTTATGTATTCAGGATATCAAGTCACATGTAAATCCACATCAATGCTTGTAGTTCTTTTAATCCTCTATCATTCACATCTTTCCTACAGTGTTCTTGACAGATGAAATATGGTATTCAACAGACAAACTTTCCACTCATTATGTGTCCTCAAGATTTTCAGGGAAGCATATAGTCACTGCCTTGTCTGTCCACCTGTCCGTCCATCTTTCTGTCCATCCTTTTGTGTCCGGAGCATGACTTCACCCACAGTTAAGCAAGGATAATGAAACTTGGTGTATACTGGTACATTGGACATACTAAGATGATGTGCAGTTTACCAACTTCAGGGTTTTTGATCCCTCAATTATAGAGTTATTGCGCTTTGTTAAAGATATCTTGTCCAGAGCATAGCTTTGCTTACATTTAAGGTAGGATAATGAAACTTGGTGTATACATTTATCTTACTAAGATAATATGCAGTATACTAAATTTAGGGTCTGTGACCCCTTATTTACAGAATTATTCCCATTTGTTAAAATTTTTATGTCCAATAAAATCTGTTTTGGGGAGCATTCATCAGTTTCACTGAGACTCTTGTTTTCTCTATTTAAGATATTTTCTGATTATGTTCTGAACTATATATATAGAGTTTTAGTCCCTATGTACCTAAACCTTACCTGGTGAGCCCATCCGTATCTTTCAATCTTCAGTAGATTTATAAACAAATACTATGCATTGTCCTGTGATAAGCCCACCCCTGGGAAAGAGTTATGAAATACTTGACTCCTTGGATTTATTATAGGATATATATGATACTTTGAACCATTAAAACTTATGAAATATTTCACAACATAACTCATATTCTGAATATTATATTTTTCATTATAACTTTCATCAGTGTTTATAGTGAGTAAACAATCGTTTGCACTACTTATCTTCTCTTGTTGTGTAGATATTTCAATAAATTCTTAGAATTCTGAATTTTTTCTAACTTTTTTCAGAATACATCTATTCCACCTTCAAAATATATATGTTATAGTTCATTCATTTGCATTTGAATGTGAATCAAATTCCAAGATATAATGCAATACATAAAATATACATTTTGTATGAGTGCTATATATTTTATATTTGTTCATGCGTGAATTCACAAAATTAATTTTAATTTAACTGCACACTAAACATGATACTACATATGCTGAGTACTGGCAAGTTCTTGTTTATATTCCAGTTTTATGATATATAAATTCTCTTCATCGCTTGCATCAGTCTCTTATTATTGTAAGATACAATACAGAATCTTTGAAAGTTTAAGCAATATTTTCCATTATTTTGCAGGGCTACCATTCCATAGAAACATTTACTCATTAAGTGGTAGCATTTGAAGAGTGCATTCATTTGTATCTGTAATTTTAGAGCTGCATGTGTATACATCTTTTACCTATATTACCAGGGTTACAGATTTCAGTTTTGAAATATTACTCTCACTCATTTATTTGAAGGAATAGAACCTCATCAATTAGCAAATGTTATTTCTTAATTTGTATCATGAAGCGAATCTGTCATAAAACTTTGTAATTTCCAGCTCTGCTCCTGTCAAGGACCTCAGTCATGAGGTGTCGTTTCGTGGACGACTACGTAAGGTCATTGTTCGGAATTCTAAAGCCAGTAAGTACTAAGGTCCTTCACTTTTCTAAGAAATTATTTTTTTGTTTAAGTTTTCATTGGTAAGTAAGGTATTTGCAACTCTACTGCAATGGGATGAAGGCATTGTCAACAGCTGATTGGATTGTCCTGAAAATTGTTTTTATAGTGTTATCACACTGAAATATCACAAACTGATAGCATTACACTTTGACTGGTAACATTACACTGACAAAGAGCTAACTTTCCATTGAAAGTTTAGTAAAGAGCAGCATACACCATTATGGTGAGATGTCTTACTACAATAAAGATATATCATTGGAAAATAAATAAAGCTCATTATTATACATTTGTTTATGAAACAAAACTTGGATTTCAATGTCAAAGTTACAGTCACTATTTGTAAACTCTATATCCTACTGTTGTCCATCTGCAGCCATTTGGAAAAACTTGACCATAAAAAAAAAGCTGCAAAAGGGCAATTACTTCATTTTTTTTAAACAAGTAATTTAACTTGATATCATTAAAGGTATAAGTTAAAACTTGAAAATAACTGTTCTTCAAGTAAATTAAAACAAACCCAAATATTTGGTTTGCTGCATGTCTTGATAGTGGTACATATTGTAGCAGATGTGTGGGATACAGAAGGTCAGGAAAATCAGGCTTCAAAAATCAGGTCACATTATTGCTATACTGATTGGTCCTCACAACAAAGATATTTCAGGTTTAAAATCTCTAAACTTTGAATATGATAGATAAAGTGTTAAAAATACAGATCACATAAATTTCCATCTGATGATGGAGAATTCTTTTATTTTAGTTTACAACCTCAAAAGCAGAGAAACATTTACCTGAGTAACTGGTAAATAAATTGACTGTCTGAACTCAACATTGTTTCTTTGCCCACAGGATTGATAGGTACAATATTCGACATTACAATTAAGTCTTTGATGTGCTGTCTCTACTTCCTCCGAGTTCAACTAGATGACCACACAACATATCATTGGTACGTAAAACACAACATGTTACAGTGTTTTCCTGAGCGGAACAGCTTTAGTTTACCCTGGCACCATAATCTTGTTAGGAGAACCTTCTCGCAGTTCAATTATGTCTTAATTGTGTGTGACAATAAATTTAATGACATACAGCTTTTCCATGAGGTAGGTTAGTGGCATTTTATTAGGTCAAATAAATATTGCTAAATTTCCATGATTTATATATTTTTATGAGACAGATATAATCATGTTTTTTATATCAAGTACCTCAAAAACTGTGTTTAGTTTGAAGTATTTCATTGGTCCCGGCCAAATTTCACACTAAACATTTAAACTCACTTAAACTGAATACTCAGATAGCTCATAGTTTCCCCACATATGATCTGTAATAACAGATCATGTGATGGGCATGCTATGGGACAATAACATTGATTTATTAGCTGACCTGGTCCGGTGTCCAGTGTCAACTTTTTTTAGGGGAAGAAAACACAGTTGGTATTTTAAAAATATTGGTTCTCAGCCCTCAGGGGCCTGAGGGGATGGAGCCAAAAAGGGGAAATTTTTTGTTCTTCTGTAGAGATGATTGAATTTTTCTTATATTTGGTTTACAGCATTTTTGGATGTAGGAGAATCAATTTTGTTTAATTTTTTCAGTCTCCTTGGGCAGGAGGGTAGAGGGAGGGGAGAGGCACTGTAGGGAAAATAGAGCAAATTCTTTAAAATTCTTCTTCTGGAGAAATATCTGGATGTTGTCGTAAGATGGTCTTAAGCATGTGTCATTAAACTAAAATCAATTTTGTACACACAGTGGATCTAAGCCACCTGGGGCAGGAGGGGTGGGGCCCAGTAAAGGAAATAGAGAAAATTGTTAAAAATCTTTCTTTTTATGTATGAAGGTTGGATTCTGTCCCAATTTTTTCATCCTGAATTGCTGTTGTATACTGTGTTCTGTTGTTACAGTGGAGGTGAGGCATGCTTGAACAATACCCTACCTGATGTCAACCCTACTAATCAGGACGACGGTATGGTTCACTCCTCTGCAGCCATCAACTGGTATTTACTGCACTTTTGTTGTTTTATCCTAATTATGTAATCCTGAATGTATTATCTACACTTCATGAAAGTCCATATCCAGGTAATCTGGTTACCTAGCCCCAGAATCATGACAAACTTCTTTACTATCTCTGCATATTTCTCATGCCTTTACACTAAGCCCAAAACTTATGTGGGATTCACATAATTGTGCTGACCATTGAGAGACAATCTTCATCAAAAGAGGTTTTCACCTCATGAATATCCATAGCAATGTGTAAACAGCATGCACAAATCCCTATCTTTCTTTTTGAGCAGTCTGAGACAGGACAATGATAATCACTGGTGTATTTTATTACCTTAGTTCCTACCAGGTAGCTTATTGTTAATTTTACATAATAATTTTATTGCTTTCAATAACACTGTCACAGTGTACATAATCTGTGTTTTAATTAATAATCAGTCAGTGCTCTGTGTGATGCAAACATTTGTATACAGCACTATGACTGACAAGGATGATTCCTCATTGCTTTTTTGGTGGGAAGAAGGGCCAGAACCATTCTGAATAGGTCAGTCAGTCTGAATTTGACTACATCTAATATACAAGAACTTTAACATCTTGATATTTTGATATTCATTTCATGAGGGTGACGGGGGACAGAGTTACACTCAAAATATTTGAAATGGAAAAAAACATTCAGGTTAGGCAAACCTGCAAGTTGTTTGGAATTTACATGGTACCAGGTTGCCAAAAAACTAAGAGTTGTTATTCGAAAATTAAAAGGTTTTTGGACAATTACTATTCTTGTCAGGTGGCTGAAGGAAGTTTCAGTGTTCTCTGCTAATGACATTTCACACTTTAAAGCAATGTTGAAATTACATACTGCTATGAATATTCATGAGGTATATACTGGTACTTCTTTGGATGGAGAGAGCCTCTCATTGGTCATTGAGGATATGTTATATGTGAAACCCTCTTATCTTCTGGCTATCAGTTTAAAGAATGATCCTCTTCCATCATATCCTATGGGATACTTGGAGGGAGGGGGCATTTCCTGGCCAAATGCTTGGACATAACCTAGTCTGGAATCTAATCGGAAAATCTTATTCCTGCAGCATGTATTAGTGTTGATTGTGTTTGAAGTATTTTATGCACAGATTTTGGTTTAAACAACCACCTGTTGCCTGTTACACTCTATTTTTGTAGTCCTTTATTTATATGCCAAGGTTTTGTTACAGTGTCCAAGGTTTAAGTATTAGACATCATATTCTTTAACTTGTAAATATTTCAAATTATACACAATGTGTATTTGAATTGTAAGAAGAAGAAAAAACATCCCGGAACCTTGAAAATTTGGGGTTTCCAAGCATGGCTCAAGTTGTGCAAAGGTTAGTTAGAGTTAAATAATGTTAAGTGAAACATTCAAATTGCTTCCATTGATAAAAGAAGAGTGTTAAATGTAAAATAAACACTCAAAACATGTCAATCTGACTTGTTTCAACAAACCTATAGCTCAGAAATCATAAGGAATATTTCCAATTTTGTTTGATTAGTGTTTTAAAATTTGTGCTAACCTGCGGTTATCTTAAACCAGCATTTGAACAACTGGGACTGGTGTTTGCTACAACATGAAATCGTCATTCTGCATATTTGTGTTGTTGTTTATTTTTGCATGTATGTAGGTAGTGTGAATGTATGACAAATTCTCATGGTGACATATTGCAATCCCCTTTTGTCTGACAATGTCCAGTGTTAGTCCAGCGTTCGTCATGCTTTGTTAAACTTTACACATTTTCAATTTCTTCTGGAAATTCCTTGGACCAATTATACTGAAATTTTACAGAAACCTTTCATGGTTAAAAGTAAACCAAAATTGTAAATTGTAAGGTCTCCTCCTCAAAGGGCCTGAGTGGTGGGAACAAAAAAATGTCAAATTGACTGAAATTTCAAAAAACTTCCACTGAAGACCCCAAGGTTTTACATTTCCCCCTGGAGAGGGGATAGAGTTTACTGTAATATTTATGTAGGAAAATCACATTCTCTAGCATAATTAGATAATTTTCTTTTAGAAATAGTTTAAAGTTGGTTAGAATTATTAGTGTAGGATAACAGTTTGATGATATACACATATGACTGGCTGACCTCCAGGGGCTGGTCGGCAGGGCCAAAAAGTATCAAATTGACTCAAATTTTAAAAAAGTAGCCTTCTCAATACCCAAATAAGGTAGAATCAAAATAGTCTTGATAGATATAACGGTCTAGAGGGACTTAACCTAGATGGTAGATTTCATGACCCTATGTTCTCACATTTCCATTAGGGGAGGAGATAAAGTTAATTAAAGTTAATTGGGTCACCATTTCTCTTGTTTCCTTCTCTCTACTACACATTCATTCCACATGTCTCCCTTTGTGAGTTCACTCAGGTGACTGCTATGGCCCCTTGACATCTTGTTTTGTATGCCTCAGAACTTGTATACCAAGTAACTTTTATTTTTATTTTGAAAACTTCAGCTTTGATTTTATGCAGTAGATACTGTATAGTTGATATTATTTGCGAGGGATTTAATTTTGCAAGATATTCATTAGTTAAAGATAGTGCAAAGTTAGATAACCAGCAAACATTTTTTACAGTAAGTCAAAATTTCAGAAAATGGATGGTACCTACCTGTATATATGAATACAAGTTGATTGACATATACAAAATTGAATCCCTATGAACTGGCTCAAACCATACATTTAAACAACCATACAGCATGCTATTTTGATTCTGTTATCTTCTTGTTTTGTGGAAAGATTTTTTTGTAGATCTTTTATTTTGTACATGTTTTAGTTCTGTAGTAGACTGTGTTGTGTTAACAGGCATGTGTTGCTGTGGGTATACCGCCCCCTACCCTTATGGATTGTACAGGTTGTACTCTCCTTGGCCAGTTTTGTAAAGGCTTTGATATTTATTTTTATTGCAAAGGTGAGATTTTCTTCCTATTAGGATTTCTGTTTGGTTTTGTTTTTTGTTGTTTTTAACTTTTTGTATTGTGTCTTTTTTAATTGGAATATAGCTTGGTTTTTGTAGTTATTTCAAATAACACAATTCTCTGTAATAATAGTCACATGATCTCATAACAGTATTTTCTCTATCAATATTAGACACACCTGTCACCTGTTAAAATAAAATTATCTTCTGTAATACCCAGGTAATAGACACACATACCAGTCACATGATCAAATGACACTATTTTCTGTAGTGATAGACACATGTACCAGTCACATGATCAAATAACACTATTTTCTGTAGTAATAGACACATGTACCAGTCACATGATCAAATAACACTATTTTCTGTAGTAATAGACACATGTACCAGTCACATGATCAAATAACACTATTTTCTGTAGTAATAGACACATGTACCAGTCACATGATCAAATAACACTATTTTCTGTAGTAATAGACACATGTACCAGTCACATGATCAAATGACACTATTTTCTGTAGTAATAGACACATGTACCAGTCACATGATCAAATAACACTATTTTCTGTAGTAATGGACACACACACCAGTCGCATGATCAAATAACACTATTTTCTGTAGTAATAGACACATGTACCAGTCACATGATCAAATAACACTATTTTCTGTAGTAATAGACACATGTACCAGTCACATGATCAAATGACACTATTTTCTGTAGTAATAGACACATGTACCAGTCACATGATCAAATAACACTATTTTCTGTAGTAATAGACACACACACCAGTCACATGATCAAATAACACTATTTTCTGTAGTAATAGACACATGTACCAGTCACATGATCAAATAACACTATTTTCTGTAGTAATAGACACATGTACCAGTCACATGATCAAATAACACTATTTTCTGTAGTAATAGACACATGTACCAGTCACATGATCAAATGACACTATTTTCTGTAGTAATAGACACATGTACCAGTCACATGATCAAATAACACTATTTTCTGTAGTAATAGACACATGTACCAGTCACATGATCAAATGACACTATTTTCATATCACATGATCAAATAAAACTATTTTCTGTAGTGATAGACACATGTACCAGTCACATGATCAAATAACACTATTTTCTGTAGTGATAGACACATGTACCAGTCACATGATCAAATAACACTATTTTCTGCAGTAATAGACACATGTACCAGTCACATGATCAAATAAAACTATTTTCTGTAGTAATAGACACATGTACCAGTCACATGATCAAATAACACTATTTTCTGTAGTAATAGACACATGTACCAGTCACATGATCAAATAACACTATTTTCTGTAGTAATAGACACATGTACCAGTCACATGATCAAATGACACTATTTTCTGTAGTAATAGACAAACGCACCAGTCACATGATCAAATAAAACTATTTTCTGTAGTGATAGACACATGTACCAGTCACATGATCAAATAACACTATTTTCTGTAGTGATAGACACATGTACCAGTCATATGATCAAATAACACTATTTTCTGTAGTAATAGACACATGTACCAGTCACATGATCAAATAACACTATTTTCTGTAGTAATAGACACACACACCAGTCACATGATCAAATGACACTATTTTCTGTAGTGATAGACACATGTACCAGTCACATGATCAAATAACACTATTTTCTGTAGTAATAGACACACACACCAGTCACATGATCAAATGACACTATTTTCTGTAGTAATAGACAAACGCACCAGTCACATGATCAAATAACACTATTTTCTGTAGTAATAGACACACACACACCAGTCACATGATCAAATGACACTATTTTCTGTAGTAATAGACAAACGCACCAGTCACATGATCAAATAAAACTATTTTCTGTAGTAATAGACACACACACACCAGTCACATGATCAAATGACACTATTTTCTGTTGTAATAGACAAACGCACCAGTCACATGATCAAATAAAACTATTTTCTGTAGTAATAGACACACACACACCAGTCACATGATCAAATGACACTATTTTCTGTAGTAATAGACAAACGCACTAGTCACATGATCAAATAAAACTATTTTCTGTAGTGATGGACACACACACCAGTCACATGATCAAATAACACTATTTTCTGTAGTAATAGACACATGTACCAGTCACATGATCAAATAACACTATTTTCTGTAGTAATAGACACACACACACACACACACACACACACACACACACACACACACACACACACACACACACACACACACACACACACACACACACACACACACACACACACACACACACACACACACACACACACACACACACACACACACACACACACACACACACACACACACACACACACACACACACACACACACACACACACACACACACACACACACACACACCAGTCACATGATCAAATGACACTATTTTCTGTTGTAATAGACAAACGCACTAGTCACATGATCAAATAAAACTATTTTCTGTAGTAATGGACACACACACCAGTCACATGATCAAATAACACTATTTTCTGTAGTAATAGACACACACACACCAGTCACATGATCAAATGACACTATTTTCTGTAGTAATAGACAAACGCACCAGTCACATGATCAAATAAAACTATTTTCTGTAGTAATGGACACATGTACCAGTCACATGATCAAATAACACTATTTTCTGTAGTAATAGACAAACGCACCAGTCACATGATCAAATAAAACTATTTTCTGTAGTAATGGACACACACACACACACCAGTCACATGATCAAATACACTATTTTCTGTATTATAAGACACATGGTAGTCACATGATAATTTTCTTGTTTTATATCTTTTGAGTAATTTTAGGAAATGTTAATGCTTAAACATAATGTCTGAAATTAATTCACCACAGAATTAGCTCACTGATGGTCTTCAAGCTGTGGTTGAAATCGTATTCTTCCTAATCTCCACAGAAATAGTTAAAGAGTAAACTTGCTTTTCAATTTTCTCATACATTATTATGACATATTATCTAAAGAGATGGCAGAAAAAATGCAAAGAAAATAAAAGTATAAAGAATGGATTTGATATTAAAATTCCTCATTACTCATCTCTTTACTTAACATTATTTTTCTAACTAGAGAAAATAACATCAATTATACAAATTAATTAGAAAATTCTTTATCTTTATATGACATCATTGCTTAATATTGTGTAATTCTACATCTAGTGTTTGTTGACTCTAATATTTGCCTTTTCTGTGTTGATTGGCTGTTAAGAATATTATGATGATGGTGATTGGATGATTTCATAGCCTGACTTGTATAGTGTATCATCTAATTTGTTATTATTTAGATAAGGTATTCATGAGACTTTGGATGTACAGCCTTTTTAGCTTAAACACTTTTTCTCTATGAAATCAGATAAGGTTGATAGTAAATAAAAAACAGTTTTCAAAATGTGTTTGTTTTTAAACATTGTATGATTTCCTCCAATATTAGATATAATTCTATTGACAAAGATAATGGCGGCTTTAATGTATATCTATATTATAACAGGGAAACCAGTCTAGGTTTGACACCATGCTTCAGTCTAACTTTATCCTCGAGTTTATCTGCTCAGCACCATTCATTTTCACGGTAAGTTTCCCGACTGGAATAATCTCATCTTTGCATAATTGCATTATAAACAGTTTTGTTCTAACTCCATTGAAACCTACAGTTTGTGTGGTGGGGTGGTGCAATGGTAAAGCACTCACCTGTCACCTAGATGTCCGGGGTTGGATTCCTGGTCAACTGCCCTACCTTGTTGGTTATGCCCTGGTACTCCGGTTTCCTCCCATAGTAAGACCCTTCGTGTGCTTCTATCAAGGCCAATAAACATGATTAATATAAGTTAAAAAAGTTTTTTTTCACAATTGTTTTAAAATAGATAAAGTTTCTTTATTTTACAGTTTGTGTTAGATGCATTTATTGTAAATTTTTTCCCTCCTGGCAAAAACATTAATTTTTCCCAGTGTGAAATTGATCATCCTAAAAAAATGTACATATATACTTGTATTTGAATTTCAGCTAAGGAAAGTAACTTTAGCCAAGTGTTTATTTTCATCTTTTTTATTGATTCACTTTCAAGTCAAAATAGTAAAGTTATATGATTAAAAGCTGTAGTGGAAACTTCAAAAGCATTTATATGTAAGGCCAACAAGATTATGATAAAGGGTGATGACCCCTTAAAGAAAATTGCAACTGATGTTTTCATAATTTTATTGTACAAAATTAATATGTCAAAATATCGTGAAATGTTGACTTGCAGATACTTAAATTCACAAATATGATTAGATTTTAGTTGATGTTGATTGTTATTTTCCCGCACATGAAACACTTTACATTAATTATATTTATACATTGTTACATTTCGAGTAGAAGTATTTGTTAACAATGTTTTATTGATGTCTGTTTTTTGTTGATAGGCATGCTACCCTATGCTGTTTAGAAATTTATTTGTGCCGTCATTCCTCAACTGTTGGCTGGCTAGATTTGCACTTGAAAAACTGTTTGTAAGTTGTTAAGTTGACAGATACAATAACACTATACCTGAACAACAATGTGGATTTGGGTGGTCGGGCGATGCAGTGGTTGCCTATTACTGGTTACCATGGTTTCTCCCACACTACGACCACTCTAACTTCCACACGGACCAGGAATTAAGAGTGATCAGTATCAGTGGGTATAACATGGTTCTGTTACAGTTGTTGTAAGATAAATAGAACTAAGCATTGATTGATAGATAAGGATGAAGATTTAATTTACATGTAAAACAAATGAACATAACTTCAGGAGACTCGAGTCTACCTTATATGTATGTAATGTTTCCTGTATTGTGTGGTGAAGTTACTTTCCATTTCTTTGTACACTGGGTTTCTTTCAATGAGTTGTAAATTTTATGTCGCATGAAAGAGAATTCTTAGAGGAATAGAGGAAGAAAAGTTTGACGAGAAAAGACAAAAGAAGGCGGTTTAGGCCTTTTAAAAGCAATAGTAACAAAAGTAGTAGCTGTCATAACTATATGCATTCCAAGCCAATGACATTAGTTAATGTTTAAGATAACAACACATGGGCAGACTCCAGTAGTGACTCTAGTCACAAGAGTGTTTTGTCTACCTCTAACATGTACCCATTATAGTACATGTGTATTGTCTACCTCTAACATGTACCCATTATAGGACATGTGTATTGTCTACCTCTAACATGTACCCATTATAGGACATGTGTATTGTCTACCTCTAACATGTATCCATTATAGTACATGTGTATTGTCTACCTCTGACATGTACCCATTATAACATGTGTATTGTCTACCTCTGACATGTATCCATTATAGTACATGTGTATTGTCTACCTCTGACATGTACCCATTATAACATGTGTATTGTCTACCTCTGACATGTACCCATTATAACATGTGTATTGTCTACCTCTGACATGTATCCATTATAGTACATGTGTATTGTAAGCAATTGAATGAGATCACTTTTTGTAGGATCTTGTATTAATTTCACATTAGTTGAATGAAACTTTGAGTACAAAAAAAAATGTTATTTCAGTTAGCTTATGGCTTTAGTTTCATAATTCCTGTATAAAAAATTTGAATGAATTTGACATCCATTTCATTATATGCATATTTTCAGAATGATCTTCACATCACCAAACAGAGGTTCCAAGAAATCTCGGTGACCTTGTCGCAACAGCTCTTCATTCTTATAATCACGCTCTTTTGTCTCATCTTTACTACGTGAGTACTGCAGATGTAGATCTGGTTATGATACATGTATTTCAACAACCAAAGTGGGTTTACAGGTTTGGACATTGACCTTGAAACATATTCATTTTCAGCGATAGCAGTACAATCCGTATACATTTTAATGATCCTTGAAACAAGTGCTATAGAGATCTATTCATGATGTTAATTTGTGTGCAAGTATGTACATAGGTCTTGTTTGTAACCCAGCGATGTCCTCACTCTTAGTGTCTTTGTAAATTATCAGATTTATCTCTATACTTTATACACTTACTCATAGCCAGCAGTTCCAATACAAATTTGTGTTACCACATCCTGAGGTCAAAATTTAGGTCTCTGTGAAAATGGGTTTTCACAGTCCTCTCACTACCCTCTATGTAAATTAATTGATTGTCTTGAAACTTCCTACAATTACTCTCAAGCATAATTCCTTTGAGAAATTTACATCTCAGTCTTCTGAGGTCAAGTTTTAGGCCAGTGTTACTATTATGAATAAATGTTTGCTTCCTCACTCTTCCAGCTTCAGTTGTGATCCAGTTGTCCTGTGGCTTCGTACACTTACTGTCAAGCAGATTTCTTGTATGAGTTTGTTTCTCAAACTTCAGAGGTCAAGATTAAGGTCACTGATGCTATAAAAAGACATTGTCATCCCGGCACTACCCACTTCAGCAATTATCCTACAGTCCCTGAAATTTTATACACTTACCTATAGTCAGCATCTCTTGTTTGAGTTGGCATCTCAACCTTCTCAGCTCACTGTTTAGTGTTACTGCCAGCCATCATCTCTTGTATGATTTGGTGTTTCAACCTTCTCAGCTCACTGTTTAGTGTTACTGCTAGCTATCATCTTTTTATCTATCTCATCTCAAACATCTCAAATTGAGCTTTGTATCTTGGGTTATTGCAGGATAATTTTTATATCATACAATATTTATAATTCAATCAAACTCTAATATGAGAGATATTGGTGTCTATCAGAATTTTTATATGTGTATATGGTTTACCATTATAATTAAACTGCCTTGTTTGACATCTTTTGATTATGATCTGTTTTAGGGTGTGTGGTGTGCAGCACATACAGAGATCCAGTCTAGAATCTCCTCTTACCATGTTTGAGTCGTTTTACTTCACTATTGTCACTTTTTCCACGGTTGGGTATGGAGACATCTCCCCAGATATCTGGCTCGGCCAGGTGTTTATGGTCTTAATGATTTGTATAGCCTTCGCATTTATCCCACGACAGGTGAGAAATCATCCGCCACGTGTCCTATCACCTCAAAGTCAACCTAGATATAGAAACACCTCAATGATGAAGAATCTACAATTATTGTACATTAAAATATGTAGTTTTTTATTGTATGAAAATCCTTTAAGAGAGATCACTTATTTGTAAAAAGAACCTTGAACAACAAAATCAAATAATGATTAAAATCTGTGAGGATAGCTTTATTACCATATTACAAAACTTATCCCGTATTTTATAGCTTTGTCCAAAAGAACCATACACCTGCCATGATATTGGTTCTATTTTATATATTATCATAAACATAGACAAAAATTCTTCCAAGTTTTACAACATTGTGATTTATACATAACATCTGTATGTAGGTGGAAGTGATTGGATCCATCTGGATGGAAAGACAGAGAGCAGGGGGCGTGTACAGTCGACGTGCGGCTTCCGCCAACAAACATGTGATCGTATGCTGTCAACAGTTCTCATCTGAGGTCGTCATGGATTTCCTTACTGAATTCTTTGCTCATCCCAAACTTGAGGTACCTTATTAATTAGATATTGAGTTCAACAGTTTCTTTGGATTCCTCTTCACATGACATTAATGTGTCTTTGATTTGTCAGGTTTAAGGTTTATTTTATATTGAATTCTTCACTAGTACAGCAATATACAAATATAATATACCAGTTGTACATTCTATATCCCAATTTATTTGTGCATGTAGGTGATTTCTGAAATTATTGTAATTAAAACAAATATGTGTGCAAATAAAACAATATTGTTCAGCTTTGATTACTAAGTTACCTGGTAAATGTTTTATCTTATAACAAAACTGAGAAGTCATTTCAATATCAACTACTTTTTAGGTCACCTGAGACAAAGTGTTAGGGTGCCCTATCGTGATCCCCTTTTGTCCAGTGATGTGTGTCATAAACTTTTAACATTTTTTATTTCTTTTGGAAAACTCTTGAACCAAATTTTTCTTTTAGGAGCATACTGTGATATTGCTGGGGTCCGATGAGCTAGGCAGCAGTATGCAGGTCATCATACGTGACCCCAAATGGGCCAACAGAGTCATTTATATCAGGGGCTCAGCTCTCAAGGACATCGACCTCAAACGGTGCAGGTAAGAGTTCAGTCGAATTATACTTCAATTCAAGCAGAAACATGCATGACAGAGAGATAAGAAACTCCTTGATAGGGTTACCATTGGTCAGCCATGACCAGATGTCTAATAGTTCATTTTCATTCAATAATTTGTGTACCCATATGTAGCACCATACATCTAGATATGATCCGAAAGTCTCTGCCTGTGCCACACTGGATGAAGAATATTGGATATACGAGATACATAGAATATCCATGAAATTGAAATATTTATATTGATATTCAATGTCTTCATGATCAGTTCTGATCCATTATTTATACAGAATAGTTTTCTGGAAATCAAATGATGTGTGTGCAATGCTATGTTTACCTGTTGTTGGTATACCTTGTTTATCATCACAGATTATGTGAGCTATTCTTCAATCTATTTTAAAGAGTCTCAAGGTGATCTATTCTAATACCGTTCATCCGGCGTCGTGTTGTGGGATGTGCATCGGGCTTTGGTAAACAATTCAACACTTGCGACTTCTTCTCAAAAACCCCTGATCCAATTTCAATTAAAGTTTGCAGAAACCTTCCCTGGCCTAGGATGAACCAAAAAAGTGAATTATACAGTCCCTAACCCCCAAGGGGCAGGGGCAGAGGTGGTGCCAAAAGGATTCAAATTGACTAAAATTTTTTAAATCTTTTTCTCAACACCCAGATATGGTAGAATCAAATATTCTTCATTAATGGAAGCATCTTGTGAATTTCATGGCCCCAGGGTCTCACATATCCCTGTGGGTAGGGGGTAAAGTTTACTATAGTTTATACAGGAAAACTAGATTTTTTAGCATAATTTTTTTAATTTCCATTGGAAATATTTCAGACTTGGTTAAAATTATTAGTGAAGGGTGAAAGCCTAATGGTATGCCCATTTTGATCCTGACTGACCCCCAGGGGCTGATGGTTGGGGCCAAAAGGAGTCAAATTGATTTTAATTTCAAAAATCCTCTCAAGACCCAGATTTGATACAATCAAATGCTCTTCATGAATGGAAGCGTCTTAAGGTACTTTAATTACCTAAATGAGCCTCACATTTCTTCCTTTTAGACTTTACTGTAATTTTCGTAGAACATTGCTGTCCTTTATGTTGATGTTGGAGGTCACATTGCTGTCCTGAATGTTGATGATGAAGGTCACATTGCTGTCCTGAATGTTGATGTTGAAGGTCACATTGCTGTCCTTTATGTTGATGTTGAAGGTCACATTGCTGTCCTGAATATTGATGATGAAGGTCACATTATTGTTCTAATCATGGATGTTGGAGGTCACATTGCTGTCCTGAATGTTGATGTTGAAGGTCACCTTGCTGTCCTGAATGTTGATGATGAAGGTCACATTATTGTTCTAATCATGGATGTTGGAGGTCACATTGCTGTCCTGAATGTTGATGTTGAAGGTCACATTGCTGTCCTGAATGTTGATGATGAAGGTCACATTATTGTTCTAATCATGGATGTTGGAGGTCACATTGCTGTCCTTTATGTTGATGATGAAGGTCACATTGCTGTCCTTTATGTTGATGATGAAGGTCACATTGCTGTCCTGAATGTTGATGTTGAAGGTCATATTGCTATCCTGAATGTTGATGATGAAGGTCACATTATTATTCTAATTATGGATGTTGAAGGTCACAATGCTGTCCTGAATGTTGATGATGAAGGTCACATTGCTGTCCTTTATGTTGATGATGAAGGTCACATTGCTGTCCTGAATGTTGATGATGAAGGTCACATTATTATTCTAATTATGGATGTTGAAGGTCACATTGCTGTCCTTTATGTTGATGATGAAGGTCACATTGCTGTCCTGAATGTTGATGATGAAGGTCACATTGCTGTCCTGAATGTTGATGATGAAGGTCACATTATCGTTCTAATTATAGATGTTGAATGGCACATTGCTGTCCTGAATGTTGATATTCAATAATCACTATGTTGTTCAATATACACATTCAGTGTCGCTTGATATTCATAATGAGCTGTTCAAATTCACCTCAGCTGTTGACTTGAAATTTTCTTGCTTTGTAGAATCAGCCAAGCAGAGGCATGCTTTATATTACCACCTTCAAACTGTACAGATAAAGATCAAGCAGTAAGTATTAGCGGTGTATCTTATATTACTGCCTGGTAACTACAGATAAAGATCAAGCTGTGAGTATTAGAGGTGTGTTTTATATTACTGCCTGGTAACTACAGATAAAGATCAAGCTGTGAGTATTAGAGGTGTATCTTATATTCCTGCCTGGTAACTACAGATAAAGGTCAAGCAGTGAGTATTAGAGGTGTATCTTATATTACTGCCTGGTAACTACAGATAAAGGTCAAGCAGTGAGTATTAGAGGTGTATCTTATATTCCTGCCTGGTAACTACAGATAAAGGTCAAGCAATGAGTATTAGAGGTGTATCTTATATTACTGCCTGGTAACTACAGATAAAGGTCAAGCAATGAGTATTAGAGGTGTATCTTATATTCCTGCCTGGTAACTACAGATAAAGATCAAGCTGTGAGTATTAGAGGTGTATCTTATATTCCTGCCTGGTAACTACAGATAAAGACCAAGCTGTGAGTATTAGAGGTGTGTTTTATATTACTGCCTGGTAACTACAGATAAAGATCAAGCTGTGAGTATTAGAGGCGTGTTTTATATTCCTGCCTGGTAACTACAGATAAAGACCAAGCTGTGAGTATTAGAGGCGTGTTTTATATTACTGCCTGGTAACTACAGATAAAGACCAAGCTGTGAGTATTAGAGGCATGTTTTATATTCCTGCCTGGTAATTACAGATAAAGACCAAGCTGTGAGTATTAGAGGCATGTTTTATAATACTGCCTGGTAACTACAGATAAAGACCAAGCTGTGAGTATTAGAGGCATGTTTTATATTACTGCCTGGTAACTAGATAAAAATGATGTTGTGAGTATTTGAGAAATCACTACCATGTTTTTCCTACGAAAGTAGGATTAAAAAAGGATTGACTTACAATATTTGACTCAAGAGTAAAGGGTTTAGATTAAAGATGATTATTAATAATTCCACTGAACAGCTACAAGTTGATTTTTTCTGACTTATAAAAGGCATACAGTTATTATGGAAAGAATGCATTGAGGAAATTGTTTTCTGGAAAATTATTTTGAAAGGACAGAATGTAGTTTTCATTGTCTTGATGGAAGAAATCTGAAGTTTGTTAATGTGGAAAGTTTTTGGTTCAGTAAGGACATGAAATTTTAATGTTATACACTACATAGAAATAGGTGTAATTTAGAGGACTGTTATGGCAATTATAGTTTGTCTTTTATGATGTCATGATTCATGATATAATACACCAGTAATGTATTATGTATAAATTAGTGTGCACTCAGTGGACATTCGACCATGAACTAATCCTTGATAAATTATTTTACCATGTAACATTAAAATTGATGTTTTCCAGGATAAACATACTATTTTACGTTCCTGGGCTGTGAAGGATTTTGCTCCAAAGTGCCAGCAGTACGTTCAACTATTCAGGGTGGAGAATAAGATGCATGTGCGATTTGCAGGTAAGAAATTTGATAATTGTTTTTAAATCCTAATATCCTTAATAGCTCAACTTGTCTGAAGAACCAAGGTGATCTTACGCAGCACCTTGGAATCTGGCATTCATTTGTCATCCATCTGTCATCTGTTTGTTGTTTGTCATCTTGCTTCAACAGTTTATTTGAAATACTGTGGATAGCGGAGAATGAGCAGACTCTTTCTCTGTAGGAATGTGTGGATTCTGTCCAAATTTGGTCTAAAGCATCCTTCGGTGAAGGAGACTCGGTTTCATATAAATGGCAGATCTCTGTCCTTATGTCCAGGAGGACATGTCCCAGTGTAGAAAATTTAGCAAATTCTTTTGAATCCTTCTATAGGTATGCATGGATTCTGTCCCAATTTGTTTTGAAGCATCCTTGGGTTAAGGGAAATCAATTGTGTGTACACATTGTGTTTATGTGCCCTTGATAGGAGGGAAGGGGACCAATAGAAAAAATAGAGCAGATTCTACATACCTGTAATTTTTCTTCTGTAGGAATGGCAGGACTTACAATATCCCAATTAAGTTTGAAGTATTCTAATGGGATGAAGGAGACATTTGTATAAAAGGTTTCACTGACCCCATTGGTGTCATTGGGGAATACAGTATAAACCTGTAGCATTACTTTTTGCTTCAGTTTGGATAAACTGATTTCATGAGCATGAGCTGATTGGTGGATGGAAGGATAGAAATATGATACAGGAAATTTGGATATGTTAATTTCCTGTAAAGTATGAGTGGAAGTTAGAACTGTTTGTCTAGTTTATTTTCTGATATTTATTTCTTGATTTACAGATTCCAATATTTATATTTTGATGTTAGCTGCAATCAAAGGTACTATTTTCTATGCCAATATCCTCTGGTAGTTACATGTTTTATGATATTTCTCTGTTGTAGAACATGTGGTCTGTGAGGATGAGTTTAAATATGCATTATTGGCCAACAACTGTCTTTACCCAGGTCTGTCTACACTGGTGTCTCTACTGATGCATACATCCACTGGATAGTAAGTAAAGACATTTTATAACTGGAACATTTTTTATAAGATCACCTGACCAAGAAGATCAGGATGACCATTTTGTCTGCTCATGTCCTAAACTTTTCTCATTTTAATCTTTTTCACAAGTTCCATAGATAAGATTGACTTGAAATTTGTCATCAATGATTTATAGTTGATTCTGTCATGGTGTTTGTATTTTTCATCTGTCTTAAAGCCATATATGACATATTTTAAACTGAAAATTCGCAGGGCTTATAAGGAAATGATGTCTGCATAGTGTAACTATTTTTTAGCCCTGTTAAAAGTTGAACATGGCTGCCATGTAGATCATTTTGCAACATGATTGTGAGTTCATCATTTTCTTATACAACATCTATTTTAAATTTCTTTTCAAGTTCCACCAGTGTGTTTTCTACTATGGTTTGGTCTGAAATTCAATGTGGAAGCCATCTTGAAAAACACAGTTTAGACTTCTCCATTTCTACCATTCAATAGAAAATTTGAAGGAATTTGTGATCCTTGTGAGAAACAATATAGAAAATATTGATATGTTGGCAAAATCCTTATTCAAATTTGAATTCGAGGAAACTGGCAAAATATGAAGAAAAAAGAAAGTTTTACATGGAGACTCTTGAAAAAAAACAAGGAGAATAAGACCAGGTGTTCCAGAGCAGTAACCTTCTTCTTCATCAAAGACATGGACCTTGTAAATCTGATGACACCTGCCATGTAAATGTCATATCAATACAAATAAGGAAATGTTTTTTTCCCAAATGAGAAAATGTATACCACTGCAGGTTCTACAGGCAAACTAATAAGCATCAAACCTTTCCAGCTTAATATCGCACAAAGATATAGAACATTTCTATCAGAAAACATTTTGATGTAAAACTTTTGGTAATCTTCATCAACCTGCATCTCAAAATCCTGTGTTGTGACTTTGTCTGTCAAATGACAACATCTTGCATGAAAATCATGATATTGGGAACAGGCCATAGAATATCAAATCAACTGCTGCATATTCACATCATTGGTTGGAGATAGAGTTGTTGCTATCCAGAAAGGGAAAATTCACGATAGGGAAATTCAAATCATCATGCTTATCATACATATTTGTGGAAATCTGACCATGTTGGTTTCATTCTGGGAAAAGATCAAAGTAAGCACCTGATGTAGAAAAAAGCTAAAATCTGGAAAGTTTTGTTTTTGTTACCTAGAACAGTCTCAGTTATTGAATAGTTGTCCTACTACTGCTATGGAAGAAGTACTTTATATGCCTAAAAGTCAGGTGACTGTCTAGGAACCTGGGCCTCTTGTATGCTTTATAGTCAGGTGACTATATAGGAACCTGGGCCTCTTGTATGCTTTATAGTCAGGTGACTATATAGGAACCTGGGTTTCTTGTATGCTTTACAGTCAGGTGACTGTTTAGGAACCTGGGTCTCTTGTATGCTTTACAGTCAGGTGACTATATAGGAACCTGGGTTTCTTGTATGCTTTACAGTCAGGTGACTGTTTAGGAACCTGGGTCTCTTGTATGCTTTATAGTCAGGTGACTATTTAGGAACCTGGGTCTCTTGTATGCTTTATAGTCAGGTGACTGTTTAGGAACCTGGGTCTCTTGTATGCTTTATAGTCAGGTGACTGTTTAGCTATAGGTCTCATGTATGCTTTATAGTCAGGTGACTATTTAGAAACCTGGGTCTCTTGTATGCTTTATAGTCAGGTGACTGTTTGGCTATAGGTCTCTTGTATGCTTTATAGTCAGGTGACTGTTTAAGAACCTGGGTCTCTTGTATGCTTTATAGTCAAGTGACTGTTTAGAAACCTGGGTCTCTTGTATGCTTTATAGTCAGTTGACTGTTTAGGAACCTGGGTCTCTTGTATGCTTTATAGTCAGGTGACTGTTTAGGAACCTGGGTCTCTTGTATGCTTTATAGTCAGGTGACTGTTTAGAAACCTGGGTCTCTTGTATGCTTTATAGTCAGGTGACTGTTTAGGAACCTGGGTCTCTTGTATGCTTTATAGTCAGGTGACTATTTAAACCTCTGGGGTGTTTATACCTTTATACTGAGGCAAAGGCAAAAACAAAAAAACGATGGACATATTGAATGGGTTTTTCAATTGCTCCCAATTTTAGTATTACTGTATACACATATAATGGACTCTATAGTAAAAATTATTTTTGTTTTTCAATATATCTTTCAACCAGGGTTTCCTTGAGTGTATAGATTATGCATTGTATTTATGTTTCAGTGAAGGTTCCCTAGCAAAAGAGACCTGGCAGCAGATCTATGGTCAACACTCTGGGAATGAGATCTACCACATACAGCTGGGTAAAAGTATCTTCTTTAGTCAGTACGAAGGCAGGAAGTTCATAGAGGCATCGGCGGATGCTCATAAACGGTAAACATCTGTCAATATTCATAAATCATCAGACATGGTGCCACACAAATTTGTTTATACAGTTACTGTACATTACTTATATTTTGCATACCTATACTTTATTTCAGGATCATACCTGTTTGTACCTTTTTGTAAAGATAAAAATTTACATCTAAATACTTTCAGATTGGCAACCACACTAGCAGAACTCAACGTCCATAAAATCCAGTTGGTCCTAGAGTTTGTTAGATTTTCCTGCATTAAGTTACTTGTGATCAACATATCTCATCCATTTTGAGTTCCCCTGATGTTATTACATATAGTTGTGGTGATATATGATGTACAATGCAGGTAATGTAAGTTCACATAGGATGTTCACAATAAGATATTAAACACGTATTTCAGGACATGTGCTAGTTTTGATTTTTACTTCATTTGTAAGAACTTTTGACAAAAGTTTGTTTTGTTTGTTACTGTTTCAGTTATGGTGTGACAAAAGTTTGTTACTATTTCAGTTATGGTGTGACAGAGATTTGTTTTGCTTGTTACTATTTCAGTTATGGTGTGACAGAAGTTTGTTACTATTTCAGTGATGGTGTGACATAGGTTTGTTTTGTTTGTTACTATTTCAGTTATGGTGTGACAGAGGTTTGTTTTGTTTGTTACTGTTTCAGTTATGTTGTGACAGAAGTTTGTTACTTTTACAGTTATGTTGTGACAGAAGTTTGTTACTTTTACAGTTATGGTGTGACAGAGGTTTGTTACTATTTCAGTTATGGTGTAACATTGCTGGGGATTTTACAGTTATGTGGAGAGTGTTGTTACTTTTACAGGCATGCACTGTGTGACCAACAGAGTTTGCTTTTATATGACATAACAAAAGAGGAATTTCAAAGATTAAAAGTTTGTTACTTTTACAGTTATGGTGTGACAAAAGTTTGTTACTATTTCAGTTCTGTTGTGACAGAGGTTTGTTTTGTTTGTTACTATTACCATTATGAGGTGACAGAAGTTTGTTACTTTTACAGTTATGTGTAAGATGTATATCAGCACCATTGTTAGTGGTGATGATCACTATGCCATATTTATCCTGGCAATAAGCCCATGTCTATTAATAAGCCCACTAACATAGTTTTCTATTCAGCAAAATTATGAACAATGCTATTTCATTTACATAAGCACTTTGTTACAAGTTACTGGGTTTGGGTTCTAGGTCACTTTGTTAACCCAGGCATCACTGGCATTAGAAAACAGACTTTTGCTTTTATATGAGCATAACAAAAATGATCACAAAATTGATCATGTTATCCAGTTATGCCATGGTTATATGCTTCATAAAATGATGACACAATCTAATTTTGGTAAGTACTTGTTATATCTTCACCATTGTTAGTGGGGATTTACATGGATCTGGTCCGTGGACTGGGATATCGCAACCCCTGAGTGCTGACCCACAAAACTCTTTAACACCATGTCTATTAATAAGCCCACTAACATAGTTTTCTATTCAGCAAAATTATGAACAATGCTATTTCAGAGTTATTGTGCCTCTGGAATTGGCATCAAAATTGATAATACTATCAATTTTTCATCTTGATATCTCTACATGAAATGATGATGCTAACCTACAGTGACATGCCAGCTCTCTTTCCCTGTCCCTTGTGAGATTATCCCGTTGCTAGCAACCACAGGATCATTCTGTGAAGTATGTCAGAAAAACAGAGAATGTATACTTCAGTTTTGTATGAAAAATATAAGCTTCTGTGTAGTCAGCCGTCATGAACCTGCTACACTTACAATGTTCTCACAGATGTTTCAATCACCATGTCAGTGCTCATTTCATTTCTCTCAGATGTAATAGTAGATAGATATAAAATCCTAATCATTTTGATGTTCTATGAACTTCTTTACATTGGTATGTGTTAGTTCAGACTAGCAAACAGCAATTCAGACCTAAAGGATTTCATATAAGTTACCATTTGATATGTGAATTTTTGAAACAAGTCTAAGATTTTTCATTTTAGCAAGCCTTTCATCACATGGTGGATTTTTCAAGTAAATATTATGAGAAATGGTCATTTCTTTATCAAAACTGAAGTCATCCTCTCTGTATTATGCACACCATTGTTACATGGCTATGCAATCTGTGAATGTGTGACGTCATTTCATTATCTAAAGTGACATCACAGTAAGTTATATTACACATGTGTAATATGTAAAAAAATCACTGTATTTTCACTGATTAAGAAGGCAATTATGTGTTAAATAAGTATATCTTGGAAACCGTTTCAATTACCAATTTTCATTGAATTTTAGATTGTAAGGGATCTGAACATTGGTATTTAAATTCTGCGACTTGTTTTGTTTTCAGCTCTGATGGCATCAGAGCTTCAGAAGTTTATAGAAACTCATGGTGATGATGAGGAATCGGATGGTGAAGAGAGCGTGTTCAACACACTGAACTCTCAGGCTGGCTTTGAGCTTAAAAAGCAGCTTCTCTTAGACGTGCCAGGAGAGCCAGCCACTGATAATGCCAAACTCCTCAGCCATAACCCTGATGTCACAGATGCAGCTGCAAATGCCAAATATCAGCAAATCATGGAGGACATTGGACAGAATGAGTAAGTGAATCCTCATCAAGAATCCTGTTGTTGATGATTTTGTTCATAAATCGAGCCTTTGCACAAAAAATTGGCAAATAAGATTTGCTATAGGCCTTGCTGGATAAGAAGTCTGCATATCAAACTTGGTTAATAAGCCATCACATGAAATTGCTGAATACACCTAGGTTGAGTAATAAGCCCACACAAAATCATTGATTAAGACCAGATTTTGTGATAAGCTTACACAGTGAAATACTGAGTAAGTCTAGACTGAGAAATAGCCTAGACTGGTTAATAAGCCATCACACGAAATTGCTGAATACACCTAGGTTGAATAATAAGCCCACACACAAAGTCATTGAATAAGAATAGACTATGTGATAAGTCTGCACAAAAAAATACTGAATGAATTTAGACTGAGAAATAAGCCTAGACTGAGAAATAAGCCTACACACTAAATTGCAGAAAAAACCTAGACTGAAAAATAAGCATATGCACTAAATTGCAGAATAAGTCTAGACTGAGAAATAAGCCTAGACTGAGAAATAAGCATACACACTAAATTACAGAATAAGCCTAGACTGAGAAATAAGCCTACACACTAAATTGCAGAATAAGCCTAGACTGAGAAATAAGCATACACACATCTGTTTTGCTGTTTCAGTAGAAATGTCATCAAATGCGTTATCATGGTCAGATATCAACGATGTTTTAGAAAATTTAGGGTATTGCTTTTCACAATTATATCACAAAGATGTGATTGGGTGACTTTGGGTATACTTTAATCTGCAATCCATTGAATTCTTATTTGTACCTGCCATATTTATCCAACATAACTACCAATAAACAATACTCCGTGTAATATGTAGGATGTCCTTTAAGAAAAGTTTTATTTCAGTATAGTTGCCATCAATCCATAGACATCACTGCCTCCTACTACACATGTTTACAATCTCTATTTCAGAGTAATTACGGGTACCCCACCTGTAACGCTATACGCTGGCACAAAAAACACACGTTGCTACCTTCTTAAAAATGATCGACCACTCTGCTGCCTTAGATGGGGAGAGGTATGTGTGAATCTCTTTATCTATCAGTATCTTCTGTGTTTAATAGACTTAGGATGTTGTGAACCTACTGGTTTCAGACATATCAAGATCAACTGAAATTAAAACTATCATAATTAAAGCAGTTGGTGACTAAGGATATGGTAACAAACAATTTTATTTTACAGTTGATGGAGTTATGGAGAGGAGCACAATGTTCAAGAAAAAATACTAGTGTAGATTTGGCTTGAAAAGATGTGAATGATATAAGCCAGTAGACCTCAATGTGAAGTTTTACTGTGGGTGACTACAGTTATATATATATATGTATACTTTTAAAGGATTGTGAGCACTGTAATTTCAAGAACGCCAATGAACAGCGATGGCAGGGGCGCCTCGTCATCTTGTCTACAGAGCGACCACATTCTGGTATCTACAACTTCATTGTACCTCTGAGGTCACAATTCATCAATTTAGCCTCCCTCAGTCCTTTAATCCTTCTGTTGGAGATCGAGTGAGTACTTTTATTTGGTAGATATTTTATAATGAAGACACCTCTTATATATAAACATCAATTGTAGATTGCATGTATTTAAACTGTATAGATAGACATAGTGACAGAGAGTGATGTGGACAAAACTTTGTCATTTACGGTTACTATAAATGACACATCAAGACAGTTCAGATAAAATCACTTATGTTTCATTGTCATTGTTTTTAAACACAATCTAATTAGGTTTATTGTAAAACATGATATTTAATGAAACTAACGTCAACGAGACAGTTTAATCAATTTATAAAAAATCTATTGTTTTGTCATCCGATGGTTATACATATAGTTATGATATTAATAGGAACAGAAGTATATATTAATCCCTGTCTGACAAATGTGATATCTGTAATGTAAGTTCACATATGGCAACACCAACATAGATATACTAAATTTTGAAGTCATGAAGATTTCAAAATGTTTTATCAATTTGTATTACAACCATTTTGTTTTATTAATCATCTCATTGTATAAATGTATGGTCTTTCTGTTAGGCTTTAGTTCTGTTATCACATATATAGCAATTTCTGTTTTATGTGGTAAATGTACTCCCCTTTACAGACCAGACAGCCTTTTTCTGGAAACTATAGCCAAATTCCCAATGGTGTACTGGATGAAAGGTTCTCTCAAGTAAGACTGATTACTCAGTAACACAACAATCACTTTCACTTGAGATAAATTTGAATTAATGTGAAAAGATGACAAATTTTGTGTGGGAAAAATTGATGACATCTTTTTGATAGAAAGTGGACAAGATGGAGGCATATTGTTATTCATTTCCCATATTATCGCATTCTTTTGCACTCTGGAATTGTATCATTACTCTAGCTGCTTTTCGTCATGGTTCCAAGGTCAAGGTCTCTATTAAGTACCTTTTATAGGAATTTTTTAAACAGTGACATTAATTTGTATGGTAGAAGAATCATTCTTGTCTTACAACATTGATTTTTTTTTCTTTGAATCACGGCCAGATTATCTGGCCAGAAATCATTTCACATGAATCTCTTACCGTATTTTACCACAAATAAGCTCCTCCACCCAGTTTAAAAAGACTTGTCAAAAGAGGGGAAGGGGCTTATTAGCGGGCAACCACTCTGTTCTCCAGATGTACATGTGTCAGCCATCTTGGATTTTTTGTCATAAGGAACGATAACTTGGCCTATCTGTCATCAAAAATAACCCAAAGACGAAAAATAGGATAAATACTTTTATTAACAATATAACAAAATATATTTTACTGAGATCATCGTATTCCAACGCTGAAACGCTGTAATTGGACTTTTAATCTGATCATTCCAGTGTGGATGATCTTCTCACGGCCGGAGTTCAAAAGTCCAGTCATCTTGTGGTCACTAATCGTGAGTGTAAAGATACGGTAGAGACAGAGAACGTCTTGGTAGACTCGGAGACAATTGTCGCCGTGCAAACTGTCTACAAGTAAGTTGTACAATTGAAGCAGTTCGAAACCACAAAAGATATGTAAACAGAAAATCTCAATCTTCACATAAAAAATCAACAAAATAATTGAAAAATTGTACTTTAATGGTAAAATATTGTTTGAAGCTTTTTTTTGAAATCTATATTTTTTTTCTTGTAGGCTTTTCCCAAATGCAAATATCATCACAGAACTTAACAAAGCATCTAACATGCGGTTCATGCAATTTCAGGCTCATGATCATTACGCTCAGGAAATCTCAAAACTCGAGAAGGTATTGTACTTTATGCAGATGTTTTTCTTCGCTATCATTTAATAAAAGTTAAAATTAATGTGTAATAATTTGACTGCATGTTGGGTAAAGGTAAATATTTGATAACATTATAACATATATGTTAAATTCGGATCTTTTGAATCCAACATTTGAAGAGCAGATTATCTCTGTAGAATATAATAGATCTATGCCGGATGTTATTCACTTTTAGAAACTAAAGGAACACATGAGAACAACCTTGACTCATATTTTCCGTCTACCCTTTGCTGCGGGTCGTGTATTCAGTGGAAGTATGTTGGACACACTTCTCTACCAGGTCAGTAAAGATTTCCTTCTCAAATGATATTTTGGAATGTCATTGTTTATTTGCATGCAGCTATAGCTGTATACATGTATAAAAAAACTTTATCCATTCAACAGCAAGGTTCTTAGGACTTTCTGCTTTGTCAAAAAATGTCATATGAAAAATTTACCTTGATCTATTTCAAAGGTCATAGGGGTCAAAATGGTTTTAATTATTTTTAGGTGCCCAGACCTTTGTAAAGGGATACTTGATAAAGATTCATTACTATTTTACCTTTTAAAACATTGTAAAAGGGTAATTTGATGAAGGTTTATCAGTGTTTTTACCTTTCCAGACATTTGTAAAATGACACTTGATGAAGGTTTATCAGTGTTTTTACCTTTCCAGACATTTGTAAAAGGACACTTGATGAAGGTTTATCAGTGTTTTTACCTTTCCAGACATTTGTAAAACGACACTTGATGAAGGTTTATCAGTGTTTTTATCTTTCCAGACATTTGTAAAACAACACTTGATGAAGATTTATCAGTGTTTTTACCTTTCCAGACATTTGTAAAACGACACTTGATAAAGGTTTATCACTGTTTTTACTTTTCCAGACATTTGTAAAACAACACTTGATGAAGGTTTATCACTGTTTTTACTTTTCCAGACATTTGTAAAAGGATATTTGATCAAGTTTGTTCGGCTGTTACTTGGGATTGATGCTGAAAGGAATTCTGGTCATCTGTCTAGTGTGAGTAAATGATTCTGTGATGTTGTCATTTAAGCAAATTCATTTAAATGTTTCAATACATGCACTTCACAATTTCAAGCAGAGTTTTTTTAAATATCTGGCATTGCTTTTAAGCTGTGATGTTCAAAAGTTATGGTCAAACTATAGATAGAAATTACTTTCCATACAATATTGACTAGGCCGATCTTACTCCAATCAGTCTTTACTTAGCAAAAGTTCTAATGTTTTGGGTTGCTTTTCTGGTGTGGAGGTCAAAGGTCAGTGTCACTTTTACTGAATGAAAATTGGTTTTTACTCTTTATCTTGAGTTTTGTGATGACATTTTCACAATTGTGTAACTGCTACATACTTTCAAACATAATGTCATTCATCAATGTCAGCAGTGATTACAGGAGTCTGTATTACTTTGCTTCACCTTTTCTCTGTAATGTAACCTCACCTGATTTCATTATGTTGTGTTCACCAAATTTTCATGAATTTGCTCTACCAAATTTATTGTGTGCTCTTGTTTGTTGACAGATCAAAATTAAGCGTCCTATTCTTGCTAAGTATAGGACCTATGGAGATTTGTACCAAGGCTTGTGTACCATGACAGGGGAAGTCCCTATTGCTATTTATAGGACTGAGAAAAGAAAGCACACAGATGACCAAGAGGTAGGGTGTTGAATAAGAACTGTACAAGGAGGTATTAAAAGAAAAAATCAATCCATATTTCTCTGCATGCTTCAATGTTAGAGAGCGACATTTGAGAGGATGTTATGTCACCACACCATTATAATAACTCTTAATACACTGTGTGACTGTACATCATCATATTTAAACCTACCTACTATGTAAATATGTGCTATCTAGGTTAATTATCCTGTCTGCTGGTTATGTATATGGTATAAGCTATTTCTAGAGCATGCTCCGAGTCTGGTGTAGAAGAACATGTATCTGCAATTAAGTTAGATTATCCTTAAATTCTTTTGTTTTTCATACTTTTCATCTTTCCTATATTTATGAATGATCAAATAACTTCAGAGTGAACATGCTTGGTCTGTTTGAACTGTTCATATTTCCTCCCCAAGATGCCATAAGTTATTATATATTTTACAGGATGGTAGTACACAGAATAACAACGGATCACATAAGTTGTTATATATTTTACTGGATGGTAGTACACAGAATAACAACGGGTCACATAAGTTGTTATATATTTTACAGGATGGTAGTGCACAGAATAACAATGGATCACATAAGTTGCTATGTATTTTACAGGATGGTAGTGCACAGAATAACAACGGGTCACATAAGTTGCTATGTATTTTACAGGATGGTAGTGCACAGAATAACAACGGATCACATAAGTTGCTATGTATTTTACAGGATGGTAGTGCACAGAATAACAACGGGTCACATAAGTTGCTATGTATTTTACAGGATGGTAGTGCACAGAATAACAATGGATCACATAAGTTGCTATGTATTTTACAGGATGGTAGTGCACAGAATAACAACGGGTCACATAAGTTGCTATGTATTTTACAGGATGGTAGTGCACAGAATAACAACGGATCACATAAGTTGCTATGTATTTTACAGGATGGTAGTGCACAGAATAACAACGGGTCACATAAGTTGTTATATATTTTACAGGATGGTAGTGCACAGAATAACAATGGATCACATAAGTTGCTATGTATTTTACAGGATGGTAGTGCACAGAATAACAACGGGTCACATAAGTTGCTATGTATTTTACAGGATGGTAGTGCACAGAATAACAACGGGTCACATAAGTTGCTATGTATTTTACAGGATGGTAGTATTTTACAGGATGGTAGTGCACACAGAATGTATTTTACAGGATGGTAGTGCACAACAACGGGTCACATAAGTTGCTATGTATTTTACAGGATGGTAGAAGAGATCACATAAGTTGCTATGTATTTTACAGGATGGTAGTGCACAGAATAACAACGGATCACCAGAAGAAGAGGGTCTTACACGCAGAGCATCGGCCACTAAAAAAATATCCCTCAACATCCAACAATTCTACGAAAAGTCGGAAAAGGAGGACATTTCTGATCTGATTAGAAACAGAATGAAATCCCTGGAGATGGATACGCTAAGTTTCTGTATGTTTATTATAAATGATGCTACGAGTATTACTCAGAGGGGGGAGATATTAAGATTCTTTGGTGCAATGTAAGACTGTATATCAGTTGAATAAGCTCTCTTTGCTCAAAAGAAGATTTCATTTTCATACAGACCAGTAGATAGATTGAAAGAAAAAAAAAATGCTGTAAACATCTTTAGGGGACTGGGATTAAAGACTTAAAGACTTAGACTCCCTCCACTGCATAGCCTTTGACAGGTGTATTAAAAGGAGGGGTGGGGTAATGTCAGCTTACCAAGTGACAATGTATGATTTTTTTCATTGAATGCAAACTTAGTGTCACTGAAAATGCACAGCAGTATTGGTAAAAGGTGAGACATTGTATTTTAACAATTAAAATAATTAAATATATAAGTCAGCATATCTGGTCAAAATAAAGGTAGATACACCTTATTAATTTTGTTTTCAAATGAGATCCATCTTTAAGCTGCAATGTTTTAAAACGTTAGGGTCGGTTTAATTGGAGGGGGAGAGGAGGGGCTAGAGATTGATCAGAAAACAACACTTACAAAGCATCAAGTTGAAGTTTCAGGGATGTTGGATCAAAGTCAAGGTCACTCATGCTATTTTTAGAAAAGAATTATCAGCACTCATTCAGCTTTATTTCTTGAAGAATTCTCATCAAACCTCAAACATTTGTAGAGCAACAAAACATCTTGAATCAAATTTAGTTTCAGGATTATTGGGTCATAACCAGGGTCACTCTATCATTTTTATCATGGTCCCTAGTCGTGCCAATTTTGGATGTGGCAGTGAAAGATAATAATTGCCTATATCTATATATAAGTTCATATAATTAAGAGCAAAAAAAAAAGATAGAGACCGAGAAAAGAGTGGAAAAGGTCAAACTGTCAAAGAACAAATAATGTTCAAGTGATGGTGGAATCTCTTGTCATCAAAAATATTGCACACTTTTAAAGCATTCATAGCTTTGAAGAATTCTGAGTTTCAGGGTTGTTGGGTTAAAGGTCAAGGTCACCATTGATATTTTTGGAAAGCTGTCCTCAACACCCAAGTTGCTTCATTCCTTACATTGTTTTGATCAAACCTCACACTTTCAAAGCATTCATAGCTTTGAAGAATTTTGAGTTTCAGGGTTGTTGGGTTAAAGGTCAAGGTCACACTTTCACAAATCATCTTATTCCTTATCACATATAGGTGATGTAACTGTCAAACTGTTAGGTTTATTGCATTGTTCCATTAAACCAGAAAAACCCTAATTTTATACTTGTTTATTTTCTAAATTATCACCGTCTTCATTATCATTAAAGTATAATAGTTTGTGGGGGCCAATAGGGGATATATACTGCTTTAGAAGCCCTCGTTGTATTTGTTTACACCTGTTGTTGTGTACAGATGTTTTGTAACTGTTTTAGAAGCCCTAATTGTACTTGTTAACACCTGTTGTTGTGTACAGATGTGTTTACACCTGTTGTTGTGTACAGATGTTTTGTAACTTATACCAGCTGTTGTTTATAAATTAAACATTTATACTTATTGTATGCAAATGAATTTGACCCTGTTGTTTATCTGTTGTTGTGAACAGGTGAGCATGATGAATCAAATACTCCAGTATCGTATGTGATCCTAAATCCTCACCCACAGAGAAAGCTGAGGAAGGGTGATTTGGTGTAAGTACTCCTGTCATTTGTATATTATACTGTTCTGTGAAGCTTTTAAAACTGGCGAGAAGTAAAATATCAATATATCTATGCAAATAACTGTATTTATCCTGTACTAAATCAAGGGGGTCAGAACATCTATTTTGATTCAAAGTCGAGGGGTGAGCTAATTACACAACATTGGATTATAATTTGTCATGATACCAAATAGCAATAGATATATAGGCTTATTACTAGATATCAGCTTATTGCTGAATACAAGTGGTAGTTGGTGATCATCTGTGAAAATAGTCATTACTTCCAGAAAGGTAATTCAAGATTATTATATACATTTTGAATAAAAGTTTTATCAACATCTCTCGAGCCAAAATGCATATTCCAACAAATTAAGACATAAACACACTTGTAGTGCCTGCTTTGCTATGTCTGTAGTGTCTGCGAGTATGTTCTGTCAACCAGCTTGCTTCCTCTGCTTTTAATTTTGACAATTTCTGCATCACAAGTTCAATGTGATTTAGATTTGTGAAACATACTAAACTATGCTTCACCATTATCTTTGGTTACCTTTGCTGTCTTTGTGCATGACGATTGACTTTTTCATCATGAAATTCACGAAAAGTGAATTGTGGCTTAAAGATAATTGGTTGAAGGTATATAAGGCCACAGGCAGCAGGGGAAATTGTGGTTGAGGATAGCTGAAACACTTGAATTAGCTGTTTTTTCTCTAGTTTCAAGAAAATAGTAAGAGTTTTAGCTCAAATTATGGCATTTTACCTCTGAATTTTCCTGATACCAGCCCACCAGCTGGGGTTAGTAGAGTTCAGAAATGGTATTGGAAGACATACAAGTTTGGAAATTGTCTTGTATAGAAACAATTTATAATTATGTTCTGTGACCTGAATACTGCTATGGTTGATTTCTTCCTGGATAAAGTAACGTCACTACAAATGATTATGATCAGCTGGCAATATGTCTTGAAACTGTTGCTGTGATTATGATCAGCTGGCAATATGTCTTGAAACTGTTGCTGTGATTATGATCAGCTGGCAATATGTCTTAAAACTGTTGCTGTTTAGACATACGTTTAGATTTAATCATAACTTCACAGGAAAATTTGAATTTGTAGATTGGTCCATTTCAATTTCATAATTATCTTTATAGGTTCAGTTTACTATTAACAGAACAGGTCAGTTCAAGTGGGCTGTCATCATGTTTACTCCACACATGAACTCTATTTTGAGCTGTGTATACAGATAATGACATTACGAAGGTTATGTCACTGTGTGTGACACCTACATGTAAGGTGTGACATTAAACTCTGATATTTCTTGTGTTGATGTATGTAATGATCTTTTACTGTCTTCACAGGTATGTGATACAACCAAGCTCTATGTTTGCCATTCCCACCAAAGTGAACAAAACAAAAGGTCGGAAAAGAGCCTGGTCATGCAAGGCCTCCAGTGCAGAGGAGCTTAACAAACAAACAGAGTATCGGTCACGAAGCCAATCAGCTGATCAGGGATTAGGATCAGCTTTGGGATCAGGCCTAGTGGCTAACCTACGTGATAGTTTAGGGGATGGACAGGGTGTTGGATTAGGGTTAGGGTCAGAGTTGAAGTCAGATATTTATCCAGCGTCGGACAGTGGAGTAGATAATCTCAATGTCAATGCTGTTCCACAGATTGTGGTGACCACAGCCAAGACGGGTAAAGTGTTCACAACGGAACGGACACCTGATTTAGAACTGCTTTAATCAAGCAAAAACTGATGATGATCCTGATTGGTTCACAGATATTTTTACTTCTGTCTGTAGCAGACTAATTCTAGATCTGACAACATTATAAAACAAATCAGGAGAGAGAAGTGGTGTGTATAATTGTAGTAACATTTGCTCTCATTAGTGAGTTTTATAATACAGCATTATGAGTTTTATAAAGGTTGACACAAAGCACTTCAGTATCACATGATCTGAGAAATTACAAATGAGATTAATTATGTATGGCATATGACTTCTGGAGATTTTAGTTTCTCTGATCAGCTTAATTGAATGTCAGTTTCTCTGGTCAGTTTAAATGAATGTTAGTTTCTCTCATCAGTTTAAATGAATGTTAGTTTTTCTGGTCAGTTTAAATGAATTTCAATTCTCTGGTCAGTTAAAATGAATGTTAGTTTCTCTCATCAGTTTAAATGAATGTCAGCTTACCTGGTCACTTTCAATGAATGTTGGTTTCTGTTGTGTTAGAAGCAAATCTTTATGAAAGTGACATAATGTAATACAATGGCCTAATACACATCATTGATCAAATGGTTGCAAGTCCAAAGAAACCAAATTTAAATACAGATTTAATATGATTCCTTTGGTTGGTAGAAAATATTTTCATATATTTTAATGCATTTTACTAAGAAAATATTTTGTTGATAGAATATTTTGATATTGTCATATGAACTTAGGACAAATGAACTTAGGACAAGGTGTTGTACACAGTATATTTTGATTTAACTACATCTGTGTCACCGCTCATATGCCTTGTGATAACTGTGTGTTATTGTTTTTGTTTACAAGCTGTGATGTTTAGACACTTTTAGAGCCTCCAATTGGTTGTCGATGACCCCTAACAATTCTGATTGGTTGTCGATGACCCCCAACAATTCTGATTGGTTGTATATGACCTCCAACAATTCTGATTGGTTGTCTATGACCTCCAACAATTCTGATTGGTAAATCACTGAACTTTGACATTGGACTGCTTTACATGGATGTTCTTTTTGTCAAAGAAAATCATCAACATGAACATCGATCATCAGCTCATAGCGACCCAGAAAAACCAATTTGCTTCCCCGTGATATTTTTGAGATGCATGAAGAGTAATTGGAAAGCCTTTGACTAGACACTCTTGTCACTTATATAACATTTATATTTCACTGGTTGTTGCTATATAAAACTCTACATGATGTATACAACTCATATAATTAGCTGATATTAGCTGAAACATGATATGTGGAATGAATGAGATTATTCATTTATATTTGTATGTATTGTTAAAATTGATCTGAGTGAGAAATGGAAGAATATGCATTTGTTTAAAAATTTATAATTGTGTAGAAATAATACTCAACTTTATATTTGATATTATAATGTTTACATGTACACTGATGCTTTATTTGATCGATTCAAAAGTCCAAAAGCAAAATGTAATGGCTTGACTAGGACTTTTTGTTACTGGTTCAAAACTTGTGTTAACATAAATTTTACATTCCTTATGTCCATAAAAATGACTCGATTGTAAAGATATGTGAATTTCTACTGCTAAGGCATTATAGCGTGCTTAGTATGTAGATCCAAGCAGTTCATGTTTCTCATGTGAACCTGAACTCATGGACTGTCTAAGATGTAGTGTTAGTACTGGCCTCACAGATTATGTTCATCAAGATAGCCAACAGATACTACAAGGATATTCCACAGCTAAACGACTCTGGCTGTTCACCGACAAGAAAGCAATAATAACTGTAGAGATGGGTTTCCTCATGTTCAATCTTGTTTTCTTTTTTAATGAAACATTCCAATTTCATTCTAAAAGGTACTTTTTTTTCTCCTTTTAAAGGATTTTAATGTGTATGAAAACTTCTCGTTTCATGATGATGAGCATTTAATCAAAATATTGTGAACTGAAAAGATAGGCTTGTACTCTCTAGATATTGTATTTTTGTTGTAATATCTAAATGATTTATACCTTTTTACATAAATATTATTAAAAACTTTTGAATGAAGCTGGGTCTCTGCCAAACAGCAATTTAGAAATTGCAGTCCTTTCCAGGAGCCATTTATGGACCAAGATCTACAATATAGATAGTGATGTTCTTGTGCTAAGTTTGAATATGAACTTCAACTCTACCTAGAATTGTCATTCCTCACACCCATTAACAAACAGCAGCTTTCACTTGACCTGTTGAAACAGTTACATGGCATGTAGTTTTGTGTAAAATTAATTCATTTGTGTAAAAGATTAAAGCATTTACATCAAAGCCAGACATTGAACTAAAAATTCTGTGTCGTTCATTTATAATTTTTACATTTAATATCATAACATTTCTTAGAGATATATCAGTTCATGGATATTGTTTGCTTTTTCATTTAACTGTTCAAATTTACATATCATAATTACCAAGTCAAAATAAGAGACTTTGTATATGTAAGAAAAGACAACTTGGAGAGGTTTTGTGCCTGTAAATATCGCCAGGTATATAATATCTGTGATGTAGTTAAATATATTGTTAATTATTTTGAGAAGATTTGTAAATAATATTCAAATTGTGATGCTGAATTGATATTTTATAATGTGTATTCTTGCTGAAGTTATATGTAATATTTTTTATTGGTTGAATTTGAGTCTCAGTTGTACATATATACTTGTTCAAGTCTTACACTCATTAAAGTAGGATTCAAAAGTAGAGTCAAGATTGATTTTCCACTTTTTTAAAAAAAAAATCAAAATCAAAATATTTTTCTATTATTTGTGTTTCATATTACATTTAAAATAAAACGAGTGATAAAAGCAAGAAAATGTTGATGTTTCGGAGCAAAAATGTTAAATAAACCAGATTTCAAACAGAGGCAAAAATTTCATGTTCTGTTCAAATTAATGTCAAAAATAATTCCTTTGTCTGAAATTATAGTTTTAAAAACGAATCAAATCATTTTTTATGTTTTCCCCTATACTTTTGCAGAATAATTCATGACTGCATTCCAGTTAATAAAATCATATTTATATCATCTCCAACAATCAAAATTGGAATAAAATTTGTATACAAGAAAAGTAAAAAAAAAATGTCTCGATTTGTTGATTGGTTTTACTTTTGTAAGACTTAGCATACATGGCATATTGATGACAAACACTCTCTTGACTAGAATGCTCTGTCTCCATGATAAAGGTACCACTTGTAATTAATGATAATTCCCTTACAATGTCCTGGTGTTTGGTGGTATATTATGATGTGGTGAGAAAATTCTTTACAGCTGATAATCTCTATACATAACAGCTTACTAATTATGAATAAACACACAAACAATTCAACTTGATGATCAAGTTGTACTCAAGTCACACCCTTTCTCATTGGACAAAATTAATTTTGAAGTAGATTAAAACTTATAAAGAAAAATGTGACACAGTGTATGTAGTCTCTTTCCATTCAGATATTGTACATTACAAAATAATAACCCCCCCTCCCCCAATTTCTATGATGTCATAATACATGTGGACAATCCAGCCATAATTGATAATGTCATATTGTAGGCTTTGTAGGTCTACGGAGGTAATAGTGCTGATGCTTTACTAATCAGAAGTATTTCCAGTTATATCTATATCTACGCCGGATCTGAAAAACACTTGTACACTAATTCACTAATACAAACTTGATCATCCTAGACAACCGTTTTCTTCCAATACATTATACACTGTGGAATCAAACCTACATTTTTCATTGGACAAATGACGTCACATGTTGAACAGCACAACATTATAGACGGCATTGATGACAGGTGTCGCTTCAAGATTTCTCTTATATCCCAGGCCTAAGCCACAAAATTCATCTTAATACCATGTATCTATCTCTTTCATTTGCAACAATACATTATTTTAATGTATACTGTAGTGAGTATTGAACAATTGAAAACAATAAAATGTATGTTAAAACAGATGAATCTCCTAATAAGGTACAAATTAGCACCACCAAATTTGATATCTATCTATATATATATTCAGTATGGTTCTACTCTCGGCAAACCATTTTACTTGAAACTTTGTCAATATTTGATTGTTGCTTTGTAATTAAAGAAAAGTTCTTGGTTTTTCCAGTGATTATTGAGCCTATTTTTAAATGAATTTACATTTACAGCTGAAACTACGTTTTCTGGCAGACAATTCCAAATTGACACAGTTCTGGTTGAAAAAGTTTTTCCGGAGCATATTTTTTTTCATATGACCTCTTTGACTTGCTGTGGCATCTTTCCGTAATGTGATAGCATTAAAACATTACCATAAATTTGATTGTTTTGTATAGTTCTATTGATGGACAGCTGTATAAATTGCATTTCTGAATTTTTCACATACAATGTACATGTATAATGAAGATTGTAGTAGAGACATTATGTTGTATTCCCGTCTTACACCAGTTTTAATGCAGATTTGATATTTATCAGTTTGCTCGTTTAATTCGTGATCAACCACAAGAATTTGACGTCACTGTAAAACTGATGCAATTCAGTACAAGAGCATTACCATGCCTGTTGCAATACTTAGTCCTTTTTCCCTGGAGAATGTTTCATCCACGTACAAAAAAATTGCTTTACACTATGTGAATTTCGTTTTTTGTTTTTGTTTTTTAAAGAAATATTACTTGGAAGATAAAACCAAGAATATGGAATGTATCTATCTACATTGTACCTATAGACCTTCAATTAAATTTCTCTACATAGTTTTCTGATACAATTTGTAAAGATATGTACTGTATTATATATAAAGTAGCGGGGATGTCACGATACATTAGTCTTCCATCTACTCCTATACAGTTTATATACAATAATTCACGACGCCAGTGGTAGGCCAATTGCTTTTTTATTCGATTCTAACCATGTCCAAAGTCCTGAAATCCAACGTAAACAACATACGCAAACTTCTAGACCACTATAGGATCAAAAGTATTTGTGTGTGCCCTTTACGTTCTAGATACAGGTGCCTGTGATTTGTGCAAATGCGAATCATTTGCTAGTTATTTCCGACGGCGTACATTAATCAATTGTTAAGGAAATCTTTCTGGTAGTAAAAGATCTATAATATATCTTAGAGATGACGTAGTCCAGAAACTAAGTAACATAATATAAACGTTTCTGCGTAGTTGTGTAAAATTTTTCGCAAGGTAAGGGAAAAGTTACTTTGCCTGCATGATGAAAGCTGTTGAAACAGTGTATAATGTGCTTAGAGGAACACGCGTAGTGATATTTAGATATGCGTGTAGATATTATATTTGTCCTTTTTAGGAAAATTTTACTACTTATTTCAATATATTTATCAAATGCATTTCTTATTTTTAACAGATATGTACATCATTGTATAATGATACCAACCAATGAATATTTTTTATTAGAACTACATTTTCTTTTGCCCGCGTAGTGTGTTCTGGTATGTGTGATATCAGGCTCCCGGAAGTATATGTGGTTGCTAGCTCGTTGTGCAAGAAAAATACATAAAACACCCCCTCTGTGAACATAGATCCCATAGAATAATCTTGACTGACAGGACAAACACTACTCTGCATTTTACTCAAGATACCTAGCTTTCGTACTAGGCCGCTGCAGGAAGTGACTGAATCGCTGATAAATGTGAAATTTTGATAAAGAATTCCCAGTATCCGTCTTACCAATAATAGCTAGCGTGGTAGCGAAACTTTAATTTTCCTGACGCCGATACGCTTAAAACGTATCTGATTTTATAAAAAAAAAAAACCCGTACATTTGTCGGATTCGTTAACATAACAAATACCACTGAAGATGAGAGGACGCGGTGGAAGGGGACGAGGAAGAGGTGGGCGTGGCCGTGGAGGCGGTGGTAGAGGCAGGGGTCGATCTGCACGTGGAGGGGCCGGAGCATCAACAGATGGGGCATCGTCCGAGAATAAGGAAGTGAAGGATCTTAATATCGATACAGATTTGCAAGCATTTTTTGTGGGGAATGCTTCAGTATCACAGCACTATGTCGCACAAAATCAGAACACAGAAAGGTATGCTGCAGGCATGGCTGTCCTTCAGAGAAATGGCGTGGAGATCGCACAGAGTAAGTATAAATGCTCAGACTAAAAGCATTCGAGATGATAACAAATAACAAAAAAATGTTGTCTGATAAAAAAAAATTGTCATAAATTTGACATCTCAGAAGTGTATAGTGATGGTTCACTGACATCCGCAGTTTGCTGTGTTGGCATGTACGTACATGTATACGTATCTTTTGCATGTACAGTTGATCATGAGTGATTGCTTCTCATTTAACAAAAATATGTAGGTCTGACAAGTCTGCTGGATGACTGATGGCATACAAATTATACTCTGATGAACATTACATGAGGAAGCTGCAATATGAACCGTTACCAAAAACATAAAAAAAACTTGTTTCTGGAAAATGTATGTCATGATTAGCTTCGGATATATAGCTGACAACAGAGTTTGTAATAAGGATTAAATGATCATGAAAAAAGACAAAATTGATTTATCAATTTTAATGAATACCTGTTATTGACAGCCTTGTCAGTCCTGCATATGTATTTGATTCAGGAAACATGTTTTATTTTCCAGTAATGATTACTCCTCTCCTGTTGATGGAAACAAATCTCTAATTCTGAATTTTTTAGATGCAAGAATTCGATCATTGGCAGCAGCATGGGCTAGAAAAGACTTCAGCTTATCAAACGCGTTCCTGAAAGATCGTGACAACTTTGGACTAGTTGAGGTGTTGAAGGCACTACAGCTTTTGGATTCAGGGAGACAAGTACGAGTGAAAGAAAAACAGCTGCGAAGACTCCAAATTTCAACAAACAAAGTGCTAGCTAAAACCCTGGGCAAACTGAAGTCTGACATAGATAACCTAAATGCCATTAAGTCACCTGTAAGTTAACTCTGTTGGTACTCAATAGAAGGAACTTATTTGAATGTGTCTGTCCATCTGTTGTGTCTGCTTATCTATTTTGTCTGTCCATCTGTTGTGCCTGCCCTTCGGTTGTGTTTGTCCTTGTATTGTGTGTGTGTGTCTATTTATTGTGTCTGTCCATCTATTATGCCTCTCTATCTATTTTGTCTCAATCTCTATCTATTTTGTCTCAGTCTCTATTTTGTTCGTCATTCTATTAAAGCTGTTCATCTTTTGTGTCTGTCAATACATTACATCTGTCCATACATTTTGTCTCTGTGTCCATACATTTTGTCTGTCTGTCCATCTGTGTTACTTGATGATTTTGTTAAGTATCAACCATAACTTTTGTCAAATTTTGACCAAAAAATAGTATACACATATACATGCATGTACACCAATAAAAGACATCCTTAAATGATGCATGCACATATACATAATTGCTGTACTTAAATATATAGTAATTGCTGTAATATTAAATATATAAATTCGCGGAGATTTGCTATCATATACAGTACTTGTAGTGGGAAGTCTCTCACATGACATTTGCTTTCTAACGACGTTATTTGTTTAGAGATAAAACTTGGGAAATTGTGGCCATGTTTTCAATAAGCTGAATGTGATATTTGGTTACAGTATGGTACAGCAAGTGGAGCAATATGTAAATACATTCGTAAGTGGGTACAGACATTTACCAAAGAGGAGCTGGAGTTTTACTCTCTTTATTTCCCGAAGCAGCCATGGCAGAAATTGGCTGACCTCTGCCACTTCCATCCAGAAAAGGTATGAAAATAAAGATATTTACTAAATGGATTCGCTGAATATTTGAATGATGTAGCACTTATACATGTCTATATTTAACCTTAATTTTGAGAATGATTATGATTTTTTTTCCCGTTGATGGCATAATTATGTATAATCAATCTGTATCATATATCACTGTGTTGAACCTAACACGCCTTTGTTGGTGGAAGCTTCATAAACACATGTACAAGAAGTCATACCTCCAAAGTACTTCAAGGTTAATATTTTCTTGATTCATCATCCTTGAAAACCCAGTTTCATTTTGAGGCGGGGCCTCCTTGTAATAGTTGTTGGCTACCCTTTACATGCCATCCAGAGAAATTCAGGGAAAGTATGTTGCCCAAGGACAAAACCACAACAATACAGACAGATCCATTTCTCAGTTTTCATAGAAACATACACTGCCACAGGTAGGGAGCATCAAACTGCATACCTCAGATTTTCACCCAAGGTTACATTGACCAACACTCAAAGTGACTGAGCTATCATGACCCAGATATGATAAATGTAGTACACGAGAGACTGAGGGCTGGGATAATGGAGATAAGTGACCAGTAATCCTGAACTGGTTTAGGTGTTTTGTTGTGCTCAGGGGCTCTAAGTTTGAATCCCAGTCTGGCTAAAATCTAGCTCCTTCTTCTGTAAATATGGTCCCATTATTAAGCTTATTGTTTGGACGTTTTAGGACTTCCTATCCTATGTTACCATTATTACACTACCCAAGCTGTTTGGATATTTCAGGAATTCCCCTCCTTTGTTACTATTATTAACCAATCTGTTTGGATATTTCAGGAATTCCTCTCCTTTGTTACTATTATTAACCAATCTGTTTGGATATTTCAGGAATTCCCCTCCTTTGTTACTATTATTAACCTAGCTTTTTTTAATTTCAGGACTTCCCCTCACTTCCCTGGTTTCTGCCATATTGTTATGGGAAGGATGCCCCAGAGGACACTATGACTTACCGATGTCAGCATCTCACAGCTGACAATATAAATGAAGTGATCAAAGAGTTCCCTATTCCATACAGCCTTGCCAAGCAGCACAAGAGTAATCTCACATCTGAATCCAAGGCTCGCATCGCGGCCAATGAGCCCAAACTTGACACAATTATCTGGTAGGTATTCCTGTTCCAAGTACAAACCTTATTGTGGGTATGTTTAAACAGATTTGAATAAGTTATCATTGTGTTGCAAAAGATAGCACTATTACAGTATTAAGGCTCATTTTATCCTACAATAAGCCAAGGAGGGCAGCACATGACCTCTGACTCATTAGGGAGGTGGACTTATTACAGGACAATAAGCCAAGGGGGGCAGCACATGAACTCTGACTCATTAGAGAGGTGGACTTATTACAGGACAATAAGCCAAGGAGGGCAGCACATGACCTCTGACTCATTAGGGAGGTGGACTTATTACAGGACAATAAGCCAAGGAGGGCAGCACATGACTTCTGACTCATTAGGGAGGTGGACTTATTACAGGACAATAAGCCAAGGAGGGCAGCACATGACCTCTGACTCATTAGGGAGGTGGACTTATTACAGGACAATAAGCCAAGGGGGACAACACATGACCTGTGACTCATAATGGAAACAGACTTATTGCATGGTAATGATAAGGTGTTTCTACTGAAAGTGCACTAGGTGTGAATGGATTTATTTCCCAATCAATATGACGGTATTGAGTTCCTGGTAGAAAACAGTGATACCTCTTTGAAATTCCTAGTAAAATAACAAATTTTGTTCTTCAGGTATTACGAGGATATCGGTCGTGATTGTGCAGAAGTTGACAAAATCGTAGATGACAGGATGAAAAGGGGCAATGAAGTGAATCTACAGCTTGGAAAGATGATGGACCGGTTACTGATGCTGAAGATGTATCGTGAAAACATTCCTACCACCACGTATTATGGGCAGAAGATTGAACGCAAATTGGATGAAAACAAAGCGCCATTCATGCAACAGCTCGTATCATTTGGCAACAAACGACTGAAAGAAGTCAGGTATTTACAGTTTCTGGGTTATTACATGTGGACAGAAGGATCTTAGCAGCATTGTTTTTAATTACTATTTCATTTCTCTGTTTTCTCTTTGAAACAACATGGTTCATTCAGGACTCTTGTGTCAATTAGTACATGTACTATAAATAAACCTTAAGGAATAAAAATCTAACTGGAGGGAAATGTTACAGGGAAGTGGTTATTTAGGGAAAAATCAGTCAACATCACTTTATACTGAGACATTTCACCCCAGGTTATTTTCACCCTTGTATCATTTTAGACAAATTCATCTCATGTTCATTTCACTCTGGTAGTATTATATAAAAGGGTTATAAAAGTGTAATAAATTTTCTCTCTCCATGTTCATGGACAAATAGGATGAAAACAGAACAGGATATCAGTGTTCTGGCAACATAACACAAGGGGGTCGCATGTACCTTTTGATCCAATTAAGGAGTTTGACTTATAATGGTGATATAAAACACCATTTGTTTCACAAAATTCAACTGAACAGTAATAGATATTGGTTGACTTATTACCAAACATGGTTTTTTGTCAGATAGACATTAGGTAGAAATATGTAGATAGTTTCTTATGAATAGATTTTGTCTTAAATTGTGTTATGTCGAGCTAGGTTGTTAATAAATACTTACAAAATTATATTGGATAAAAAAAAAGAAAGAAAAAGAAAAATAAGAAATTGTAACAAATAAAACTTCTGAAGAAATCATATCAGTTCAAATTTGTCAGTCTGTTTTATTCTGTTTATAAAAGTTAGTGAGAGAAGCTTTGTGTGTTATTATCCTGAGCTCAAAAGTTGTTGTTGTTCTAAATTTAGTTTGTCCCTCGAGGCCCCCATTGTTGTGAGTGGAGATGCCTCAGGCTCCATGGAGATTGCCATCCGGACCAGTGTCATTATCTCTGGTATCCTCACTGCCATCTGCTCAGCCAAGCTTATCTTTTTCAATAGCACATTTCGATACCCGAGCTCCCTACCCACAAACATAGAGGAGGTATGTAAAATGATGCTTACTGTATAAGTATATAGAGTTTTGCAACTTTGATTACATTTGTTGAAAATTTTGTGTCCAGGGCATAACTTTGCTTGCATTTGAACTAGGATAATAAAATCTGGTGTACATATTGGTCTTACTAAGCCAATGTGCCCACAACTCCTTTATTACAGAGTTATTGCCCATTGTTAAAATTTCATGTCGAAAGAACAACTATAAATTGCTTGTATTTAAACTATGATGATGAATTCGGTGTATATATTGGTGTATATGAAGACGATACGCAATGTAAGAGCCAGAGTTATTGCCCTTTGTTTAACCTTTGGTGTCCAAAATATAACTTCACTTTTATCTAAGCCAGGATAATGAAACTTGTTCGATACACTGGTCATATTAAGAGGATGTTCAGTGTACCAAATTCGGTTTTTGAAATCCCTTAATAACAGAATTATTGCCCTTTGTTTTGTGTCTGATGAAGTTATTTTCAAAAAGCATTCATTAGTTTCACTAATACTATTATTTTATTAAAAATATGCATTGGGATCACTTAAATTAGTAAAAGAGTGATTATTGAAAGTGCAGTTTTATCTTGCGGTAAAATAAAAAACACAGATGAAACTAATTAATTATAAATTTGCAATTTTTATTTTAAGTTTGACATAAGATTAATCTCAATAGCTCTCATTCAAAAGTTACATTTAATGTCTCAACAGGTGTTAGAGCTTGCATTGGAAACCAAAGCTGGAGGAGGTACTAGTCCAGCAGCAAGCTTGTGGCCTTATTATGAGAATAAGGAAGTGGTTAAAACATTCATAATGGTCACTGATGAGGAAGAGAATAGTGGCTACCAAAGTCACAGGTAAGATTGGTCATTGTTCTGGTCATCACAGATTATAACGGTCACTGTTCTGGTCATCACAGATTATAACGGTCACTGTTCTGGTCATCACAGATTATAACGGTCACTGTTCTGGTCATCACAGATTATAACGGTCACTGTTCTGGTCATCACAGATTATAACGGTCACTGTTCTGGTCATCACAGATTATAACGGTCACTGTTCTGGTCATCACAGATTATAACGGTCACTGTTCTGGTCATCACAGATTATAACGGTCACTGTTCTGGTCATCACAGATTATAACGGTCACTGTTCTGGTCATCACAGATTATAACGGTCACTGTTCTGGTCATCACAGATTATAACGGTCACTGTTCTGGTCATCACAGATTATAACGGTCACTGTTCTGGTCATCACAGATTATAACGGTCACTGTTCTGGTCATCACAGATTATAACGGTCACTGTTCTGGTCATCACAGATTATAACGGTCACTGTTCTGGTCATCACAGATTATAACGGTCACTGTTCTGGTCATCACAGATTATAACGGTCACTGTTCTGGTCATCACAGATTATAACGTTCACTGTTCTGGTCATCACAGATTATAACGGTCACTGTTCTGGTCATCACAGATTATAATGTTCACTGTTCTGGTCATCACAGATTATAACGGTCACTGTTCTGGTCATCACAGATTATAATGTTCACTGTTCTGGTCATCACAGATTATAACGGTCACTGTTCTGGTCATCACAGATTATAATGGTCACTGTTCTGGTCATCACAGATTATAATGTTCACTGTTCTGGTCATCACAGATTATAACGGTCACTGTTCTGGTCATCACAGATTATAATGGTCACTGTTCTGGTCATCACAAGTTAGAGTGGTAACCACTCGAGATATTTAGAATACCTGTATATTTTTCATACATGCAAAATAACAATTACAGTATATAAATGTACACTCAAAAATTGAAAATTTTTACTTATCTTAATATATTTTATAGATTTCTACTTTGTGCAGTATTTTAAATGCAAATGTACACATTTTATAATTGCAATGAATATTTATTTATGTGAAAATACTAGACAACCTAGTTATCCCTTTACCAAAGGAAATTAATCTGTAATAATAAGCGTTTTTCTCATTAAATGCATCATTATTCTATTGTGAATTAAATTGTCAATAGGATGTAATAAACACAAAATAAAAAATCTCTTAGTCAGTCCACACTTTTGGAAACAATGTTGAAATGTCTCAGTCTTTGACAAGTTTTGCATTGTGTCCCTCCATCTTTCCATCCTTCCATCCCTCCGTCCATCCTTCTGCTATCTTGTCCAGTCCCTATCTTCTACACAACTAATCATGGAAACATAATGCTTTGAATATTGGTTCACCTTGGTACAACAGTATGTTGTGTATCAAAAGTAGGTCACTTTGACCTACATTTTGATCTTTGACTTACATTAAAGATCAAGCTTAAATGGGCCTTTTACACAACATTGCTTCACTGGGGTGAGGTGGTGTGGAACTGGGGATGGTAAATCCTTAAATTATCATGCTATAATTAGTATATATAATTACAAACCGAAATTTTTTTTATAGATCATAAAAGAAAAAAACAACATCTTCCTCATTTGTCTTGTTTACTATAATTAATTATACATTTTGACTTTCTAGATTTGCTGACCTTTACCAGAAATACTGTGAGGAGGTGTATCCAATGCGCCTTGTGTTTGTGTCCTTCCTGTATAATCAGCATTCTGAAGGTCAAATGGTGCGAGAACTAAAGGCTAAGGGGTATAACCCAATGCAGGTAAAATTCCATCGCAGCCAACCTGACCTGACAAAACTTGACAAGCTGTTTGGAACTCTGTCTTCAGAATCTCTTTCATTTGAAGAGGAGGTGACAGCAATGCAAGCTGAAATCACAGACCGGGGATTGGCAAATGTGTTTCAGAAAGTAGACTTATCTTCACAGTCTGATGACAAAAACTAATTCCGAATGAAGAAAGATTCAATGTGATTCACTAAAACAAGAATGTGATATACCAAGGTACTAACTTATTATTTTTAATTCAATCTTTGTTAAAAATGGATATGTCTGTTATGTCAAGGTTGTCATGTTAAATGTACTTTGTAAACCCTATTGAATTATCTCCCTTTACGTACTGCTATATTTGTATCTGTATTTTTTTTTTGTGACCTTTGAGATATAAAAATATTTGTTTATGTTTTAGTTAAAATGAAATTGGGCATGTTGCAATTTTTCATCCCTAGGAAGTTTTGTGCCTGTAAGTAAACAAATTGACCAGATTTATTGGATCAAATATTCATTTTCTAAAACTGTAAATGATCAAAAGGTCAGTTTATAGGACATCGCACATGATTTTTCAGAACTTCATATTTTTAGAAAATATGATGCATTAATGGTATGTCTTTTTCACAATACGCCATCTGTCGCCAAGCCCCGGTGATAACTATGTTTAATATGTATATGCGATGACAAGGCTGATGGACTTTAGATGTCACTGGGGACCTCCTGTCAATAGTTTGCCACTATAACGCTTGTGTAATTCAATTTTTTTCAAAGGTTATATTTTTATTGATCACTAAATCGGTAGAGATCGATTCTTGTAATACATGTTGATAAAAAGCAGTAAATAGCTGAACAAAAGACTGCAATTGTCGAAAGTATTTGTTGAAATTAATAAACGAATACTGATTATGTTGAAGGAATTATACGTGCTATGCATGGGATAAAACAGGAAAAAATATTGTTAATATTTCTGTTCTCTTGTCATTGGTGCTTCATGTAGTGATTGGTTGCTGCACTTGACTTGACAGAAGTACCAAAAACACGAGACAAAAAAGTGAAACTTACATATGTGTTATATATGAGTCTAGTATGGAAGCATTCTGACAAAACCACTGTCACAAATTCTGCAATTATTTGTATTGAAGTTTTTTTTGCTTCAATAACAGCTCCTTCAATATCATATCATATCTCGTTATCATTGGGAAAATGTGACAATGGATGAACATATTCTACATATGCAGTTACAACAGAAAAGTTAAAAAATTTACAAATAGTTAATATATAGTATTTGTACTTTTCTGTCAAATTAAGATTGTTATTCTAACTAGTAGATAAAGAGTGTCTACATGGATAATATGTACAATGTCTTAATTTGAAAAAAAGGATACATGCTATTGATTAAATTTTGTTATAATACAAATTGTTTAGAGGTTTATTTTCTAGAAATATAATTTGCTGTTTGGTTTCTGCTGGAAAATGCTGAAGTAACATATTAGTTATGTGTACTTTCAATAATAGTTTTAGTATTATTAAAGTACCATAAATTTGTGTGTATAGTACACATTTTTTAAGGCAAAAACTGTTGCGTCAAAAAGGGGGTGCATACTATACGCAGGAACATGCCATTCTTCTGGTTATCATTCTCGCGTTCTCTGTCCACATTATTGGATTATCTCCCTTCACCTAGTTATATTTAAGAGTCGTCGGTCATAAATGATAGATTGAAGATAAAAAAAACAAAGAATAAATTAAGTTTCGAATGTTTTAATGCAATTCATTATTAAATGTATAAAAAACAACTTACAACTGATAAATCCATAGAGCACTAAGCAGGAAGCAGTTATAGCACGGAAGTTACTTTCCACTAAACTAGTACATCTTAGATACACATGCATTACTTGATTAGCTACATGTATTTGGAAACTTTGAATCAAATTAATGAAACATGTGAAGAGGTGGAACAGCATGTGAAATTACAAAAATGTAGAGTAATTATTTATGAATATTTGGTTAGTAAAATTCTTACAGTTCTGACAATGATAATATTCACTCCTGAATCAGGTACAAGTATGGTAATACATTATACCTGTCAAATGCCTGTTAATTTTTTCCAGTACATGGTATTTATTTTAATTACTTTCATATTGATGTGAGAAGCATGAAAAATATTAAGCATTCTTATAAAACTAGAACTGCTTTAACACATGTCGTACATATGTTAATTTGTTAGGTAATATCAGTACAGTTAAGTCACAGAGATGGACATTGTTTGTTGGTCAGAATGCCCAATATCATTGTCAAAAATTGAAATAATAGTTGATGGAACTGATATACATGTTAATATAAAGAAGGATTTTGGGAAAGGTGCACATCTCATGATTTTTTTTTAGGACAGAGACCTACAAATTTGCTGTAAGCCAACTACTATGATATTCAGTTGTCAAATTATGCAGATGAGTGAATATCATTTGGTTTATGCTGTGATGGCTTAATATGAACAAGAAATCATGTCTCATATGAATTCATAGCAGCAAATTTCACTTTTAGAGATGTTTGTGTTGGCAAAAACATAAAAATATAAGCAAGGGGAGAACCTCCCAGACAGGGCACCAGTGATGTCACAGTGTCGTGTGACCTCATAGCACATTAAAAGTTTAAACGAGCTCTTGTGGCTTTATTGAAGGCCAGAAGATAATTAACAAGGTATGTAGGAACACCTGCAAGTTCCCGCTTTGCTTTTTAAGTCCAAAATTGTGTGCTGTGTCTTTTAAGAGATAATGAAATTACATACTAGATTGGAGGGCAGAGTGGAGTTTGAATGTTATAGATAAATACTAGATTAGAGGGGAGGGCAAGGTCTGAGAGTTATACACACTAGATTGGAGGGAGGGCAGGGTCTAAGAGTTATACATACTAGATTGGAGGGAGGGCAGAGTCTGAGAGTTATACATACTAGATTTGAGGGATGGCAGGGTATGAGAGTCATACATACTAGATTGGAGGGATGGCAGGGTCTGAGAGTTATACATACTAGATTTGAGGGAGGGCAGGGTCTGAGAGTTATACATACTAGATTTGAGGGAGGGCATAGTCTGAGAGATATACATACTAGATTGGAGGGAGGGCAAGGTCTGAGAGATATACATACTAGATTGGAGGGAGGGCAAGGTCTAAGAGATATACATACTAGATTTGAGGGATGGCAGGGTATGAGAGTCATACATACTAGATTGGAGGGATGGCAGGGTCTGAGAGTCATACATACTAGATTGGAGGGATGGCAGGGTCTGAGAGTTATACATACTAGATTTGAGGGAGGGCAAGGTCTGAGAGATATACATACTAGATTGGAGGGAGGGCAAGGTCTGAGAGTTATACATACTAGATAGGAGGGAGGGCAGGGTCTGAGTATACATACTACAAATATACTTTATTTATTTTACAACATTTTTCCCAACTAATATCAATCACTCTTGTAGGCCCAGATGGAAGCATGTGATGGGTCATACTGTGGGAGGAAACCAGAGTTTGATAACATGCACTGTGCAAACGCAGTGCTCATTAAAATTCATATATGCAATACTTATTTATCTTTTACAATTTATAGCTACTAAAATGACATTTACATTGTAAACTATGGCAATATTTGAGGTGTAATGATTGACAGGTTGACCTGAAATAACCTGTACACATTGTCAGTTTCATGTCTACAATAACGAGATTGTATCAATTTTATCTCAGATCGTGATTTTTACTGTGATATGTATAGTTTTATAAATTAGTTAATAGAAATAAATTTTTAAAATAGTTTTTGTTTTCTGTTTTACAAAATCAAGTTTAATGGTAGTTCTATTTGAATCAAGAGAAAATGTCAAAATTTATCTTTACTCAGTTTTACCTTCCTATGCCCTGTAAGTCTGAAGAGTAGACAAAGGATGTAGATTCAGCAAACATAACACATGTCAATAAGGTAGATGTATTGATTTATTTCATATACATGTAGGCTCCAGTGCAAAATTGGATTATGCATGTTAATGCTGTTACAGATAACCTCTTTGGTGTCACACTTGATATATTTACCTTCGGGATTTGAAATAATTCTGCCTTTTGATATGTGTAACAAGCAATTCATCAATGTATAACCTATTCGGACTAACAATGAAAACAACTTTCAGATTAAACTTGATATGCAGTCTGAAATCAGTAAGAACTCATATGACTTTGACAATAGGAACAATTCAGTTATTTACAGAGTTATGGCCCTTTGCAGTTTTATTACTATCGGACATTGTGAACCCAGTAACTTGAATAATTATGACCAGATTTTACTCATAAGAAAACTTGGTATGTAGTCTTATATCAATAAGGACACGGATGAATTATATACTCTGACTAATATGATCACAATTTGCAGAGTTATTGCCCTTTGCAATTTTATTACAATTGGAACTTATGTGAACATGTCTTGAATAATTATGCACGGTTTTGATGAAACTTGGTAAAGCAGCCTTACATCAGTAAGATCTGGTATGAGTTTGAGAATAGGTCCGATTTGATGATTGTATTCGATAACAAACCTAACAGTGGAAGCCATTATTGAATTAAGCTGTATCAGACAGCTGATTTGTCTATTTTAGGACTGTCAGTGATGCTAAGGGACTAAATTCAAAACATAGACGGTGAGGTACACATGTTACAATAAAACTTTCATGTAATTCTAAGAAGGCAGCGATAGTGACAAAAAAAATCCTCTCCTTCTAGATTAGAACATTGGTGTTGTTACTTTTGGCCTCATAAAAAGTTTAACATAGGAGCCATGATGAAACATGATTGTTAATCATTGTTTACCTTAACAACACCTGCTTCAAACTTCTTTTTAAAGTTCCACTTGTGGTATTCAGCTGAGACTTACCAAAGATGATCCTGACATGGTGCTGACCATAAGTTGTTGGTATATTGTTTGGGCTGGTCCTAAATCCAATATCGTTGTCATGGCCCTTATTTTGAAAGAAAAAACCCACACATTTTTAATCTTCTACAGATCAACTGGTGCACCTAACTGGAAATTTGACGGATGTGGAGAATCTTAATGAAAGTGTTATTATTGTTAGGTTAAATGCTGAATTATTGAATTACTTTCAATCAGATGACAGTTCAGACCGACGGACCCCATGTTTTAT